CCCCAAACTACCCCAGGAGTTTAATACGGTGGATGCTTGCGAAATCCCATTCGCATCACCGTTCAGAAAACCTGGAATCATGTTTCCCCTTTAAATACCAACGATAGCTTCAACCATGGTGCAGGTTTTCTTCGATGCACAGTAGGATAGACAGCCATATTTCGGGGATAGTTGACACATTCTTGCCCGAAATTGGGTGGTTTCAGTTTGGTTTAGCCTTCAAGCAACCCCAAAAAAGGGGTACCTGGACCCTCAAACTAGCCATAGGCAATTCACCCCATAATTGCGGGGCAACAACCCATGTTTAAGGGATTTTGGGTGGTGCAGGTAGCCTTAAAAGCACCCACATAACCCCGTATTTTGTCACCCACATTCTCCCTGGAACGGAATCTGTCAAAACCGGCCATTGTGTTTGTTTCAGGTGTTAACGTCATTTTTCGTGGTTTTTCCAGTGGTCATTCCATGTAAAGGACCTTTTGATCAGCCCCGACAACAAGTGTCTGGTTTTCTGGGTGTGGAAGCCGAGTTGGTCTCTGGAAATGGGCGCTTTGCGCCCCCAATGCCGGGATCCTTCTTTCTAGAAAACCAAAGGCCCCAAAAACCGCTGGTTGTGTTGAAAACAACGATGGTTGAACAGAATGCACAAGGAATCAACCCTAGAACTGTGGTCCAGACCCGAAAAGGGACTCAAGTACAAACGGAGCTCGGGAAGTGAGCAGGCGTGCTCTTGCTTTCAAGCTGCCAAACTGATGTGGCGAAGCGGCGCTTGCCACGGGATGGGCCACCGCGAGCTTTAAGAACAGGTTTCTTCGGACGAAGATTGGAAAGGTTCAAGGGAGGCCTCACTTCCCAAGTTGACTGGCCGAAAAAAAGTCCTGGCACTTTTTATTTACCACTGAAATGGTCCAAACCCAAAAAGTTTAAAGTCCACCAACTCAGGAAGTGAGAGGCGATAACCAAGGTTCTGACCTGGAATAACTGGAGTTACTTGGCTAATGATCATGGTTGTAACCTACTTATACTAGGTGGGTTGAACATCCACGTAAGGGTGGAGGACCAAAAAGTCCCCTTCTTCCACAGCTTCCCGAATCCCGGCAGGCTCTCAGACACAGCGCAAATCCGTCATGACAACTGCTGGACATATGTTCCTGTTTGTTTTGTTTTGCGTTTTTTCTTCTCCGGGGGACTCAAGCAAATGGACGTCTCCCTTTTGGGACCTTTCACAAATCATCTGTTGGGTGAGTGTAAAGTGAGTTTCGTTTTGGTGAAAGGGCTGTGGGTCAAAAATGGGTAGCCAAAATGGAACCCTGGTAAATGGAACCAATAACTAAAACCTGCGGTCCAATTCCTGGTGGTTTAATTTTGACCCATACCCAAAGAAGTCTAGGGCTGCGTGCCTTCCACCCCGAAGCGCTCGTAAAAAAGTTGGTAGATGGCCTGGGAGGTGGAGCTCGCCCAAAGACCCGCGCCCAAGCTACGGATGCCGCATCCCAACTAAACCAACTAAAAACCAACTAAAAATCTAACAGGAACCGGACGATTCACTGGGAACCGCCACTAGGTTTTCCAGTAGAGAGGTTAGAACAAGTTGGTACCCTATTTTTTTCCCAGGACGTCCATTTTAGTGAGGACAACTCCGCCAAAAAAGTTGGGTGAGAAAGGGCAGACCTAGCTGGGGCACCTAGGATCCACAAGATACGGATGCCGCATCCGACTTTTTGTGGCCCTTCACGCCCAGGAACTTGGATGTTCAGACCTGAACCCTCTAAAGTTCCCTGAACACTTGGTTGCCCCGAACATCTGAGGTGACTTCCCTTTTTGTTGGGGTATAGTTTGAGGGTCCAGCTATGTGTGAAAATAGAGATTTGGACCCCGGAAACTTTCGGGGGTCCTTGTGGTGTCCGACAAAAAAGACCCCGAAAGCTCGCTACTTGCCGATGTGCTGTACAAAAGAAAGCAAAAGCGGATACCTGGACCCGAAAGAACTACCCATCAAAAAGTTGGAACATTCGCCAACTCCATAACTTTGGGTTGCAAAGAGACATGTTTTAGTCGGGCACTTTGACATATCCGCCCCTGGATAGAGGGGAAGGCTGACCATGCATGGCCTTAAGGGGTGACTATGGGAGGGCTATGACTGATTCACCCATTAAGACTTCCTATTTAGGCAACCACCACCATACTGTGGATGGACGAAATCTTGCACCACCTAACAAACCCTGGAATGATTCGATTCCCCTGTAAATACCAACAAGAAATCGTTTCAACCATGGTTTCAAAGTGGTGCGAAATGGATTTTGCAACCATCCACAGTAGTTTGTCACCATGGCGCGTTGGACAAGATGTGCTGAACCTAGCCTGGCCTCCCTCTAAGGGATCCCAAGGATTATTTTCAAATCCCCACCCCCGTTAAAGTGGAATTTAATTCGGGGGGGTGATCCATCAAATGTATGGCAACCCATTTTCCCTATGGGGGAAGGCTGGGTAAATGGTTGCCTTATCATGGTTGCCTTCTCATGGTTGGCTTTATGCCCTATTAAGACGTGAATCCCAAGTCACTGTAAACTCAAGGCAAAGGCAGATCTGACCATGCCAGAGATTCTGCGCTTACGCACTTATGCACTTACGTACTTACGTACTTACGTACTTATACATGAGTTGTAAGAATACCTGCATGCCTTTCTTGAAAAACCAAGCCATCGCCGACTCATTGGCAGTTTCGAAAACGGAGGGACCATGGCACTGCGCGATACACTGCTTGTGTCGTTGCTCATCATATCCTATCACACAGGTAGAGGAATACAGAAAGCCAATTCTAAGTCTCCAAGTGTTTAATACGAGGATCTCAAAAAACACATACACACACAAACGCAAAATCCTATGATCATGACTTGCTTTGGTTTTAACAAGTACCCCCACACCTTGGGTTCTTACCTGGAGTCTCCATGACCCTTACAAAATGGTTGGTCATTACCCAAGATAAAGAAATGGGTCATGGACCCAAGTTTATGTTGGGTCAGAAAGGGGTATATGTTTCCTTGTGGTTGGGTCAATGTTTGGAGGTTTGTTCGGAGCCACGGGGCCGACCAATTCGTGTGGAGCATGTACTGCTCCAACTCCTGGCAAGGTGCTGGGCAGTTGGTTCGTGTTGCTTCGGTGTCAAGATAGTAAGTGGCAAGGAACTTAGGTGAATGAGCCTCAGAATGGCGAATCAAAGGGAAACCATGGAAACTCCCCCAATTTGGCGGGCCAATATCTTGAGAAACCCCGGTAAACTTACGAAGTCCCAAAGACTTTCGGTCACACCCAAGTTCACGCTTCATACCAGAGAACCTCCTCAGTTCTTATTTCAGGACCCTTCATGGGCCAAAACCTTCCTGTGCTCATGGAGATTCGCAAGTCTTGCACCACGGTTGTTGAGACCATGGTTGGAAGGTGATGCATGAGTTACTGTGGATGAACAAAAAACTCCTGAAAAGGAGTCGAATCATTGTTGGGTTTCCCGGGTGCGAAATGGATTGTGCAACCATCCAACTTGGCTTTTGCCACTTGGGTGTTCGGCCACGTTACTCAGCTGTGGGAAATCGGTCAGTTATAACACCCACTTGTGAGTCCCCGTTCAGTGGAGTTGCCGTTTATGCGTTGGCCACTTACTAACCTGGCGACTCGAACACCCAAGTATGGCTCCGAATCAATGGATCGATTTTCCGTCCTTGGCGCTATTCATGCCAGGACTTGTGCTGGCAGGTGGTGACGAAGACAAATTGGCCTCGGCTGGAGTCCGGCTCTTCAAGCAGACTTCAGAACACCACGCAACCACCCCAACACGGGCCCCCTCAAAAGAAAGACTACGGCTTTCCGCATGGAAATAGCTCCTGGTATCGGCAGTTAGCACCACACCCTAAAACAGAAGGGTATTTGGAGGTGGTGAGGCAGGAGAACAATGCGTTGCCAATACGGAAATATACAAATAACAACACGAGAGAACGGGGTTGAGTCGGTGACCGAGCGTCTCAGACAGAATGGGGAACTCCTGAACGCTCCAAAGCTGCCCCAAACCATCTCGAACGAGCCTATCTGGGCCTATCGACCCCAAAGCTTCCAGCTGTTGAGGAAAAACCAAACTTACAGTGGATGGGACAACATCCAGATTTCCGGTTGGAGTGTCTGGGATTGAAACAAGTGACTGCAAAAGGCTACCAACTGTTGCGCTTGTCTTTGGTATTGCCAAACAAACTTGAAACCGCTGGATTTCTGTATCCCTCCGGATGGAATGGAATGGACAAAAGCCAACAAGCACTGGGATAAACCCATCCACCTGGCGGTGTGTTGTCCATCCCCTTTCAGGATTTTGTCCAGCCCGCTCGATCGCTTTGTGTGTGTGGCAATGGTTTGTGGGGCTGTGTTAAAGGGAAGCCAACGCAACACCCCTGTTTTGGGGTAAAAGCCCTTTCTTTAGGGGACCCCTGGAAAAAGGGAGGTTGTCCTGTTGGCTGCCCTTGAAAACCATCCGGCAAGGGGTATCAAAAAAGACAGAGGACACCCATATTGACCTTGTTGGTAATAGCTATAAGAGTTGGACAGTATTCAGCACAGAAACATAGCCAACGAATCAAGATAGCCATTACAACTATAAGTGTAATGAATATGTCCATGTTGCTTAAAGTGTTCCAGTTTTTGTTGATATCTTAAAATTACCGCATGAAACTACCCCAACAAAAATCGCAGTTCACCAACCATTGGTGCGGGGGGATGCAAACAGCTATGTTTAAGTTGGATTTTTCAGGGGGTCCAGGTACCTGACCCATGGTGTCCAATCGGTGTGTTGTGAAACGGGGGAGCCTTAGCCCAAAACAATGGCTTCCCTACTAAAAAGAAGAGGAAAACAACAAGGACCAAAGGTAGCTGGACCCTCTACATTCCAACTTGAAAATTGGGTTTCCAGTTTTGTTGCCACCTCAAACTACCAAAAAGAAAAGACATTCACCAACCATGATATTGAGTTGCAACACCATTGCTTAAGTTCGCTTTGTTCGGGGGGAGGGGGGGTCCAAACCCTCCAAAAAGACCATGTTGGGTCCAAACATGTCCGTTGGGTTTGTCCAGTGCACGAGTTACTCAATGGACAATCGCTTCCTGGAGCTCAGCCATAGGCTTTTAGGGAGCGGGGAGTTGCAGTTGCCTCTTGCTTGTTCATCCCGCGAAAACGAAAGATGAGAATGTAGGTCCAGTGAAGTCGGAACCCCGGAGAAACAACCAACGGCTGCGAGCGGAACCTGGGAACCCCCAGAAGTACGCAGGTTGATTTTCAGAGACGGGGGTGTTCCAATTTGGTGGGATTCCCCTCTACTAATGGGACATTTCAGCCAAGGGAAGGACATCCTCCTTTTTTTGAGGGTACCCCTTTGTGTGAGGCTACCCTTTTTTTTAATGTCTCTTTTCAAAAGCCGCAAAAACAAAAGAGAAAAACCTGGGCAGCCCCAAAAAACCGGACAAACCACGGCCCCAAACGGCGCCCGTCGGGGACTCCGACTCCCCCGCCGCCGACGTCGACGCTCGGGCGCCGGCGGCCCGGATGCGCTTCTCCAGCCCGGTGCTGAAGCGCACCACCCAGCCTCCGGTTCGCCCCCAGAAAACCTCCGAGAATTTTTTTCCAAGCACTAAAATAGGTTCCCTAAAATGGGGGGGGTGAAAATTCACCGAATTGCCCTTGGTTGCAACATCTGCGAAGCCCGGCTAAAAGTGAAGAACTTTTAGTGGTTTAATTCGGAAAACCCGAAAATTCGTGTTCAAAAAGTTAAAGTCCTAACATCCAAGCAAAATGAAACAAAGTACCCCAGAATGGTACCTTGGTTTTGACAACCACAGCCCAGTCGAGTCGAGTCGCGTCGGTTTTGGGCTCCAGGCGAGGCAAAGGTGGCTGTGGGGATGGAGTCCAAAGGCTCGTCTGAGTTGGAATCCCCTTTTTGAGGCGTCTTGTTCTCAATGGTGAATATAACGTCTAGGTCCTCCAGATTTGAGAGGTTGGAATAAGTTGGTACCTGTTTTTTTTCAGAACGTCTATTTTTGTTGGGGAAGCCTCCCAACCAAAAAAGGGGTGAGAAAGGGCACTACTGGGGGACGTAGCCGGTGGGGAGGGCGAGAAGTGAGGGCGTGGCGTTTTTGCGGAGAGGGAGAAAACGCGCCCAGAAGTTTTCTGGGGTTCAACTTGTCCCCATTGAAACACTGCGGATGGCTGCAAAATCCAGAGTCGCACCTTTCAGAAACCCAACGGAATGATTCGATTCCCCAACGTGAATACCTGCAAACTTTTTCCCTGGGGTTCCTTGTTTCCATGAAAACAAAGGCCTTGGGACCAACTTAGATGGTGGTGAAATATGAACCCCCATTGTTTGAATGCTGGTTGAAAATTCAGGGAGAAGGCTTGCAGCTGCTTTCGTCACTTTTTGGGAAGACACAACCCCAAAACAAAACCCTCCAGAACATCCGAGCAACCCAAGTTGAAAGGATTTGGACATCGCCGACCTCGCCGAACCTTGCGATCGGTGCAATAGGTAGGGAACCTAGGAATGAACCGGTTTCGGGGATTCCCCTAAAAGGAAACCACCAGTTGGATGGTAGTTCTCGGGGTCATTCCACTTCTCACTCCCTACCTATCGCACCGATCGCAAGGAAGGGCTGGCTCGTCTTTCTTGCCGGTACCACCCTTAAAAATCCAACTTAAACCTGACTTGGTGCCCAACAAACTATGGGGTGCATTCCACTTTTTTATGGGTCGTTTGAGGGTCTAGGGAATCCATGTTGCTGGTTTGAGAGGGAGAGCGAAAGCAACACCGAAGCTGTTTTGGGGGGGTCCCCTAAACAAGGCAAAATCTAGGGTACACGCAAGATCATATGTTCAGATTGTATTTCGCATTTCGTCTACCCCATAAAATAGTTTTGGAGACTCCGACACAAAAAGAGCTGCATGTGTTCCGTGATCCGTTGCAAGTAAAACCTGTAGTGGGATATGTCACTCACTTGAGCGGATCTCAAAAAAAAGGCCATCTTTGGTTCGCCGCCTCTGAAATGGCCTTCTTGGGCCCTCAAACTACCCATCAGAAAGGGAATTCGCCCCAGAATGTTGGAGAAAAACCGAAGTTGCTAAGGGAATTTTGAGGGGCCCGGGTTCCCAAGAGCCAAGTCCGGGAACTTGAGGGAGTGAGGTCACTGAGCCCTCGCTGCGCAAAAAAAAACTGCGGTATGGGAACCGCCGAGGTTGGTGTGGGACCAGCCAAACAGTCGCCCTCAAGGGGAAAAAAGGGACGACAAGTTTGTGGGCGACTTTTTGGTTGCGAGTTCCAGGTGCCACAGGGTGAGATGAAGGGCCCCTTCTCAGGCAATCCATGGTGACTTGCGGTGATAATTACTGGAAATGCAAACCATCATGCTTTATTTACCTGTAAACCCAATTACTTTGCTCTTTTTTGAGGACACCAAAAGAAAAAACCGGCCTTTTTGTGGTGTGGCATTCTGACACAAGAGTTCGAGTAGCCTCTTCACCCGTTTTTCTTTTTCAAACACCAGGTGGGTGTGAGTTTGTTTAGGGCACCCCCAAACCAAGGCGGTGTCCTTTTGGTTTTCCCTTTAAAACCAACCAGACCAAGTGGTACCTAAAAAACATCCGACACACCCATTTCAAACTGTTGGGCCCCACCCTATATTGACTGGGCTGTCCTCAGATCCCCTGCTAAAAGCGTTTAGTGGGTTGAACCGGCCGGGGACCGCCCTATATCCAAGGGCGCGCAGAATTGACCCGCCCGCCGACTTCCGAAGATCATCACGAAGTCCTTGAGAGGCGCATCCGCGCAATCGCCAGCCATCCCAGTCGGCCAACGCGAGCTGCTCCCGCGCTCTTCCAGGCGCTCTTCCAGGCGCGTCCCGCGCAGCGTCAGGCAGGCGAGCCGCTCCTTGGCTTGGGTTTCCTCTCGCCACGCTGCTGGGATCTTGTGCCAGGTGTGCTGATGTTTTCCTGAGAAGACGCACGCTGGTGCGAGTGATCCTTGAGAGTAGGACGGAACAAATACAAACCATCGCCTCAAATGAGCGGCCTAAACCCATTGATGCTTGCTTTACTACCACCAACATGATAAAGGATCGTACAGGCCTTACTATGGCACTCATAAATTCAGATAAGAACCCACTAAACTGGCCAAAGGAAACCGGTTTCGGGCATTGCTCAAATAGACTAGGTCCTCCAGTAGAGAGGTTAGAATAAGGGTAGCCTTTTTTCTGTTGTCTATTTTAGTAGGGGAACCCTCCCCAAAAAAAGAAACGGTGAGAACGGGCACCTAGCTGGGGGACCTAGTAGAAGATCCATTCCGAAAGCGGCTTCCTGGGCCAGCCGCGTCCAGAAATCGCATCCCAGCGCACAATCAACGCCTGGCGCGTGACACGGAGAACAAAAAAAGCAACTTCTCACCGCCTGCCAAGAGGGGTGGGAAACGGGGTGGGGTGAAGCAGCCCCCCCTCCCTTTATGACTGACGCTTGTGTCCAACCATTGGAAACATGGAAATCATCATTTTTAAGCAAGAAGTTTGTGAGTTTTGTGAGAGAGAAAATAGAGAGGTTTGGCCTGGTTTGATCTGAACAAAGTCCATCACCGACAAATGGCCTCGTTGCTCCCTCTAAAAATTGTGCTTGTCTAGTCAGCCACAAAGCTGTAAGGTAACAATAGGTGTAAACAAGTTCAGGGTCCGCGGGTCTGTTAAAAGTTTGTGTTTCTGCAAGATGCCCTAGTACCGCATCAACCGATGGCAAAGCCCGGCAAAAGCGCGAGGTGCTGGATTTGGCTTGGGAACAAAAAAAAATCCGGGACGTCTCTAGCAAACCCCCCTCTAGTTATGTTCAAACTTGCTTTTCCAGACATTGATGCACAAACGCAACCAAAAAGAAGGCCACTATAGTTGCAACCTGCGATCTTCTCTCCATGCTTTGAGGAAAACATTGAGGGTGAACTGGAAACCCAAACGGAGCTTGGCTCAGCAAATGCTTGGCTCCCTTGCCAGGACTATCCACCCCAAAGACCTCTCCCCAAACGGGTGGCTGGAGATTCATGGGTTTGTGTTTTCTGTCGGGTTTTTCAGAGAAAAGCAACAGGAAAACCACCACTTGTGTTGGGGGGTCCCCTAAGAAACCCAAGAAAAGACACACCCGTTTTTGAGCCTTACGCAGCCAATTAGGGCGAACAGCCACAACACTTGGGCGTTCTCCTCTTCTTCTTTTTGCAGAGCAATGGGTGTCCGGACTTCTTGACCTTACAAGGGGCTACGAGATGAGCTATCGCAACCCAAAATTGCGGATTGATGTGAATTCCGACCTTTCGGACTTTTCCACGAGTAGTTCTTTCGGGTCCGGGCTCTGGCTGATGATGATGCGCCCCACACAACAAAACAGCCGCGACCGGCGTGTTCTCGGCCTCCTGGTCGTTGAGCTCTGCAGAGCTCCGCAGGCCATGCACCCAGACCTGGGCACAACCCGAAGTCTCGATGGTTGCGACAAGAACCGTGGATGGCTTCGCGAAATCCGCTTCTCGATTTCATCACCGAACTCAGAAACCCAACAGAATAAGAAATGACTCCCCACCCTAGATATACCAACAAAGGTGTCAAGCATGGCTTCTAAAGTGGTGCGAAGTGGCTTTTCGCCCACCCACAATGTCTTAGAAATGCAAACTCTGCAGGAGCCATGCGGTGTTTGGGGAATCGGGAAAATCAACATAGCTTAGCCTGGTGCAAAAGCAACGGCCATTTGGAAAGCCTAGATGCAAGCCCCATGATGTCAGGCAGCCCTTCAACCGTGGCCAACACTTTCTGGGCTGTTCAAAATGGAGGGTTGGCCAATCCTAATCCATAATCTCTATAGGAAAGCCACTACAAAGGGGCCCCCTTGGGCAGGTAAGGATTAAGGATTGCCTTTGAACAACGACTTCATGACGGGTTGGTTTTAAGCAAAGCACGTCTTCCCGAGGCTTTGGGCCGAAAACAACTTTAGTTGGCTTGACCGATGGGGGTGCGAGTCTTTGATTGAACCGACCCCACTTATGTGGCTAACATATGCCCAGTTGATAAGTCTCTAAGCGAGCTACACGTAGGGCCATTTCACTTAGGAGACTTGTCAACCAAACATATTAACATGTATCTGGGCTCTCCTCAGATCCCTGCTAAAAATTAACTTGTGGTGGGTTAAGATCGGAAACCCAACCACTAAACCAACTAAAGAGCAAAAAAGCTAAGGACCGGATGGCTGGGAGCCAACAAGTTCTCATGTGGAAGTCATCCAAGTAAGGGTAACGGTTTCTATGGATCCCGGCACCCAAGCGTCCACGGAGACAAGAGCCAAACATTCAAATTGCCAGATAGCAAGGCCACATACGGATTCAAACGGGTGTCTCTCGTATTTTCAGGGGACCCACAAAATGATGGTTTCCTTTTGGTCTTCTTTGACAACCATGCAGCAACCATTTTGGCAAGTACCCGCAAAGCCAGACACACCCAAAAAAAAATCAGGTGACACAAGGCCCTTTACGTTGGGGCATCTTTGCAAGTGTTGCTGGCACGGGATCGAACGAACTTATCCGCCAGAGCAAACCTTCCGGGCGGGGGGGTGGGGTTGGTACCTGGACCCTCAACTTCCCTTAAACACGTGTTCTTGCCCCAAAATCATGAGGCGAATTCCCTTTTTTTGACGGGTAGTTGGAGGATGCAGGTACTTTAACCTAAGTTCGGTTTTGCTTGCAGGAGTCAGCTATCCGCATTTCTTCGGCCTCCGAAGGAAGAAACGCATTAAACTCTGACCCATGGAAGTGGTATACTAGCAAAAGGTAACTGGTGTATAGAATATGTTCACATTTTGGTCGAAAATCAATGCATTGTTGCTCAACAATTCTGCAAAATCATGCCATGCAAGCGTCATGAACCCAGAAATGGTCCTAAAACCATGCGCATCTGAGTGCCCAGTGTTAGATGTTTCGCTTGTCTCCAGCAAACACATGGGAAGCATGTGAGGAGCACAGAGCCATTATCTGCAGACTCACGCACATCCAGACTCATTGCTACGCACATGAGGGTTCGTAAGTTGCTTGCATAGCTTCCGCACGTGCATTGATTAAGTGCTTGATATGCTTACAATACAGTGAAAGTTGGGTGGGTGGGGCGCTATGCTTGTGACACGCACATGGTGCATTGTCTGCTCTCATTGGTTACATGTGTGCTTGTGTGTTTGCATGTTCACATTACTGAAAGGATTGACATGTGTTTCCGGCATGAAACTCCTGTGCTCAAGACCTGAGCACGGGAGTGGCATGTCCAAAGCACATGTTACATGCCAATGTGGAACATGTCCCGGCGCAAGCAGCAGCTGCAGCGGCTTGCGCAGCTGCATGTTTCAGAGCGCATGGCTTCTTATAATTACTAGACACCTCCAAAGCAACATTTGTGCCAAGCAGCACAGTTTTGCTAGTTCAGCTTTAGGACAGATTAAGGGAGTGGCGGCCACATGGAAAGGCGTGGCAGGCACTGGAAAACTTTACCACTGAACCACTGGACCACCTTGCCACCCAGTTGGCACTGTCACATGACCCTACAATGGCTTGGAGCTGTTTTGGGGAGGGCGTTGTGATTTGCCAGTGGGTCAAAACCCAGAGCGTTTGAGAGAGATTCCGGGGAGTCAGAGGTGTACAGGATTATTGGGCCCTCCAAATTGGAGGGCCTGGAGGAGAACTTTGCCATGCAGCGCTTGCCTTAGTTGAAGTCTTTGCGGGTCAAAGGCCCTTAAAATTTTGGGTCTTGGGCTCGTAGTAGGTAATATGTTCTTTTGGTTTGCATATTGGGTAGCGTGCCCTTGGATACCTGCCCTTACCATGTGGCTGAAGTTTGCTTCAAGTGTCATGCGGGACAACAAAAACAGGGTGCTCTGCGCTGGGCTGAAATCACATGAGTGGCAATATATGTAAGCCACGGGGTCAAGTTAACTGGCTTCAACAATTCCCTCAGACTTAGCAAGCTCATGGGCCAGCGTTGACTGCCCATTGGTAGTGGTGCCTCCCTTCCCCGGCCCAGGCCTCCATGAGCTGACCAAACCTAAGAGTGCGTGCGCTCACAAGATGAGTCTTGGTCACAATGCGTGTGTGTTTCTGGGGAGATGCTTCTTTGCCGAATGAGTGGGGCGCACTTCCTCTGACGTAAACGTTTTGAAATAGCAACATGTCATAAAGAGCGTCCAGGCAATGAGAGGGCGGCAGCATGCAAACATGACTGACAATTCAAACATGACGAAGCTTTCAGGAACTCCTCGCTGTGTGCGGGTCAGGCGCCGCAGGAGGTGTCATCGAAGAATTTCGGGAACGAGGAGTCCTGACATATCGCATAATGTATCCCAAACTGTCGGCTACCCTGTTCAGGAATCCTGTCGTCGATGGTTTTTTTGCATGGTTCACCCGCCACACTCCTCGGGTGCACACCTGGAGAGGATGTCCCCGGAATGGACCCAGTCGCCCAGGCAGCTTGCTGGATGCTTGGTGCCTGGCGGCTGATTTCCAGTCTAACAGTCTTAAGGTAGCTCAAAGAACTGCCAAGTTTAGTAGTTGGATCCTCCACTGGTGGCAACCCCTATGAATCAGTTAACCCGGGGTCAGCATTGAGTCAGCATTGCTCGTCTTGAACATGGGTCTTTTGAAGGGAAACTCGAGGAAACCACTGCCATTTCCTCCATTCAGAACGACCCTTCAATGGTAAAGGCTTTCAATGGTTCCCCAAATTGTCTGATGTTTGTGCGCGCGCGTGTTGTTTTGGTCTCGCGTGATATTTGCATTCTGTTGGGCTGAGCTTGATATGTGCCTGTGAGCACGCATGTTTAGCGTCTGTGTTGTGTTCATCTTGTTTGTTGGATGTGCGGTTGCTCTGGACTTGGTTGTTTGATGTGGTTGTGTTTGTGCGTGTGTGTGTGTGTGCGCGTTGCAGTGGATTTGGTGGTTGGTGGTGGGCACGTTTGTTTGATGACTGTGTGTGCGTGTTGTGTGTGGTCATTTGGTGGTTATGTTGCGTTGAACTTGTTTGTCTGGTGGTTGTGTTGTGTTGGACTGTCGTGTGATGCGATTGTTGATTGGGACTTGTTTGTTTGACGCGCGCGTTGTTTTCGGGCATGGTTGATTGATGTGTGTGTCTGTGTCTGTGGTATGTTGGATTCGTTTGGTTGACGTGTGTGTGTGTGTGTGTGTGTGTCTGTGTTGTGTTGCATGTGTTTTGTGGACTTGGTTGTGTGATGTGTGTAGTGTTTCGGACTTGGGTGTTTGGTGCGTGCGCTTGTTGATGTGTGCGGCATTGTGAAGACTGTGACCCCGGATGAGCATAAACCTGGCAGGTTATAAGGGCGCGACCCTTGTTCAGTGGTTGGTGTGTAAATTTCCGGGGTCGTCCTTACACTCTGTTGGCCGCCGCCAAACTGTTTAGGGGAACCAGCTTAACCTTAAGCGGTTGTTTGGGTTGGTGGTTTGGTGTTCCGGAACCTCCCCCAAATGGGTCTCCTGCAAGGCTGGTTCAAATCCCCACACCACCAATTAAGGGTAGCCTGATAGGGCGAATCCTGAGCTCGGCCTGGGTGAGCTCCTTCTTGTCAGTCATTTGCTTTCTCCTTCGCTTCGCCGACGCTTCGTTCAACACCGTGCAGAAGGCGCAGGTAGCAGGACCAAAGCGTATAAGGCAGTATGCTGAATACACCCTATGTTCTACATATATATATAGACTTCTATATAGTCAAACAAGGGCCAACATAAGTTTGCAGAAGGAAACTATGGCCCGAACAAGCCAAGAAAGAAAGGGTTACCAACCAAGATTCCCCCGGTCACACCACACAGTGGTTGGCCGGGCTCCCAACACCACAAACAAGGAATAAGGGGCAATGCCGTTCAACCAAAGAACCAACCCAAAGTACAAAATCAGATTGAAAGGGTGCCAGAAGAACACAAGTAAAGCAAAACGCAAAGCAAAGTAAATGAAGGCAAAGTAAAGGGGGTCGGCCCAGGGCGGCGTCGGTAGGACGTCTTCTTACAGGAGGAGTTGCTTCTTAGAAGCTTTGTAGCGGCAGCACCCTTTGGACATGCTTCTGCGAGGGCAAAGCCGCTTCTCAGAAGGGTCCGAAGCCTTCTACGAAGCCTGTGAGAAGGCTTCTGGGGGGAAAGGGGGGAAAGGATCTCAACAGGGAGAGGGTGGAAAACATCTTAGGGGGCAAAAGGGAAAAATCTGAGAGGGAGAAAGGGCCTTAGGGGGGAAAGGGGGAATGGATCTCAACAGGGGAAGGGGTGCAAAAATCTTAGAGGGAAGGGGGGCAAGGGGACAATTCCAAAGGGACGCAAATAAAAAAGGCGGCCTGAGCCGGAGGCGTGAACATATATTGCCACTCATGTGACTTCAGCCCGGCGCAGAGTGCCCTGTTTTATCATCCTGGATCACTTGATCTCTTGCCCTGGATCCACTTGATCCACTTGACAGGATCCACTTCAGCAATCATGTGTAAAATAAAAAATGTAGCCAACGGCGATAGTAAAGGTCACACGAGGAGCTGGGGCAAAGGAACTCGGGGATACAGGAACTTCAAGCTGAGTAAGATCGGCCCTGAGACTGGCAACTTCCTCACGGAGGGAGCCTATGGCGTCCAACACTGGGCCTCCTGAAGTCACACTGGATACTTGATCCACTGGATCCACTTGACGGCCACTGACGCTCCCACATACAAGCCCAAGCGTCTGAAGCAGTAATTAGGGCTGGGCCCTTAGAAGCTGGGCAGCCACCAGCACTCACTGGCCCCGCTCAACATGGGACCAGCGGACAGTCTTGCCATGTAGCGTGGCCATGAAGTAGGGGTTGCCAGAGAGGGCAAGAATCAACTATTACTATGGTTTCTTTTTGCTGAGTAACCTTGAGAACTCAGGGAGGCTTTGTGCTGGGGCCAGCACCCTGCAGCTCTAGGCCCAGGGTCTTCTTAACCTCAGGTGGACAATTTCAGCTTCTTGATGATGTGAGAGCTCCAACTGTGCGGCAATGGTGGTCCAGCAATCCATGTGACAATTTCATTCTTTTTTGTGGCTGTACTTGCCAATGATGGGACAGCTCCAACTCTGCGGAAGGGTGGACCAACGTTCCAGTTGTCAAGTGTTCCAGTGGTTTGGTGGTCCAGTGGCCTGGCAGTGCAACCCAAGATGATGTTTCTGAGTTCAGTGCTGTGCAGGCAGTGGCGTGGGCTTTCAACACCATGCTTTTTCATGTGGTCCTGCCCCTCCTCCTCCTCAAAGCTTAACTGATAGCAAAGCTGTGGCTTTGCTGGCTTGGAGAAACCATGCGCTCTGAAACACGCAGCTGTACTCGCCAATGCGCCAGGCAGACCTCCTCATGCTGCAGGACAAGCCGCTGCAGCTGCTGCTTGCGCCGGGGCATGTTCCACATTGGCATGTAACATGTGCTTTGGACATGCCACTCCCGTGCTTTCATCTTGAGCACAGGAGTTTCATGTCAGAAACACATGTCAATCCTGTCAGCAAGATGAACATGCACACACACACACACAGAAGTGCACACATGTAACCAATGAGAGCAGACCATGCACCACGCACGTGTCACAAGCATAGCGCCCCACCCACCCAACTTTCACTGTATTGTAACCGTATCAAGCACTTAATCAACACACATGCGTGGAAGCAATTCAAGCAACTTACCAACCCTCCGTGTCCCGTGCTCCTCACATGCTTCTCATGTGTTTGCTAGAAACACATGTGAAGCATCTGAGAAACACTGGGCACACAAATGTGCATGGTTTTCGGAGCATGTCTTGGTTTACGGGAAGCACTTGCATGGCATGATTATGCCGAATTGTTGTGCCAACATGGTCTGATTTCCCACAGACACTATATACCAGTTACCTTTTGCAAGTATTCCACTTCCATGGGTCAGAGTTTCATTGTTCATCCCCTCGGACTCTTTCATCAATCTTGACATCGAATTGCCTCGAGCTCATTTTCTCAGTTGTTCAGTGACCCTGTAAAAAAAGGGAACCCTTTTTTGGGAAGACCATTTTAGTGGGGCAGCCACCAAAAAAAAGGGGGAAAAGGGAGCCACTGGACAACTGAGTTTTAGTTGGACTCCTTTCCAAGTCAAAACAGGTGAGTCGAACTAAAACCGCCCAGCCATGGGAAACCAAGCGGATCCACCCAAAAAGGGCGAGATGTGATATAGGGAAGCCCGAATCCGGGTGGCTTTTTTCTGGGGTCCGTAAAAATAATGCAAAAAAACACTGAGTCACGTATCTACGGAGACATCGACAAAAGTATGGGCATGTAGCACTTGGCTATCCCAAGAGAGGACAGGTTCCAGAAGCAGTTTCAACACGTCGACAGTTTAGGTGATTGAACAAGCACTCCGTTAAGCTGGTACCCAGTGGGTAACCAGCCATTTTCCTTTTGGTTTTAGGGTGACTCCCTTTGTCACCTACTATACAGGTACATGGATCCACTGGGGTAGCTTTCAACTGTTTGGTTCCCGTGTCACCTGATTTCGGCACCTGCTATGTTCAATCAAGAACCCTCATTACCCCTTTAAACCAAAATGCTTGAGGAAGAAGGCCTTGTTTACGTCCATTTACTTTTTCGTCCCCAGAAAAAAGAAGAAAACCTATGTCCAGTAGTGAAATCGATTCCACCTAGAAAAACCAATGGGGGAATATGCAAATACATATTCATTTCAGCAAATGAAAGAACAACATGTCAATGTCATAGCCATGATTCTCAGAGCACCAACTTAGTAAGTGGGTCATGTTTCAGCTAAATGGATGCTTCAGCAAATGCTTCTGAACAGCAATAGTGATAGGTTCAACTTAAAACCAACAGAGAATATATAACATATTCACATAGGTGGCCTTCTGGAAAAATAGATGGCCTCCACAAATGGAATAACTCCCATCTAAGCCAGTGCCATCTGTTTTTAAGCAAACTCACCGATCACGTTTCAGCTAGTCAGAGGCTCCAGACGGAGGTGTCTTGGAGTCCCTACCCGCTCGTGTTCAGAAGCTGAGCTCCACACCCTTTGCCCCGAGTGCAGCCCTCCTTTGTCACCTCGAGGCGGCACTCGATCTCGTTGGGAAGGATCTCGGTCAGAGGGACCCCCCAAGCCATCGACATTCGTCATTGCTTGGTTGACGTTGGGTTAGGGGAGCAAAATTTTAATTCTAGCAGTTAAGTGGTTGGATTTCAACCACTAAACCACAATAAGATCAAACATGTGTCCAAGCTTTCCCAACGACAACCATGATTGGTAAATGCGTTAACACAATTATTTCATGTGGCCTTCCGGATCGTGCTAAAGTGTTCCAAAGAATTGAGGGGGCTTCATCAGCCTTGGGGCAGTCAAATGTTGTCAAATCTGGATTGGTCAGTCACTGGATTCCCCCAAATCAGAAGTTGCAGTCTGGGGATTTCCATTGAAACGAGAAAGCCACTTTTGGAGGCTCCCTGTAGCTCACTTCCTGAATGGACTGGCCCAAAAAGTCCCAACTTGTTGTTTGCCGCTAAAACGGTCTTCCTCGGAAAGTGAGCTAAAGGGAATTTCCCTTAGGGACATGTCTCGGACTGTTGGTCTTTGACTGCCCATTCTCTTTAGACTAAGGGGCTTTTGCCCGAATCGGCTCCCGATTCGACCCAAAGTCGGCTTGAAAATCATGGACCCACCAAACTGGCCGTTGTCCTGTTGGTTTCCCTTTGAGCCTGAAAAAGACATACCTGGATCCTCAAATGTCCCTTACAAATTGAGCAAATTGCAACCAACAAATTGGGATCTGGTGAATTTCAGGGTCCAGGTTGGTCTTTGCCACCCTCCAAACACGTCTTTGCCCCCCTCCAAACACTTCAGCTTTTGATTTAATGAGTAGCGGAACCCCCCCAAAATCTATCATGGTACAGGTTAAGATGGGTGTGTCAAAACAGGGATTTCCCAAATCGTGCTTGTCGGCTTTCCTTGTGGTTCCCCTTTAACACCCAGAAAAAAAAAAAAAAAGAAAGAAAAGAAAAAAAACGTTCCACCTTCCACCCGAGTCCCGATGGTTTTTGGGCCCTCACTGGTTGCTTTTTTCCAAGGGCCGGCGAGGAATTGGTCGGAGTTCTTCGTTGGAGGGCCCCGGAAACAGAGGGGGCGTGACCCTGAAGGGCCACTAACAAAAATGACACCCCGACCTCCGAATAAAAAAACAAAAAAGGCGCCTGAAGCCCCCAAGCCGCCCATTGGCAACCGGTGCCCCCAATTTTTTCCCCCAGCTTTCCTTTCCCTTCTGTATTCACGGTTTTCCTGCTTCCCAAGCTTCCTACGGCTCTCCAGCTACAGCCGTGTAACACCCTGGGAGAGGGAAAGAGCGGGAGAAGACTTGGTTGATTTCTGCTCCCCTGCTAAAAGTTTTAACTTTTAGTGGTTTCATGGAAGAAAAACAACCTTCGTTGGCAAACAGTCCTAACATCCCTTGGCAAAATCAAACAAAGAAGCGAGTGGAACCCCGGAAAATCAGTGGTCAGCAACGTCCCGAGTCCCGAGGCCGTGCCTAGGTCTCTGCCCAGGCTGGCACTCCCGGTGCCTCCCGTCAGCGCAGCTGTCAGCTGGGCAACAACGACCGCCCCTTCGGAAGTTGGGGGAGAGCCTCAAAATTCCAAGGTAATGGGCTCTTGCCCCACCTTGGGATGAGCCACCCTTTTGTTCTCGTACTTCTTCCGGGTGAATTCTCTTTTGAGGTTTGGGTTTGGATTGAATCAGGGCTTCACCTTTGCCCCTCGGGGAAATGAGTGTGTCTGTGTTCTTGCGAGTCCCCTTGCCGGTGTGTGGTAGCTGCGGGCTTCCGTGCTATGCAGGGCGTCAAGCACGTCCTCCTGTTCCATTTGCGAGTTGAGAGGAGCTAGCAAATGTGTGCTGGTGAGCCGTTGCTGATGCAGAGTTAACTTGGAATTTTCAGGGTCCAGGAGACTCCGTGCTTAGGGTCCCCATTGTGTTTCTCAAGGTGAGCGCAAGGTATGTGTTGCTCTCGTATATTCCCCCTCAGGCTCCAAATTTCAATCAACCGAAGGTCAGCAGCCGGGCCTGCACACTGGGGATGGGTTTCGTCTGCTTCATCTTCCTGCGTGTGTGTACACGTCATATGCTGGAAGTGAGTGATTGGGCACCTGGAAGCCATTTTTGGAATTACCTAAAACTGGTGGTTCTGCCCAAAGGACCCAGAAACAAAAGGTGATCACCTTTTGGGGCCATGACTAAAACTAGACCAAGAAGGAAAAACCAAAAGGTGAAGCGGTCGATTCGCTTTGGGCAGCTGGGGGTTGATTTAAGCTTGGCGGCGACAGGAACTGGGAGCTGGCTTCCGCTAAACATAAAACTCAGATGCCCAGTGGCCAGGCAAAAGAATCGGCATCATTTTTGTTGGCTGGTTGACTTTGAAGGGAACCCGAAACCAAAAAAAAAGTGGAAAAAGGGGCGGAATCCAGTGGGCAACTGGGAAAAGGTAGAGTCCGGAAACTGAAGTGAGGGGGGGCTGTTGCTTGCCAGTTTCTCCCAGACCTGCCTTGTCTCTCAGCCTGCTTGTCTCGCACTCCAAGAGTAACGCTGGTGCCTGCAAACGCCACGAGTCGGCATCCCCAAGTGAGGAGCGCGCCCAAAACCCATTGGCTGTCCTCAGCTCCCCAACTAAAAGTTTAACTTTTAAAAGTGGATTAAAGGGAACCAAAAAAACCTTGGGGGATGGCTTGCAGCAGGTAAGATGGGCTGCAGGTTAATGTGTATGTGTTTATGTAGGCCGTACTACCACCTTCATGAAACCAGGTTGTAGAATCGCCTAGTAAAATTGCCAATGGGGCGCTGCTCAAGTAACACGGGCTACGGTCAAAATGCCAAACGTTCCCTGAAGATGACATGGGACATTTAGTGAGTCCCCTGGATTGTGTGTGTGTGTGCTTTTGTGTTTGTGTTTATTTAGTTCCCCTGGTTGTGGGATACGGTGAATGGACAAAATCCGTTTCGCGCCAGTTGTAGGAAAACGCTAAACATGGTCCCACGTCGCGCGCCGCCGGTGCGTTGCAGACACGCCCAATGCTGCATTTTGCTGCAACATGCATCGCGGTAGACTGCAATAGCTAGACCACGTGTAGTGTTTTCTGAAGTTGGAATGGATCATGAACCCTGGAAATACAGGGATAAACCACCTGCCAAGTGCAGGATTTTGTCGCTCGGGCGGAATTGGGTGAGCAACCCTCAGGCTCAAACAGCAATTTGACGAGGCCCCGTGACATCTCCTTTCGAAACGCATAGACAGATCATCACGAATGTTGCCTGTTGCACATTTTATGGCGGATGCGTGTACCTGTCGATGAGTAGAGGGAGTTTCCAAAGCAGCTAAAGTTGTTGTCTCCACACTCCCACACCAACCTGGTACTCAGCCAGCGTTTCTCAGGGGATGGGTTCTCATCATGCTGAACCCATAGAGGAAATGGGCAAACGTGAAAGCCCGATTTCCTTGCGGGGAAATCTAAAGAGACAAAGAGTGAGACGGAGAGAGAGAGAGAGAGAGAGAGAGAGAGAGAGAGAGAGAGAGAGAGAAAACACAGACTTATGTCCCTCCCAACTTGACCATGGCTTACTGGAGATGTCGACTGAAACAAAATATCAACAACGGACAAGAATACATATTTGGACAAATTGTGTGGTCATCCAGGGTGTCTTGTGTCAATGCGGCTTGTCAAACATATGAACCACGTTCAAAATATGTGGCCCTGAGAAAAGGAGCACCCCAAATCGATAGACTTTCGCTCAAAATTGGACCGAAGCTCCCCTCACTTCGTGAGTGGCTTGGCCAGAAAACAAGTCCAGGAGCTTTTTGTTTGCCACTAAAATGGTCCAGAGCCAAAAGTGACCAAATTTCAGGAACTCAGGAAGTGAGTCGTACTAACCATAAGGTCTACTAATGATGATGAGCATAGGTGTCCTTTTGGACAAATAGATGGGTTTCCCTGGTACATGCAGCACAACACCCATCTGAGCTTCCCTCAGATCCCCCCGCTAAAAGTATAACTTTTACTGGGTGAAAGGGAAACTACAACTAAACACTAAAAGGCTAAAAAGCTAAGGGACCGGATGGCTGGGAGCCACCAAGCCATCTAAACCAGACCATTGATTTCTATCCAAACCAACCGCTGCGCCCGCAACTGCCTGCTCCATTCAGATGGACGGTAGCAGGGCCTCCGACGCCTGCGCCTGCCGTACAGAGGTCAGAGGTCGGATGCCCCACTTTGCCTACTTATGGCAACCCAATATTATGGAATTTGTGATAGGGTTCCAACTTTTCACGAGTAGTTGTGTCCAACTCAAAACTGACTTTTCGGCACCCAACATTATTCTAGTCCTCCAGTAGAAAGGTTAGAATAAGGGTGCCAACTTCTTTCCGTCGTCTAGTTTAGTAAGGGAAACCCTCCCCCAAAAAGGGTAGAAGGGCACTACTGGGGAACCTAGTTATGGAATTTGTGATTTGTTACAACTTTTTACGGCTAGTTTGAGGGTCCAGGCACTCAAAAAACCAAACAAACCAGGCAATCTAGGTACATTGTGCGTGTGGCTCAACATTGAACAGCTGGCGTTACGCAGGTCTTAGTCTTTGTTCCCATATACCAAGGTGCCACTTTGGGTGCCATGAGAGAATCGGTTTCCTTTGTTTTAGCGCGCCCGTGCCAGTCCCCCCTGGCCCCACTTGCGCGCTCTGGCACTCAGCCCACCAAAACCCGGAGATCCGCATTGGTTGAAGCCTGCCTGCTAACCCTCATCCTTTCCGGTTTTGCTGGAGGATCCATTTTCGGGGACAAATCCATCCAGATGTTTTAGGGTAGGGCTCTCTTGTTTTCCTTGCGGGGGGGCCAGCACAAATCGATCCAAACCCTTAAAATCGAGGGGCGAGAGTACGAATTGGCTGCGGTTTGAGATCGTGCCAGTCACTCACGAGCGCAAAACCACTCGCAACTTCGACCTTGCCTCCTGACCAGGCTCTTTCTGAGCCTGCGGTGCACACCCCGAAATTTCGCCACCACCTGGCAAGGAACTGTTCGACGTTGGGGGGGGGGGTCCTGGCTTGGACCATGCTCCTTTGCAAGGGGCCCCGGTTCCAGCGGTTCCGGCGGTTCATTCGTGGAAGGGAAGGTGCGTCGTTTTTTGTTTAGGGTGCCCAAACAGATTGTGGTTTGTTTTTTTGGTTTCCCTCCTCCCTTTCCTGTTATGTGGAGTAATGTTGACCCCATATTGATCAACCCCAGTTTATTCATAGGGAGGTCTCTTTGGGTTTAGTGGGGAATCAGCACTTTTTGGAGGGGAACACCCCCCAGGGTTGATTAGTACGGGGCAAACGTTAAGTCCCTTTAAGTGGCGTATGTGCAATGTTGACCCCGGATGAATTAATCCCCATTTTTGTGTTTTGTTGTTCCCTCCAAAAGTGATGACCCCCTCCATGACCCCCACTAAAACCAAAAAACACGCCCCATATTAAGAAACATGTATGTAGGCATGTATGTACGCATGTATGCATGTAAGTATTCATGTAATGTTATGTGATGTAATGTAGTGTAGTGCAATGTTATGTAATGTATGTATGTATGTATGTATGTATGTATGTATGTATGTATGTATGTATGTGTGCGCCCGAACGTATGAAAGCTTCACTGCAGCTACGCACAAAAGCTTAACTGCAGTTCAGAGGCCTTGGGCTTGGATAAATTGCGACCTCTCCCAACCTTGTGCCTTGCGACTTGTTTCACCAAGACCAACATATCCCACATTTCCCGGGTAGGTGTCCCATTGGTGGGATTTGCTCAATGTTCACGCAGACATGCTTACATGCATACATGTGTGCATGCGTGCATGGATGCACACATACATATACATACATACATACATACATACATACATACATACAGTACAGTGCAGTGCAGTGCAGTGCAGTGCAGTGCAGTGCAGTGCAGTGCAGTGCAGTGCAGTGCAGTGCAGTGCAGTGCAGTGCAGTACAGTACATACATACATACATAGAGGTGACTAGGCCTACCTTTGTCCAAAAAATACTCAATCTTGCGCTTTGAAAAGCCGCTGGAGTTGTCTGAGTGAGCTAGTGAGGAAGTTTGGGCAACATAAATCAGTTCAGTCTCTTCAGCACCATGGCCGAAGAACAAACTGAAATGAATGAGACAGCAAAACAAATCTGAAACCTCTAAAACTTGCACTTCCGGATGGCCTCAGTAAACACCTTGCTTATAGGGCTTTCTCAGATCAGAAGATCCCTGTCCCTGAAGCTGCCACCTGGCGCCGTTGCAGGTACTCGTCCAGCCGCCGTGGGGTCCTTGCCAGACCGCGGCGCTGAAAGACATCCTGTGGACAGACCCTGGCGAGGTCACGAAGATGCAAACATACAACAAGGGTTGCACGTTCTTTGAGCAAGAAGCTGCCGCCTGGCGCCGTTGCAGGTACTCGTCCAGCGCCATGGGGTCCCAAAAGAGGTTTGCCAGACCACGGCGCTGAAAGACATCCTGTGGACAGACCGCACGTTCTTTGAGCAAGAAGCTGCCGCCTGGCGCCGTTGCAGGTACTCGTCCAGCACCGTAGGGTTCTGAAAGAGGTTTGCCAGACCGCGGCACTGAAAGACATCCTGCGGGCAGACCCTGGCGAGGTCACGAAGATGCAAACATACAAGAAGGGTTGCACGTTCTTTGAGCAAGAAGCTGCCGCCTGGCGCCGTTGCAGGTACTCGTCCAGCGCCGTGGGGTCCCACAAGAGGTTTGCCAGACCGCGGCGCTGAAAGACATCCTGTGGATAGACCCTGGCGAGGTCACGAAGATGCAAACATACAACAAAGGTCGCATGTTCTTTAAGCGCCTGGCCGTTGCAGGTACTCGTCCAGCGCCGTGGGGTCCCAAAAGAGGTTTGCCAGACCGCGGCACCTCCAGGCAAGCACTGCAGAACGGACACCGCCGAGCTGAGCCCCGTAGACCGCCCCGTACACTGCCGAGCCGCCGAGCTGAGCCGCCGCCTGCTGTGCCCTGCAGACCGCCGAGCCGCCGAGCTGAGCCGCCGCCTGCCGTGCCCCGTAGCGCCGTGGGGTCCAAAAGAGGTTTGCCAGACCGCGGCGCTGAAAGACATCCTGTGGACAGACCCTGGCAAGGTCACGAAGATGCAAACATACAACAAGGGTTGCACGTTCTTTGAGCAAGAAGCTGCCGCCTGGCGCTGTTGCATGTACTCGTCCAGCGCCATGGGGTCCCAAAAGAGGTTTGCCAGACCGCGGCGCTGAAAGACATCCTGTGGACAGACCCTGGCGAGGTCACAACAAGGGTTGCACGTTCTTTGAGCAAGAAGCTGCCGCCTGGCGCCGTTGCAGGTACTCGTCCAGCACCGTGGGGTCCTGAAAGAGGTTTGCCAGACCGCGGCACTGAAAGACATCCTGCGGACAGACCCTCACGTGGTCACGAAGATGCAAAAATTCAGCAAGGGTTGCAGATTGTGGAGCCGCGCTTAGCGACACGAAAGGCTTTTGAAGCTTTAAGTCAGGAGCACTAATGGGGTCCATCCGGAGCCCGGAACTGACACTTTCCTGGTTCATCAATAGGGTTGAATGGCGGAGGCTTCGCTGTTGGGGACATACCTCATTGGTTCGTAGCAGTATAACTTTCCAAAAGATCCAGCTGCCAATTGACCACCTGCAGGGCCCACCTGCCTGGTGCTGGCACGGGGCTGTCTACACGCCTTGGTTCTGTACCTGGGATGGGCTACGAGAGGCCATTGGACATGAAAGATGCGGGATGACTATACTCGAATCGAACGAAGGCTCTTTCAATCAACCTGGTTTTTCATGGGATTGCTTATTACGTAGATCTTCGGCAGACATCTCAAAGCCTTTCAACCATTGGATTCCCATTTGAACCTTGCAAAAGAGTTTCAAATCGTGCTCGTTGTGGGTTCGAAACCAAGGACTTCGGCCAAATTTTGATGCGGCTCAAGCTCACCGAAAATCGCCGAGCGAACTGGACTGTTGCAAAACGCCTCCATGCAATGACTCCTAAAAAGGATTGCGCCTGAGCAGCAAAACTCAAAAAGCTACACTTCCCGCGCTGAGACAACAGAACCTCAGCATCCATTCAAAGGACGACTTGTTGAATCGCAAACGCTTGCGGACGCTTGCGAACATAGTGACATGCCCAGACACTCTACGTTGGGGAAAAAGTGATCAGGGCACAGGGACCACCAGCCTGTAGTGCTGCAGCCTTGCATCCAAGACTCGGCACTTTCTCTCTTTTTCACGGCGTGCTTACACCCGTGTCCCGATACTCTGGCACACCCGCGCAGCAGCTGATGCTTGTTCCAAGGCAGCGCAAATATCCAACGCGCGCATGTGGCTTAAGCCGGACTTCAAGCCACCACAAATCTCCTAGGTTGACATGTCAAACACGTGCATGTACATGAGGATGACCGCAATAAACACAAACAAACAATCATACATACATACATTGATTACATACATTGATTACATACATTGATTACATACATTGATTACATACATTGATTACATACGTACAAACATACAAACATACACACATACAATCATACAAACATACAAACATACATACACACCATACATACATACATTACATACATACATACATACATACATACATGCATACATACATACATTACATACATACATACATACATGCATACATACATACATACATACATACATACATACATTAAATTAAATTAGATTACATTACATTACATTACATACATACATACATACATACATACATACATACATACATACATACATACATACATACATACATACATACATACATACATACATACATACATACATACATACATACATACATACATACATACATACATACATACATACATACATACATACATACATACATACATACATACATACATACATACATACATACATACATACATACATACATACATACATACATACATACATACATACATACATACATACATACATACATACATACATACATACATACATACATACATACATACATACATACATACATACATACATACATACATACATACATACATACATACATACATACATACATACATACATACATACATACATACATACATACATACATACATACATACATACATACATACATACATACATACATACATACATACATACATACATACATACATACATACATACATACATACATACATACATACATACATACATACATACATACATACATACATACATACATACATACATACATACATACATACATACATACATACATACATACATACATACATACATACATACATACATACATACATACATACATACATACATACATACATACATACATACATACATACATACATACATACATACATACATACATATACATACATACATACATACATACATACATACATACATACATACATACATACATACATACATACATACATACATACATACATACATACATACATACATACATACATACATACATACATACATACATACATACATACATACATACATACATACATACATACATACATACATACATACATACATACATACATACATATACATACATACATACATACATACATACATACATACATACATACATACATACATACATACATACATACATACATACATACATACATACATACATATACATTACATACATACATACATACATACATACATACATACATACATACATACATACATACATACATACATTACATACATACATACATTACATACATACATACATACATACATACATACATACATACATACATACATACATACATACATACATACATACATACATACATACATTACATTACATTACATACATTACATACATACATACATACATACATACATACATACATACATACATACATACATACATACATACATACATACATACATACATACATTACATACATACATACATACATTACATTACATTACATTACATTACATTACATTACATTACATTACATTACATTACATTACATACATACATACATACATACATTACATACATTACATACATACATACATACATACATACATACATACATACATACATACATACATACATACATACATACATACATACATACATACATACATACATACACATACATACATACATACATACATACATACATACATACATACATACATACATACATACATACATACATACATACATACATACATACATACATACATACATACATACATACATACATACATACATACATACATACATACATACATACATACATACATTACATACATACATACATACATACATACATACATACATTACATTACATTACATTACATACATTACATACATACATTACATTACATACATACATTACATTACATACATTACATTACATTACATACATACACATACATACATACATACATACATACATTACATACATACATACATACATACATACATACATACATACATACATACATACATACATACATACATACATACATACATACATACATACATACATACATACATACATACATACATACATACATACATACATACATACATACATACATACATACATACATTACATACATACATACATACATACATACATACATACATACATACATACATACATTACATACATACATACATACATACATACATACATTACATACATACATACATACATACATACATACATACATACATACATACATACATACATACACATACATACATACATACATACATACATACATACATACATACATACATACATACATACATACATACATACATACATACATACATACATACATACATACATACATACATACATACATACATACATACATACATACATACATACATACATACATACATACATACATACATACATACATACATACATACATACATACATTACATTACATACATACATACATACATACATACATACATACATACATACATACATACATACATACATACATACATACATACATACATACATACATACATACATACATACATACATACATACATACATACATACATACATACATACATACATACATACATACATACATACATACATACATACATACATACATACATACATACATACATACATACATACATACATACATACATACATACATACATACATACATACATACATACATACATACATACATACATACATACATTACATACATTACATACATACATACATACATACATTACATACATACATACATACATACATACATACATACATACATACATTACATTACATTACATTACATACATACATACATACATACATACATTACATTACATTACATTACATTACATTACATACATACATACATACATACATACATACATTACATACATACATTACATACATACATTACATTACATTACATTACATTACATTACATTACATTACATTACATATACACATACATACATACATACATTACATACATACATACATACATACATACATACATACATACATACATACATACATACATACATACATACATACATACATACATACATACATACATACATACATACATACATACATACATACATACATACATACATACATACATACATACATACATTACATACATACATTACATACATTACATTACATACATACATACATACATACATACATTACATACATACATACATACATACATACATTACATACATACATCCATCCATACATTACATTACATTACATTACATTACATTAAATTACATTACATTACATTACATTACACTACATTGCATTACATTGCATTACATTACATTACATTACAAACTATTACATACATTACATTACATTACAGTACATTACATTACATACATTACATTCCATTACATTACATACATACATTACGTTACATTACATGACAGTGCACTACACCGCATTGCATTACATTTCATATACATATACATATACTTATATATATATATATATTTATGGGCATATATACATATTATATATAACCCCCCCGATCGATCTACCTTTTGCTGGTTGAAGGCTATTTTGAAGATGGAATGTAGCTGTTTTATTTGGAATGCCCTATGCGACTTGACCACCTGAGCAAGGAAATCCTATTCAAAATCTAATTTGGACGAACAACTGCAATTTTGTGTTTTCAATGAAAAGGAAATCCTATTCAACTGATCTTTAAAACTGGACATTCAACTATAATTATATCCTGATTAGATTCCAGTACATTTTAAATAGAAAGTGGAGAAACAATATCCCGGGGACGTTCTCTTTAAAACATGTTTTGAATTAAGAATCCCACTAAACATGTTCTTCAAAATGGAAAATATATTCAAATAATATTTAAGTCTAGACATTCTATTAAACTAGGTGCTGTTCACTTTCAATTTCTACTTAAGGTCCAATTAGAACATTGAACAAATCATCATGGAAAAAGACATCCTTTTGAACATCTATTTTAAGAATTCCAATCATTAAACACCTTTAACAAAAGAACAGATACACACGAGGTAAATTATCTTTCAAGCTAGACATTCTAACAAACTATGCCAACAAATCAACCCGTTTGAACATCTAGGTTCAAATAAGAATTTGAATACACATCTAGTTCGACAAGCAAATCCTATTAAACCTATCTTTAAACTAGCAACTTTACTAGGGTGCGTTCCTTATTAAGTTCCAAGTCAATGCTAATGAGAAAATTGAACAAACACAATCCTAGGAACAGATATCCTCTTAAACGGCATCTTTCAAATCTGTTTTGAGGCAAGAATTCTGACCCATATCGAATACTTTAAAATCCAAGCAAACAAACACTCAAAAGGCACAAAAACCGTGTCTTTTGAACAAACCAGCATGTTTCCAATGAAATTCATTGAACAACCAATTACAAGAAATAAGTCCGATTCCTATAAACGCAAGTCAATAAACCCCAAACCCTACACCCCAAACCTGTCCATTCTATGCTCAGGTCTGGCTGGGAAGGTCAAAATACAAGTAAAATGATGGAGCCAATAGCCAAAAAGTAAAAGCGTAAAGTTCTGGAGCGAATGATACAGAAGAAAAAAGTAAAAAAGCTTGAAGCCAATGACCCAAATGTAAATTTATGGAGTCAATAACCCAAAAGTCACAATGCAAAAACATGCAAAAAGTAAAAGCACACAAGTAAAAAGGAAATAAAGCAAGTAAAAAAGAAAGTAAAGGAGACAAAAAGTAAAAAAGTAAAAAAGTAAAGGAAAGAAGTAAAGAAGTAAAGAAGTAAACAAGTAAAAAAGTAAAAACACTAACAATAATTTGTTTTTGAGTAAACACATTTTTGGAGTAAACAAATCAGCCCATGGTCCTGAATCCTGAAGTAAACTGTTTTGACCATGGACTGACATATTTTACTTTTTTACGTTTTAACTAAACAAACTTTTGGGCCATTGGCTCCATAATTTTACTTTTATACTTGTTGCTTTTTACTTTTTTTAATTTTCATGTTTCACTTTCTTACTTTCGGGTCATTGGTTCCAAAATTTTGCTTCTTTACGTTTTCACTTTTGGGCCAATGGCTCCAACATTGCTGTTGTTTTGCATCTTCTGACAAAGCCTCAGCTTAGGAATAGGACCGAGGTAGATCCAACCCGACTGGATTTGGACATGCGCCCGTTTTTGCTGCTTTCCCCAAAGCCCCAAAAAAAGCACAAAACACTGCAAATACCAGTGAATTCTCAAGGAAGGTAGATCCATGGGGGCCTGCCATTATATATATATATATATATATATCATATAATATATATATATATATAACCATATGCATATGAATGTATGTACATATATTACACACATGCACATCCACATGTTTCCTTGGGCAAAGTGACCCGAGCCACGAGTGCCTGTGTCCAGCGTGCGCTCGGCTGTAGCGGCTGTACTCTCAGAAGCCAGCGCCTGCGTCGGACACGAAACCGAGCCTCAGCTGCCCCCAAAAAACCATAGGATTCACCCCAGAATGAGGCCTTTTAGTTGGTTTAGTTGGTTTAGTTGGTTTAATGGCTTGCGGTGGGCTCTTTTTTATCATAGACATCCACCCCAAAGAGTGGTTTCAGCTAATTGGGTAGCTTGGCTGTTCACTCTCTGACCCTCTTTTTGCTGGGGGTCTGGACCTTAAACAAAACAAAAGAAGTTCAGACTCCTTTGGCCAATCTACTGGATGGGAACTTGGTGGCTCCCGGGCATCCGGTTCTTTAGCTTTTCAGCTTTTTAGTTGGTTGATTCGGTTTCCGTATTTAACCCACTAAAAGTGCAGGGGATCAGGTTGGGCAGCCTAGAGTGAGGCTTAATGTTGACCCCACATTTAATCAACCCCTGCGTATGAATAGGGGATGTTAACCTGGCTAAAAAGTCGGAAATCAGACCACTTTTGGAGGGGCCAAAAACCACCCCCTATTCATAAACAGGGGTTGATTCATATGGGGTCAAAACTAAATGTGAGCAGAAACACATTCAGGAAATTGTTTGAGGGTCCAGGTACCTGGAGCCAGCTTCCCAATTGGTGGTTTGAAGTGTGGTGGGTAGGGGGTGGATTCCCATTTGCCCCTACAAGAACCAGGGCTTCAAATACTTGTAGGAGTCTCCACCTTGAAACACGGAGCCATCCACCCAAACAAACAAATGGTCGACCCCCGTTCTTAAAGCTTCAGAAGAAGACTCCATGCAGGTATCCCACTCTGCGGATGGAGGCGAAATCCGCTTCTCACCCCACCGAACTCAGAAACTCTGTAATGAGTCGATCCCCCACCTAAGAAACCCTGGAATGATGATTCCCCTTTAACTACCAACAAGCGCTATGACGTCCTTCCCATGGTTTCATTTCGTGGTGCAGGATTTCGTCCATCCACAGTTGTTCTCAATGGTGAAACCTTCTTTTTCCAGTTTGGCAACCATTTGAGGAGAAGCAACGGTAGGGCTAGAATAGGCAACCAAAGGTCAACAGCCTTCAAAAACTGAAAGGACATCACACGCACCCTATTCCAATTTCCCCTCCTCCAAATACTTGGCATCGTGCTGAGCACCAAACAGGCAGAGAACCTCCCAGAATGTCTCTAACCAACAAACCAGGATTCCCTCCCGTCCACGAAAAATGTAACCCACCAGAGGGTCCTTTAGTCCAGGACCCCTCAGTCAGGTTCCATGTTTGTTGATGGGAGGGTAAATCTCCGGAATCAATAGAGCAACTCTGCTTCAAAGGAAACCGCAAAGGGCACCAGATTCGGGGTGTCATAAGCCTTGCGGCAGATGCAGTATGCACTTTCACTCTTCCAGCGCTCCCTGTTGCCACTATGGTAGGCGACCAAGCAAGGTTTTGGCTGTAGCTTTACATTTATTGGTTTGGCTACGTATGCTGGGGAAAACTACAAACCTCCAGCCAACACTTATTTGGCTTTGCTTTGCCAGGAAAAGTTGCAGCGTAAGCTTCTTAAGCCAAAGATCGAACAAGTAGGCATTCAAGCACCTTGGCATCCTCAGCTTCTTGAGGCACCTATTCCAAATGCCCACTAGGGCACCATGTCAAACCCGTGACTGCAAAAGGGGAAGCCTTGTTTGTCAACATAAACCGGCTACCCTAGTGCTCTATAAAGGGCAAACCCTGCCTTGGGAAGCCTTGCTTGTCAAAATACACCAGCAGCTACCCTAGAACCAGCGGGTATTGGGAGTAAGGGGCCAGAAGCCGCGAACCCACATTGCAAGACCTGCGCATCTCGCGTGCTGCGTTGCTCAATATAAGTTGGGCGGGCGCTTGGAAGTAAGAAGTGCAATTCAAACCGCTGGGTGAGCAGGGTGCTTGGGTGACCCCATTTCGCAAGTGGCTCATATCCCCAATTGCGTCCCTTTCCCGTATCAAGTGGGATTCACCGGGGATATCAAGTCATCCATCTCCTTTCGCCTCCCTTTCAGCAAGGCCATATAAGCCAAAGAGGGTATAGGGAACCATGCCATGCCTTGTGTGTCCAAAAGTCTCCCTCTAAACCCAGGGATCCGGATGCAGTGAATACACCTGCAACTTGAGTTTGGTGGTGGAAAAGCCACATGTTTCAATTGGTTGCGAAATGTAGCTTTTAAGGAGCCCTGGTAATCCACGCCTGATACGTTGATTTCAAGAGCGCCTGCACACAGGCCCTAAAAAAGCATCCGCCGCCGTGGTGGCATGCCCTTAAATGGCTGCGAAATGGAGATTCCTTTTTTTTTGGAGCCCTGGTAAACCAACCCCCCAAAAAAAAGACCCTCCAAAAAAGACCCTCCAGAAATGGGCACCCTCCATAAAAACAAACAAAAAAAACCGCGCGAGCGCGGTCGGTCGGTCCCTCGAGCGGCCTGCTCCGAGTCCTCCGAGATCTTCGGCTCCACCTGGGCTCGAGGTCGAAACTCGGCCCTACAACCTGGGCTGTGCTCAGATCCCCCGCGAAAAGCTGTGTTTCTTATTTTTTTTGAGGGTCCCAAAATGGATAAAACATGTTTTTTTTACTTTTAGTGGGTCAAAAAATGGATAAAACCGTTTTTCTCCCACTTTTTGTGGGTCAAACAATGGATAAAACCCATGTTTTTACTTTTAGTGGCGTCAAAAAATGGATAAAACCCCAGTATACCATCAAGAAAAGCTGATAAATCCACAAGAAACCACTGAACACCGACTAAACAGTCCTACTTGAACCGGACGATTCACTGGGAACCGCCACTAGGTCCTCCAGTAGAGAGGTTAGAATAAGGGTACCAATTTGTTTCTGTCGTCTATTTTAGTAGGGGAACCCCTCCCAACCAAAAAAGATGGTGAGAAAGGGCACCTAGCTGGGGGACCTGGAAAAACTTCGCCGCCGAACCCGCAGTCAACGAATCCTATAGCCATGGTCTGAATCCCCCACTAAAAGGGAAGACCCCCTACTGTGGATGGACGCGAAACCCATTTCGCACCACTTGGGGTTTTGAGGGGAAACGGAGTTTCTTAGGTGGTGAGAAACACACCTGAGGTGTCTCGTCCAGCGAGCACAAGTAGAGAGCTTCCGTGCCAGATCTTTGAAGGCGGTAGAACATATGTCTCATATGCTCGTGGATACACATACGTATTAAACATGATATACATATATCCCCCAAACGGCCCAACATGGTCTTGGACACATGACCCCAGCGAATAATCACGCCGAGAAGCGTCGCCATTTCCCGGATGTAGAGACCTGCTTTCGACCCGCGAGAAAACACCTGTTGATTCGGGTTCAGCTTTGTGTGTGAACCAGAAAAGTGAGACTCCCAAATGGGTCTGTTTCCGCAACTTGAAACATGAAGTTGACGGTTGTTGAAAAAGGAATTTTGGAGTGCTCAACATTTCCCCTCTTAGAGGGTCACAAAAGAGTACAACGAAAGGCACCCTGGTTTTGAACCACCCTCACATGATGTTGTTCAGTTTGGCGCCCTTTCCCCACAAAGTCAACATGTTCTTCCTCATGGGTTTGCACCCCTATTTTGGTTGAAGCCCTTATTACTTGTTCAGGACATACCGATTTGGGTGTGTGTCAAAAAAAGCCAACCCCCAAATGGGGTTTCAGCCAAGGCGCAAAAGGGAAACCCGGAAAGCCACGCACTCTTTCCGTCTGTAAAGGTGCGCTCCGATCGGATCTTGCCAACGAACTCAACCGATCCCTTGTGAAGCAAAATGGAATGCACCCCGATCCTTAGGGATCACAACACCCAAATCCCTTTTGATCCATTTGATGTTGACCCTGGATTAGCACACCGTGGTTGGTGAATTGGGGGTGCCAAACTGGTGGGGATTCAGAATCAATCGACTTTGCAGGAGAGGAACACCCTCATCTTTGGTTCAAAGCGGTATATTCATCTGGGGTCAACATTACCGTTTCCCTCCAGAATCCAAACCACTAAGCCCATTTCTGTTTTTCAGGGAATGGTCTCCCTTCCACACAAATCCCTCAGCCCAGTCCTCTTGGTGATGGCCAAGAGCACACAGAGTGAATCAAAACAATGGGTGAGAACGGGGGATCAGCCCTAGGTCGAGGTTAGAATAAGGGTACCAACTTTGTTCCGTAGTCTATTTTAGTAGGGGAACCCTCCCCCAAAAAAGTTGGTCAAAGGGCACTACTGGGGACCTAGTAGTCTGTAGAACACGTACAACTTTATGCCTGGACACTCCAAGTCCCTGAAAAATTGGCTTATTGCAACCCAAAACGATGGTGGGTGAAATCCCCCAGTTTTGCGGACTTGAGGGTCCTAGGTGCCCTGAAGCTTGGGGCAAACCGGGTTTCTGCCCCAGGTCCCAAAAAGGTCAGATGGCCATGGAAAAGAATCGAGCTCAACAGGAGGCCCTGCACCCCTAGGGCCCCTAAGTCATGTCCAAACCACTTCAAGACCAAAGTGTTCGTTGCATCCTTAGGTTTGAATTGTTTGGGGGTTCCCTGAAAAAAAAAAAAACATGAGGAGAAACACCCCCAACCATCCATTTTCTTAGAGGGTTCCCTAGGGAATCTCCTCTTGGACCATGACCTTATGAGAACTGCCGGTGACTCACTTCCGGGTGAATGGCCCAAAAAAGTGCCGAAACTTTGCATTTACTACTCAAATGTTCCAAGCACAAAGACTCAGTTGTTCAGTGACCCTGGAAAAAGAGGGAACCCTTCTTGGGGAAGACCACGTGTAGTGGGGCAGCCACCAAAAAAAGCCGGAAAAAGAATTGGTGCTACTGAACAACACTTCGAAGAGTCCTTAAAACCATGGGGGTCATTCCCCAAAATAAAAAGGGGCCCTGGACCCATGCTTGATTCGGGTCATGGAGACTCAACTGGTCTCAACTGGTCCTCAAACACCAAAGCCGCCGATCTCCGTCCGAGTCCCGGAACTCAGGACGCGAAGTTTAAAGAAACTCCACCGGGTCTAGGGCTTCATTCGGCTCCCGGTTTCGTCAGCTCCAGGGCTCGTTTTCAGATCCCCGAAGTGGGTGAAATGGAAGCCCAACCACCTTTCTCCAGGGGTGCTTGTACCCCTCTCCCCAAAAGTGGGTTCGAAACCACTTATGAAGTGGGCTCGAAACCACGGAAGCCAAGGGGTATGAACAAGGGTATGTACTTCCACCCTGAGACTTTCACCAACTAGAAACAACTAGAAACCGAAGTTGAACCAAATGGATTTCGGAACCACCAAGCTACTTGGGGCAACTTCTTCGGCTGATTTCGGCCTCTTGGTTCCATGAAACACGGGCTTCATTCATCAAAGGGATTTCGTCCATAGCTCCAACTTGATGGTTCCCCCTTGGTTTCCCGTTTAGCGCCAACCAGTGCGTTCCGGTCATTGCCATGGAACCAACAGGTCACTAAAGAGGAAACTTGCTCAATCCACCCCCCTGTTCCATGCTGGGGTACCCTCAAAAAAATTGACACGCCAGAATGTACGTTGACCCGAAAGAACGACCCATGAAAGTTGGAAGTTGCCGACCATAAGGTTGCAAAAACCCGTTGCCAGTGGATCCCAGGTACCACTTATATAGTAGGTAGCCTTTTGCCATGTTCCATTAGCTCTTAAACAGGGCAGTTCCCTTGGTTACACTGGGATTTGTGAGTTATATTTTTGGGAGTGGGCCAAAAATTGGTACCCAAAATGGGTTGCCCTGGCAAATCGAAACAAGGACTTACACCTGCGGTCAATACCCTGGTGGCTTAAATTTGACCAATACCCTTTTGAGGGTCCAAGCATGTCTTTTTTTACGACAACAAGGTGGGTTTTCCTTTTGGTGTCCTTTTTAAACACCAACAAAACAAGTCGGTACCAACTCCACAAAAGGCACCGTACTGTGGATGGACGAAATCCTGCACCAGTTTGAAATCGTATTTACAGGGGAATCATTATTTCAGGGTTTCTGAACGGTGGTGCGAAATGGATTTCGTCCATCCACAGTGTGGCTCTGAAGCTGGAGGGTCCTACCTGAACCCTCCAAATTCCAACTTGGAAATTGGAATTATTGCAAACAACAATCATGGACTTTTGGGGGGGCCTAATTATGCGGGGGGGGGGGGGGGGAAGTATCCCTGGATAAGCCTGGGATAAGCCTGGGATAAGCCAGGGACAAGCCCTTAAGGCCTTCTTGAGGGCTTCATAAGGGATGGCGCCTCCCCCATAGGTTTTCTTAGGGGTCCCTGAATGTGTCTAGGAACTGCCGTGTTTCTTCATACTGACCACAAATAGGGGAACCCCCAAAATCGCACCCGTACATCCAAACATGGACCAACATCCAGGTACCCTGCCCGGTGGAAGACGTTTTGGCCTTGTAGTCGGGTCACCCTTCGATCCATTTCCCATTTGATGTTCTAAAGGGTGGCCAGCTGATTACTGTCCCAGGCCCATTGGGGGCCCTTTCCTTGTCCTCTTTTCTGTTCCTGTCTTTTGTCTTTAGCGGGAAAAATGCGGTGGATTTCCTAAGTGCAGGTAAACCAACCATACTCAGCCGCAAATGGTTTTATTTTGCACCCATACCCTTGGAACGGCCAACTCCCGGCTCCCCGCCTTGGCTTGACAGTGACGACTGTCGCCTCAGCGGGCGACTCGGAGTCGCCTGGCGGCGATGGGGCCATCGATGCCGGAACGATGGGTCACTCAACTACATGTGTATATATATATATATATATATGTATAGCCGCATGTGTGTATATACATATATATATATATGTAAACATGTACATGTATACATACATATATGTATATATGTATGCCTGTATGTATGCTTTTTGAGGATACCCTTTTTGGGGCTGGTTTAAAGGAAAACTCAAAGGAACACCACAATTTCGGGGGTCCCCTATTTTGAGACATACCCATATCAAGACAAACCTTGAAGCAACCAGTAGTGACAGGAGTCTCACTTCAGCCGGAACCTCAAACACCCTGTTGCCTGGCCGAGCGTTGCATCAATCGGCCCTTTAGGGGTGTCCCTTTTTGAACGGGTCGGATTTCCTAGTCAGTTGGATAGAGGAAAACAGCAGCAGGAAAACTGTTGCGCCATTTTGGGGGTCTAAAAAAGACACGCCCAAATGCGTCAGTTGAGGCTCGCGCAACCGGTAGGCAAGCAGTAGGTAAAAAAAACCAAGACCCCCAAAACTGGCGTAAAGCCTAGACGCCTGGTAAGAATCCCTTAACGATTGATTCTAGAGGTTGATTCCCCGATTCTTTTCAACCATCCTTCTTTTCCAGAAAACCCATCGCCCTTTTCGCCGGACATTTCTGATGGCTTCCTGAAAAGATTCGGATCCGTGGCTCGCCTAAAGTTTCACCGGGCCACAGAATGCCTCCTCTGGGCTTTCTCCACCGAGATGCGATTGCTCCACCGGTGTTCGGGGTGAGCATCGCCGGGACCCGGAAAGAACTGCCCCTTCAAAAGGGGAATTCATTCACCAGCCACAAGGCTGGGGCTGCAAAAAAAAAACGCGCTTCAGGGAGTCTTGAAGCTTTAGGGCGGATGCGCCTTGCTTCATGTGACCGTTATCAGGCCGTGTAGAACCACCTACTCGAATGGCCAACAAGAATCGGTCTTGGGATGTCTTGGGCGCTGATTTGTGAGGGATTTGTTGGTGTGGCATCGGATTCCCAGGCCTTGGTATTTCGCAGCCGAAGACCCGGAGCCCATGGCGCATCGATCGTAGGCGCTTGAAGTTCAATGCGCTGGGGGATCCCATAGGTCTAGGTCGCCAGTTAGCGCCACTCTTCTTTTTGGCGTAAGAGTGGACCCCTTGACGACCTAAAGATGGGATATCGCCCCAAAGTTATTGTTTATAGGTAGTTTGAGGGTCTAGGTAAATGGATTTGGGGGGTTGCCATTGCGATCTTTTCTCTATCGGAGAACGCAATGGCTCCCCTCTTGCGCCACAAAGAGGATCTGTGGGTTTGGTCCGGTATTGTTGCTGAGGGTCCCACTCCAAACAAATACTTCTCGTGGAATGTGGGCAGTGTTGACTTTAACCCGAAAACACTCATACTGTAGATGAACAAACTCCGCGACCACCCAAATCATGTTTGAAACCATGGTGTCTTGGTATTTGATTACAGGGAAGTCATTTGACTTTCCTGGGTTTCTGAACAGGTGGTGCGAAATGGCGCATGTCCTCCGGGTTCTCATTTGCCCAGTCTGGGGTAGACCCAAGTTCCGGCGGGGTCGAGGCTCCGATTTTTCGGGGCTCCTTCCGTACGGCCCCTCTTGACCTATGCAGCTGCCGCTCTCAGCCGAGCCAAGCTGACTGCGAAGACTGTCAAGGGCCATATGGGTGCTTCTCAAAACTACTGCGGATGGTTGCGAAATCATTCACCACCGTTCAGAAACCCAACAATGATTCGATCCCCCTGAAAATACCAACAAGCAATGGTGTACCATGGTTTCAACGTGGTGCAGGATTCGTCCATCCACCGTATATGATCACTCCCCCAACCTTTGACTCAGAGCGAATGCCCCGCCAAAGTCTACTTTTCTAATCTTCAAAGACCGAGAAATGGAACTATAGAAGTTCAATTGCAGGTAACCCCCTTCCGCGGATTCAATCTTGGAGGGGGTGGTGCTGCTTGCAAAGCACATGACTTATTCTCATGACTTGATTCCTACAACGCTTGCACAGCAGTCACAATGGAAGTGTGGCAAGCAATATTGAGGGGTCAATTTGTTTCGGGTGAAATATCAAGAATTGTTGCTCCCTGGCAGAATCATGGACCTGAACCAAAGACACGCACACAGAAACCCAGCAGCAAGCCGGGTCGAGCAAACGCGAGCAAACAAGTCAGCCAGGCAGACAGCAAGCAAGCTAGCAAGCAAGCAAGTTGCACCAAGTAGAGTGACTTCATCTGCTTCAATGCTCACCCAACTTAGAATCCATAAGGGTGAAAGTACATAGCCTTGTTCATACCCCTTGGCTTCCGTGGTGACTATTGGATTACGTAACAATATCAGCACGGGCTCATTTACCGAAATGCAAAAGGCAAGTGTACGGATATTAAGTGCTTGTCCCCAATAAGTCCTCCAAATGGAACTAGTCCTCTTAGGGGACACATTGACTTCTGCGGGCGTGCTTAGAACTTAGAACTTCTGGCCGAATGGCGGAAAAGGCAGGTAGGACGCAAGGAGATCAACCACTTGCTTGGCCAGTCATCCCATCGCAGACTTCCACTTGCTTAAGCCACCTGGAAAAAAACAACACATGTCCGGAAATGTAATAGAATTCCCTTTGAAACCGACCAGGGAACGTATGCTTACAAGCAAATGGTAGTGGGTCAAAAATATGTACCCAAAATTACCCAAAATGGACACCCTGGTAAATGGAAACATGGATTAAACCTGTGGTCCCGTGGTGGTTTCATTTCGACCCACCGCCAAATGGATGCGGATTGGATTGCTCTCTTTTCTCTCCACCTCCGCTCGCCGCGTTTGTGCGACCGACTCGCTCACATATCAATCGCCCCCGCGAGCTTCTGCATCTTGTTGAGCCTCGGAACTTACGCAAGAGCCGATCCGATTGACCCGGGAAAAAGTGAACCCAAAACCATCGATTCAAACGCAGTCACTCTGGCGGCAATGCCCTGAGCGTCTCGAACCCCACAAAGAGTTCTTGGACCCTCTGGAATAATGTCACTCTGGCAGCAACCCATGCAAAGAGATCTTGGACCTTCGTGAAGAACCATACTGTGGATGGACGAAATCCGTTTCGCTCCACCTAAGAAACCCTGGAATGATGATTACCCCTATAAATACCAACAAACAATGGTTCCCACGGGTTCTTTGTTTGGTGCAGGATTTCGTCCACCCACAGTAGCTCGCGCGTACATCATCGAGTTGTGTGTGTGCTTGTGTTTGTGTTTGTGCACGAGTGTGTGTTCATTTATTGGGTCGTCCCAGTTTGAAGCATACAAATGAACTTCTTAAGCCTCGAGTGAATTCGTGGCATCGCGAAACACAATCAGACCTGGTTGGGAGTGACAGGAAACAGCCAACCCAACGCGTGAACGAACGAAAGAAAGAAACAAACGGAATGAACCTAAACCCCTCAACATTAGTTTTTGTTAATGCCCCAAAATTGGGGCGAATGTCCTTTCTATGGGTAGTTCTCTGGGGTCCAGGAAGAAACAAACAGACCCAACACGTTGAACAAGTCTCGCATGGGGTGGGGTGTGGAGTTTGTGCTCAGTTCCTGACAGAAGGTCTCCCTGCTTGATGATCTCCACATAGACCTCGCGGAAAACGTCGGGCAAAAAAAGCAAGGCTCCCAAAGGCTGGCTGTGACTTAAAAAATGGAATCCAAAAAATGGCACCTTGGTATGTGGAAACAAAGGCAAAACCCTGCGTTACCCTAGCCCCTAAATTTCTGGCCACACCCAGCTCACTCGCGAATCCAATTGTGAATGTCGTGCTTGAGGTTACTGTTGGGTAGGATTAAGAGGGAAGCAATTCAAAAAAGCTATTTCAAAATGCTCCCCACCCTGAAAAGATAAAGGGGGAGGAAGTACAGGAAAGTTGTTTTGTTGGGAAAAATGGTTGCCAGTGCCGGGGGGGAGGGGGGGAGAAAACCACCTATACTAATCCGATTCTAAACAGCGTGTGGAACCAAACGGGAGAACACTTTGAGTATTCTATGCAACCTCCGAACACCCTCAAAATGGCATAGAACCAGAAAAGGTGTTTGAACAAGACAACACAAGCCAACAGGAGAAAACACACATCGGCTGCTAAAAGAGAAGTTCTGCACGCGTGAAAGTGACTCCGCCTCACCGTCTGTAGCCAAAAACAAGGAACAATCTGGGCTATTCATGGCGGGTTTGCCTATCCACAATCCATAGTGGGAAACCACGTCATTCAAGGAACCTCCTTTTGCTAGGTTTCTTGGTTGACGTTGGAAGGGGAGCAAAAAACAAGTTTTAGCAGTTAAGTGGAAATTTCAACCACTAAACCACAATAAGCAAAAATGGTTCCAATGTTTCCCAACGACAACCAAGGTTTGGTCATTCATTTGTCAGGGTTGCCAAAAGTTAAGGACCGTGTTCCTGACTTGAGTCGTTCCAAATGGAGGGATTCTGAATCCACCATCCATGGGACACCGCTGCAAAGGACACCACTCCCAAATGTGACGTTGCAAGATCCCCATGCGGATGGGTTCCCGAGTGGATGGCCCACAAGTCCCCAAACTGTTGATGTACCACTGAAATGGTCCACCAGGACCCAACCAATATGTTAAAACTAAGAAATGGGTTCTCGCCTCAAACATACTGTGGATGGACACAATCCTGCACCACTTGGAAACCATGGGACACATTTTTCATTGGTATTTACAGGGGGATCATCATGTCAGGGTTTCTTAGGTGGTGCGAAATGGATTTCGTCCATCCACAGTATGGGCTGATTTTTCCCTTTTTGATACGTTGGAGTCCCAGACCGCACCAGTGGCTCAAGTCCGGACCGGTCCGATGCCCGGAACTGGATCGGAAGTGAGTGCCACGGGCACCCCTGCTGTACCGGTCCCAGAGATTAATATTGACCCGTCCCATTATTAGAAAGGTGGTCCCTCCAAAAGTGGTCTGAATCCCCCACCTTTTAAAGGTGGATAAACCCCACTAAAAGGGGGATAAACCCCACTAAAAGAGGGATAAACCCCACCAAAAGGGGGATACACCCCACTAAAAGGGGGATAAACCCCACTAAAAGGGAAATAAACCCCACCAAAAGGGGGATACACCCCACCAAAAGGTGGATAAACCCCACCAAAAGGGGGATAAACCCCACCAAAAGGGGATAAACCCCACCAAAAGGGGGATACCCCACCAAAACGGGGTTAAACCCCACCAAAAGGGGGATAAACCCCACCAAAAGAGGGATAAACCCCACTAAAAGGGGGATAAACCCCACTAAAAGGGGATAAACCCCACTGACAGGGGACATCCCTCTAAAAGTAATGAACCCCATATTAATCAACCCGGGGTTTATTAATCCGGGGTTCACAGTACACCCCTCCACCATGGAACCTGAAATTGGCCCCTTGAGGAAGATAGTCTTCTGAGGGGTTCCCCCCCGAGGATTTCATGCTGGGGAGTGATGGCAACTTTTCAAACAAAAGCACGCACAGTTGCACCGAGCAACGAGAAAACCCAAGCAACATACAGACGCAAACTACATAAACGGAACACACACACACACACACACACACACACACACACACACACACACACACACGCCCACCAACACGCCCGCCCGCCCGCCCGCCCGCCCGCCCACCCACCCACGCACGCACGCACGCACACATCACGCACATCACGCAAATAAAACAAACCGCACAACCCACACAAGTCAAACAAACCCCACAAATCAATCAAATCAAGCAGATTAAACAGATCAAACAAAATATGTAAATCAAACTCAGCAAATTCAACCAAAGCTCCATCCATCAGACCGCTCCAACAGTTCTTCTTAATTCACATATTTATGTATATATGTTTATATATATATATATACACATACACACCCGTATGTATATGTATATACATATATATATATATGTTTATATATATATATACATACACACCCGTATATATATATATATATATATATATATTTACTTACATGTATATATATATGTATATATATAAATTAATATCATATATTTATTGCGGTGTGTGCATATATATTTATATATAATATGCGTACAGTACGTAAACCACATTCAGTTGGACCCCGACATTTCCCATCAGAAGGATCTTCCACCCCCCCTTTGGCGGCATCCGGAGTCGCCTCGCCTGACTTCTGGCATCCGCCTCGTTGGATTCCACCACCCCGGCGACCTCGGCCGAAGGCGATCCGAATCAACACCCGCGCTGAGCCGCGCTGTAGGCGTCCTTTTACTTGGTTGACCGTTGGGTTAGGGGAGCAAAAAATCTCAAATTTTAGCAGTGAAGTGGTTGGGTTCCCAATAAACCACAAAAAGCAAAAATGTGAAATGTTTCCCAACGACAACCAAGTTTAGGGGAAATGGATATCCCTGGTAGATAATTCGTCCACCAGGTGAACCAGGAATCGCCATCTAATTTTCGACCAAAACAACCACAAAGGACCTATGAGCGCTGTGGGAAACGGAATCCACTTCTCTGATACAACAAAAAAGGCCTAACCCCAAAGACTCACCCGCCACAAAAAGAGGGGATTCCCGAAAGTATCACAGTTGTTCAGTGACCCTGGGAAGAAAAGGGAACCCTCTCTTTGGGCTTGAACCATTTTTGGGGCAGCCCCGCAAAAAAAGGGGGAAAAGACTTGGTGCCACTGAGCAACTGAGAAACCGAATCACTTCAGCAGCGCCCGAACCCACAAAACCATCTAGAATGATCATCTTGGGTTTTTTTTGCCGCTCAAGTGAGTCATAATCAAAACCGATCGGTATTAAAACGGTCCATCCCCAGAACCAGCGGCTCTCCGAAGCTATTTATGGCAAGGGGATTGTCCCTTAACCTTCATCTACTCGAGTTTTGATGGCTCACCTGTAGTCCTTCTGACACTTGAAGAATGGGGGTCGACCATTTGTTTATTTGGGTGGATGGCTCCATGTTTCAAGGAGACTCAGGGATCCTTACATTGTACACCTGAACATTGCCTTGTAAATGGTGGTTTCCCTTTATGTTGGTGGAAAAAAAACATGTTTCAAACGGGCAAAATGTATCTTTTAAGGAGCCCTGAGACTCCTATACAAGTATTTGAAGCCCTGGTTCTTGTAGGGGGTAAATGGGAAACCACCCTCGAACCACCAAACTTCAAACCACCCATCAGGGGGAAGCTGGCTCCAGGAACAATTGAAACCCTCAAAGTTTCCTGAATGTCTTTATGCTCACATTTAATGTTGACCCCATATGAATCAACCCCTGTTTATGAATAGGGAGGGGTCCCTCCTAAAGTTGTCTGATTCCCCACGTTTTACCCAGGTTGACACCCCTTATTCATACGCAGGGCAACCTCAGCTGAACCCACCCTTTGGGGTGGATGTCGATGATAAAAAAGAGTCCACCCCAAAGGGGGCCTCTGCACTTGATAGAGGCCAGTCCAAGAAAAAGGTGTGGTGTTCCTCCCCAGTAAACCCTAAACCAGTCGTTTCTTTTGGGGGGATTTGAATTGTAATTGGGGCCAAAGACCAAACCCTGTGAAACCCTCTTGAGATTTTGAGCCACGCCCACCAAACAAAACTGGAAGGACACTAAACTATTCGGATGCGGCGCCAAAACCGTTGTTTGGTCCTAGGTTAATTAAGCTGCACCTGGGCCTTGCTACTGCAATCCGTAGTCCGCTTACTCCTTATTCTGGTTGGCCATCTTCTTAATCCGCAATCCGCGCTGCAAATTGTGGGCCAGCATCGCATGATGGAGCATGGGAAATCTATGCAACCCATAAATGGTGATCTGCAAACAGGACAATCTAATCCGCAAACCGAATAATCCGCCATATTTGGCTTTGAACCGGATTTTGTAGGGGTCCCCTCTTTTAAAAGACACACCCAACAAGTTGAAAGGTGGGCGTTGAAGTATATTTTATGGGCAAGTGTTTCCTCGGGAAGTGGACATGAGTACTTCTTAAGGATGCTTCCTCGGATCGCTTCGTTTTACCCATGCATTGGTGAGCTCTTATCAGTTTTGCCCAGTTCCTTGTGCTCCAGCCTTGTCGATTTTGCAGGTCAACTTGCCTGAAGAGATGAAGGACCTGGCGACAGAAGCGCAGATTGTTGCTTCGGCTCAAGGTCGCTATTGCCCCAGAAGCCTCACTGTTTTGGGGAACAATGCCACATCTTGAGACAGAGCAAATGTCCTAAACACTAATGACCCCAGTAGCCTTAGTGGCTGTGTTTGAGGTTCGTTCAGGGCAACTAGATCCAACTAGCCACAAACAGGGAATTGACCAACGATTTAACGGCAAAAAGGCAAAAATAAAGCATCTCTACTCTTGGTATTGTAGCAAAATACGTTGTTTTTTGCAGCCCCCCAGTAAGCATGAAAAGAAACACAAAACTAAGAAACCAAAAAACATGCCAAGAACAGTGAAGAAAAGGTACTGGCACCGAGCCAACTTCCAACGGGCGGTCTTTATTGTGGCTCAATGGCTCTGAGAGATTCTCTCCATTGCCTGGAAAGCAATTGTCCTCACGCGAGCATACAAACCGACACGCACACACACTTAAACTCCAGATGGAGGGTGCTAATCTTTCGAGTACAACTGGTAAGTCTCGGCTTGGATAAGGTTCTTCATGCATAAGTTTCCGCGGGCAAAGAGGGGTCCGTTTAGTTGGGGTAGCCCACCAGCTGTCATCATAGACCCAGGTGCGGCTTGCAGGTACGTTTCACGAGAATCATGTGGGGTCTTCGTTGGCAGCCGCCCACATGCTTCTCCGGCTGCCCCCTGCTTTAACCCAAAAGACCGTGACAGGGCATTCTGTCACTCCGCACACACACGCCCCTCAATGAGGGGCGAAAGCCGCTGTTTCTCTGTCAGGAAGATGCAGCTGCGCCCACCACAAGGTCGAAAGAATAGTCCACGCATCATATATTCCGCTGCGTAGCAAGTGACATGACCATGTAAGTCAAACCAAGCAAAGATTTCAACACATATGCGCAACAATCGAAGAGCCGCAGCCTGGAAGCAGCAGGTGTAGCAAGTTACATGACCACGCAAGACAAACCAAGCAAAGATTTCAACACATATGCGCAACACTCGAAGAGCCGCAGCCTGGAAGCAGCAGGTGCACCGCCAGTGGTGAGACGTAACTATGAAGAGGTGGCTGTCTTCCCTTTAGTGAAACCTCGTTCCTGGTTAAAAGTGAAATTCCGCTGATCTATGATAAGCACGTTGAGGTCAAATTTTCCGACAGAGCCGGCCCGGGGTCACACGATGGGTACGCCCGAGGATTCCCCACGAATGGGGTGTACACACTTAAACTCCAGATGGACGGTGCTAATCTTTCGAGTACAACTGGTAAGTCTCGGCTTGGATAAGGTTCTTCATGCATAAGTTTCGGCTCGCAATGGCGGTTTCCGCGGGCAAAGAGGGGTCCGTTTAGTTGGGGTAGCCCACCAGCTGTCATCATAGACCCAGGTGCGGCTTGCAGGTACGTTTCACGAGAATCATGTGGGGTCTTCGTTGGCAGCCGCCCACATGCTTCTCCGGCTGCCCCCTGCTTTAACCCAAAAGACGGTGACAGGGCATTCTGTCACTCCGCACACACACACATATTAACACAACAAAGAATAACACAACAACAAAACAACACAAAAAGGACAAACACACAACAACACACCCACACACAACACATACATACACACACACACGGACACACATACAAGAAAAGGCAACTCCGGCACTGAAGTCATGCCGGCAGCGCGAGAGCTCTGTGTCGATAAAGGAGGCAGAGACACCGAATTCGCTAGCCATGGCCTACGGCACGACGCGCGTCTCTGCGACGGAGTGGCTGCCCTGCAATGGGAGAGTCAAGTTTTAAGCCCGAGGGATGCACTCCTACCTGAACCCTCACAAGCTGCAAACAAGCTGCAAAAAAAATGTAACAAAAACTGGAATTCGCCAATTCCAGAATTTTGGGTTGCCATTTCCCTTTAAGTTGGAATGTTGAGGGTCCAAGTAGACTTTGTTGCTTAGATAGATGTGATCAATTCAAACTGGCCAAAGCGAAATGCAGGGATTGCTGACAAGTTGCGACTGACACCGTGGCATCTACAACAAAGCACGAAATGAAGCAGCTAGTTTCTCAGGAACCTTCGTCCGACCAGATTTGGGTTGCCCATCAGTGTGCCTTTGTAAACTGGTGTCCGGTTGGCCTCCCGGGGCCCGCGAACCCAATACTGTGGATGGTTGCGCAATCCGTTTCGCACCACTTTGAATCCATGGTTGAAACAATGAGTGGTTGGTATTTATAGGGGAATCATCACTCCAGGTTTCTTAGGTGGTGCAGGATTTCGTCCATCCACAGTACGGTTCCAACTTTGGCAAATGCAAGTGCTCTGCCTGGATCCTCAGAAATCAAACCTTAAAGTGACAGTTTGCCCGAAATGATGGGTGAAGTCCCACCATAGCCTCAAACTACCCAATTGTTCAAATTCTGTAAACTTTGGTTACCCCAAACTTATGGCTGGTGAGTTAAACTTTTTTATGGGTAGTTCTGTCGGGTCCAGGTGGCCATAATTCCTTCCCATGTTCGCAAACAAGCGCTATAGATCCAGGCCCGCCGCCGCTGCAACCAAACCATGACTAAAAGTCGATAGCTTTTCGCCGATACCAAGTGCTTCAGACCTGTCGCAGTCGGAGGGCTTCCAGTGGGGTTCTGGCCTCTGACTGCTTTTCCTGGGTGCTGGACCCGAAAGAGCTACCCGGTTAAAAACAAAAAAAAAGACAAAGGAATTCAGATATTTTTTGGGTTGCTGACCGCTTTTCCTCGCTCGGTGGACCCAAAAGAACGACCGGACAGCTAGAATTCACCCCGTTCATACAATTTTGGGTTGCAACCAGCACCCAAGGGTTGTCAATTGGTACATTCAAAATGGCAAAACACAAAGGCACAGGTACAAATGGACCGCTGGAAGCTGCTATAAAAGAACTACCCATTAAAAACAACAACTTTGGACAATTCACAAGTTCTATACTGGGTTGCAACAAGTCTCCCATTTTGTGTAAGTTGGACTTTTCCCTACCTGGTCGTTAGAATAAGGCTACCACCTTTTCTCAGTACTCTATTTTAGCAGGGGAACCCTCCCAACCAAAAAATTGGGGTGAGAACGGGCACCAATTGCTGGGGGACCTAGTATTGCGGCCAGCCACTTGACGCCCCGCCGGGAGGTCGATCGAAGCGTCTCCGGCGACCACTTCCCGGGCGCCTCGAGCTTCACGGACCGGTAGGAGGCTAGGAACTGCCTCCCGTGCGACTCGTCGTTTCGAGCGAGCCATCGCCGCCGAAAAAAAAAGAAGAAACAAAAAGAAAAGAAAGACACGCCAGGACCCGGTCATCGCTTCGAGCGAGCAGCCGAAGAAAAAAAAGAAAGAAAAAAAACGGGACCCGGGAACCCCGCCAGGTTCAAGAAGATGGTGTCCGCTAGCCCCAAACCGCGACTTGCAGGGGTGTAATGAGAGATACAGCCACTTGGCCACTATGTAAAGGGTATATACCCCAATTTACTCTGGGGGGAGTGGTTTGAGGGTAGTAGAAACCACCTTAGACAAGTCTATTACGTGCTTCGCTCTGCTTGGATGTTCAAGCAATGTCAGGTAAGTAGATTACAATCATGGTAACTGGTTGGTAACTGGGGTGATCGTCCTCTAGACATGGCCATAGCCTACTTACCTGACGTTGGTGGAACACCCAAGTATGTCGTGGTTCGTACTGATGGAAATGAGGGGGTTATATTTGGGCTACAACTTGGTCCACAACACAAACGTACCCATGTCCATGGAAATGTTCAGGGTTTAGGTTGGTGTTGTCTATTTGGCCAACAAACAAGGACTTTTGGGTGTGGCTGTTTTTTGGGGGAATTCTGGTGTCGGATTCACAACGTGGATTGGTGCTATGGACATAGAGCCCATACAAACAAACACATCTTGCACATTTGCATCTCTATTCTTGGTATGGCAGCGACAAAACTTTGTTTTTGCAGACCCCCGGTAAAAATGAACAGAACCAAAAACCTAAAAAAAAAAAAAACATGCCAAGAACAGTGAAGTTTGCAAAGCAGGACTTTGGCTCCACTCACCGCCACAGACTGGTGGCATGTGGTTCTTTTTGCTCTCTCTCTCTCTCTCTGCAGCCTGCAACTCCGTTGAGCGAATAATAAAGAAAAGCAAACACCTAAAAGACATGAAGCAACAAGAGTGAAGAGAAGAACCTGGTAACCTACTTCTTGGAGAAAAAAAACGGCAGTTTTCCATGTTTAAGCTCCGGTCAATGCTTATTGTTGCCCAACGCTGGATGTTAGTGAGCATTCCTTGGCACTTTGGTGAGGGTGCCCCATGTTCTCCCCCGTTTACAAAGGGCAGATGATAGCAACCCAGACCCGGCCATGGGAAAAAAACAACTTACCCCCTCCAAAAGACCGTCGAAAAGGATTGATTTGGGGGTTGTCTTTCTTCTGCGGACCCGCCAAAATGGTGGTGATCCTTGCGGTTTCCATTTAAAATCCCTCCATTCAAACAGGTACCCAACAAAAAGACAGGAAAAACAGACCCATGACTCAGATGCCCAGTGGTCCTGGGAAAAAATGGGCTCTCTTTTTTGTGGTTGAGTTTAAAGGAATCGGACCCCTACCCCAAAAAAGTTGAAAAAGGGCTTCACTGGGCAACAGACCCCCCCAAATTAAGGTGGTTGTCCTTTCGGTGTTTAAACAAACAAAAAAACATTCAAACAGGTACCCCCCGCGTCTCCGGGGTTCCGGGGTCCGAAACTTGCGCCGACTGCCGCCTGTAGGCGTTGAGCCGCATGGACCGCATGAAGTACTTCACGTGCCTCATCAAGTACCTGGCCCGGGCGTTCGTTGGGAAGGAAGCGGAACGTGACCCAAAGGAAACCATAGTTTTCTGTTTGTTAGTTTTATTATTACAGTTGTTGTTCTTTTTTCGGGTGGCCGTGTTGGGAATGAACCGGTTTTCGGGACTTTTTCTTTGTGGATTAAATGGAAACCACTCAGCACTAAAAGGCTAAAAAGCTAAGGGGATGGCTGGGAGCCACCAAGATAGGGGATTGCTTTTTTGCGGGGTCATTCCCTCCTTCCCTGCGGAGAACCAGCAATTCTTGGGGACGGGGGAGGGCTACAGAGCCAAGAAACCCCAGAAGAAACCAAAGAAGAAAACCAATTGTAGTTGTACTGTTTGGGGATGGTACCCTTGGGGTTTCCAACAAACCAGGAATTTCTAGAGGAGTTTGGGCGGGTTGGACAATTTCATTTGTTTGAACTTCCCGGCTTCTCTTGATGGGCTTTTGCCAAACGGAGGGTGGGTCATCCCGCATTTCTGAGCCATGCGGTGTATGTTCTTCTCGAAAGTAAATCAACAACAAACCATGGCACAATGGATTCCAGGTAAGACCTTGTAGGTAACCCATCGTCATTTCCTTTAGGTTTTTACAGGGTGGCAAGCCCTTGGTTACCTGGGAAAACAGGATTTATAGGGGTTTCCTTGTTCCCTACTTGCGGTATATTTAACTTGGCATCCACCGTTGCCCGAAATGAAACCAAGGGGTAGTCAGTGGCAAAGGGGACACCCCCCAATTTGAGGTTCAGAAGGAGACTCCAGGTATGCTAAAGCAAAAGTCTAGACACTTGCTGTTTACTTCCAGTGGCTCCATTTTACCTGCATAGGCGCGCGCTTACTTGTTCAGCCAAGCTTAGTGGCTTGCAATCTATTCAATCTTTTTCGATCCCAAACCATATATTTACTACAGTAGTTGCAACCGGGGGCAAGCGCCGGGGGCAAGCGCCACCCTTTCTGAAGCCAAAAGGGAACATGGAGCGAAGGGCTCCCGAATCCCTTGCCTCGGATCCACTGGGTCTACGTCAGTCCCTGGATTTCCCATTGAGTTAGGGACCTGGAGATACAAAACGCTCACCTTTTGGGCAAGGTCAGACGGTCGGCTTTGAGCAAAAGAAAAAGAGTTTAAGGCAGACCCATGCGAAGCTCAACTGGGGCCCTAGAAACCAAGCCGATCTCGCCTATCTGCTCGAACCAGGTCCATGATGTACACGAAGGAGGTCATAAAGGCCTTGTACCGGCCTCACGAAACCCGACCGACCCAACACATGGCCGTTCGTTTTGTCTGGATCCAAAATCCACACAGTTCAACTTTTTCCGGTGGCCCGGGGAATGGTCTTCCAGGACCCCCGAGCTCCACCCTGGGTGGGAGGCTGTCAACCATGACCCTGGGATCTGCCATGACGGAGCAGACTGAAAATATTCTCGGCTAACATTGCTTTCTCGGCATTAAAAAAAGAAAAAACAAAAACTGCCTGAAGGAGCACGGGGGTGGGTCCAGCGTTCTAATTTATCTAGTATTCCCCATAAAATGGAAAATGGAACTGCTAATGGAATCACTCACTTCCTGAAGTGCATGGCCCAAACAAACAGTCCAGCTCTTTCTTTTGCCACGAAGCTGGTCCAAACCTGAAAAGTTTGGGATTGAAAAATACCTTGAAGTGTAGCTTCACACTCCGAGTTGGTCGCCTGCTTGGGTGTCTTGGCTTCCTGTCCAGGATTTCTATTGCTGGTGCGAGTGACGCAGGGAATGAGAGTTGGAATGACCCCGAAGAAAAAAAAGCAACCGCAATTGGTTTTCTTCTTTGGTTTCTTCCGGCGAGAATGGGGGTTCTGCCCCCCCCCCGGGTTCTTAGCATCCCTTATGGTGTCCTTTAAGGGAAACCCCCCAAAACCGGCCGGGCTCGCGCATTCCCTACCACTCGCACCAGCAAGATGATCCCACTCGGCCTCCACGGACTTTCCCGTTTAAAGTGGCCATCGGAGAAGCGGAAAGTGGCCAACCCCCAGCCAAGGTGCGGATCAAAAGAGATGTTCTGCTTCCTCCTTTTCCCTAACCGATTCGCTTGGGTCTTCCATTCGCCAAGTTGCCAAGTTCTTGGAAACCGGTATCCACCTGTGAGTCCCCGTCCAGTGGAGCGGACCTTGATATTTGTGGTGTGCAACCTAGGCGGCGTTTTGCACTTACTGACTTGGCCGAACACCCAAGCAGTCTCCGGTGTTCGGACCACACAATGTTTACTGTATCAGCTTCGGGGCCATTCTCGATTTCTTGCGGTCCATGTCCTACCGATGATCATTTCCTATTCCCATATCTTCGACGGTAAGCCACCCCTTCTCACCCCTAACCATCCTGTGTCCCCTCTAACCACATCGCCCAAAGGAAGCTCATCTCAAAAAGGCCCAACACATACCTACCCCCTCAAACTACCCATAAAAAAGGGCATGCAGCCCCAGATTCTGGGGCAACTTGCGTCATGTTTAAGTTGGAATTGTGCGGGTCGGGTACAACATCTGGTGTAAATTACTATAATTCACAACCTCGGAAATAAGGAATCCGGAAAAGGACCTGTCGCTCCTTCTACCCCCGGATCGGCTTGCGAAAACTTGCCCGCCCCGAAGCTGGCAAACTCCTTTTGATCTGATGGACGAAATCCATCCCGCACCAATGAAACCGTGGTTGAAACCATATATGCAACGTTTCCAGCGCCACCCAACGACCGTTGTTCTCAGTTTTGTGGAAGTGCTGTCAGTTTGGCCCAACAGTGTGGAGACCCTTCTCAGCCCACTCATGGCAGCTGGGCCTGTTGGGCGTTCCCAAGCTCAGCGGCCAGAAGAACTGTCCGGCATGTTGCGCCCACACTCTGAGACTAAGTTTGGACAAGACTGGAGAAGGCTCCTAAACATATCTGGGCAAAGCAGCACGGGGCGATACGCAAGCAACACTGGCGACACACAAGCCACACGGGCCAAAGCACGCGCGAACCGCGAGGCGGCACGCAAGCGACACCGCATCGCTGTGACGCGCATGGAGCTTTGCATGGCCACGTGCCGGTAAGAGTCATGAGCAGGTTTTTGGCAGCGGTTGGCGTTCACTGTGCTCTCTCGCCCTCGTATACCCGTGCTATTTTGTGGAAACTGTGGGAATTCAGAACTTTCTTAGGTGGTGCAGCATTTCGTCCATCCACACTGTTTAGCCCACCCCAACTGAAATCCTTGTTTTTCGGAGACCCCTCCAAAACGGTCTTGCTGGGACCTCTACTTGAACTAGTTTTTTTTTATAGTTTTGTGTTTTGTTTTCTCGGAGACCCTCCAAAGGTCGGTGACGTTTGCGAGTTGCTGGGGCCGCGGCAGTAGAAGTAGGACTCTAGGAACTCCTGAAGCTGAGGCGTCTCCTTGATGACACTGAGCACCTGCCAGGCCAAGAGGCCCGCAGGACCCGCAAAAAACCCCGAGGGATTCATACGCAGGATGTGGCTGTGGGGGCAAACATAGGGGAACCCCTACATGCATAGGCGTCCTTTAGGTAGATAATTAATCCACCAGGTAAACCAGGGCCATCTAATGGAACCAAGGACTTTCACCTGTCCAATTCCTGGTGGTTTAATTTGGACCCATACCCATGTGGTCCTGGACCCTCAAAAGTCCCTTCATAGAGGGAATTCACCACCCGTGATTTTGGGGCCAAAAAGAAACACATTTTTATGGGAATGAAGGTACAGTGCTCCACATAAGGCCCAGAACCTTGGTGTGGTGAAGGGGGAGGGTGGTAGTGTCGTGCTTGCTTTTGAAAAGACGCCGCCAATTTTTGCGTCTTTGCGCTGCGTGCTTTTCTAAACGGGCGCTCCTCGAACAATAAGCTCAGGTGATATCCCCAACAGCATGTGGAACCCTCGTGGAACCCTGCCCCTCGCGTGGAACCTTACCTCCGGGCCCCGGACCACCCCGGAGCCTATCTGGGCTGAGACCCCAAAGCTTTCAGCTTGGGGAAAAAGAATCCCGAAACATTGAGGTTGGATCGTGGAGGTGGCTTCCCTTAGGCGGGGTCAATTTAGAAAACACCTCGTGTGAGAATCGTTGAGCATCTATTCTGTGATGGACGAAATCCATTTAGCACCACCTAACAAACCATGCTTGAAACTACTGTTTGTTAAGGTATTTACAGGGGAATCGACTCATTCAAGGGCTCTTGGGTGGCGCAAAATGGACTTCATCCACAGTATGGAGGCCGAAACATGTACCTGGAACCTCCCTTTTTATGGGTAGTTTGAGGGTCCAGCTAGGTTAAACAAATGGTCAATCGAATTGCTTCCAACTATCTTGTCTCAAAAAAGGAAGCGTCAAAATCCCCCCCTTCCGCGCATATTTCCCCTTTGAACATCATCTTTGTGGTGACAAATTCTGGGCTTGACAACCAGTGAAAATTGGACACGTCGCCTTTCTCCAGCCCCTTTCCCTGAAGTGAAAGCTGGTGCTCACTTGCAATTAAACGATGCAAGTGGCCAAACAAGCAAAGCAAACAAGTTGCCTTTTTCGTGCTTTGGCATAGTTTCTGGAGGGTTTATCGGATGTGGGGAAACTCCTGTTCTCACTTCCTGCATGGATTGGCCAAATACAAATCCAAACTTGTTGTTTACCATTAAAATGGTCCAGACCCAAAAAGTGACGGAAGTCCGAAACGGAACTCAGGGAGTGAGAAGCCAACCACACTTTGGGGTGGATGTCTGTAGGGGGGAAAGCCCCACAGGCTTGGCTTTGTTTTCAGTTTGCCCCCCTCCCCCCCAGCTTCCCAAACAGTGTGAGCCACCTGTTTGGCAAAAAATCGAACATATCCAGTTTTGTACTAGATGAGATTCCCTTTAAAACCAACCAGGGCCAAAGGGGGACCAAAAAAAACACGCGCACACACACACATTCACACACACACACACACGCACACATTCATTTCAGCCAATGGAAGTAAAGATGGGATCGGATCGCTCGCCTCCGGACTGCTCACCAACTGGTTCCGCACCGTCGGCCGATCCATGGACACCTTGGGCGACCCAAGACCGCAGCAATGAGCCCTGGCTCCATTTGAAGGCCCCGGGAAGGAAGAAACATACGCCAGTAGTGATGGGGAGACCTGGGTCCGGGTTAAAGGTGCCTGGACTCGCCCGTGTCCAGCTTAAGCATGGGGCAACTTGTAACCCCAAATCATGGATTTGGCGAACTTCCCACTCTTTTTTGATAGTTTGAGGGTTCAGGTACCCCCAAAATGGGTTGCCCTAGATGGAAACCAACACCTACTGCAAAAACCCACCGGCGGTTTTATTAATTTTGAGCAATACCCAAAAACCAGCAAGCCCCCCACACAATCCTTGGGGGTAAATGTGGGTGCGGTGCATGGCTTTGAAATCCAGTTCGTCGTAGGGTTACGCAGGTTTTTTCTTTGGTTCCATTTGCCAAGGGGCGATATTGGGTACATTTTTGAGCCAAAGCTATTTCGCACCACTTTGAAACCGGCAGGAAACCACTATGTTTAGGGTGTGGGTGCGGGTGGGTCGTAGCGATGCTCTCCAACAGAGGGTGTTCCCCCCCCCCAAAGAAAAGTGAAGAATCCCCACCACAATGGGACACTCCATGTACGAAATCCCGCACCACGAATTGAAACCATGGGAATGAAATAATACGTCTTGCTGGTATTTGAGTGGGGGAATCCTACAGTTCCGTGGGGTTTCTTCGAGTTCGTCCATTTCCAGGTGCTCATGTTTTGCGGGTGGTCACAATGCTCGTGTTTGGAACTGTCCGGATGAACATCTAGGTCCTCCAGCAAAGAGCTTAGAATAAGGGTACCCTTTTTTTGTGTGGTCTATTTTAGTAGGGGAACCCTCCCAACCAACAAAGGGGTGAGAAAGGGCACCAAGCTGGGGGACATAGACATGTACAGCAAGGCTATGGATGTTTTGCGCCGCTTCTGGAGCCGCCAGTAGAAAGCGCCTCGTCTCCTGGGTTCATCCGGTTCTTGGTCCGGTGGCGTCCCCAGTCGCCCGACCAGGCGGGGCGTCTCCAGCGTTTGAACGGGTACTCCCAAATCATGTCCATTTGTGTGGGTGTGTGCGGCACAAGCCACGGAACACGACTCTTGTTGCTTCAGTGAACAGCTGTTGTTGCTGATGCCTCTTGTTGGTTGCTGAGTCCAATGTTCAAATCAGGATGATCAAGACACCATGGAAATTGTGATGGTTTTGTTGATGAAGACGATAAAACAAAGGCCGTCTTAGTCCCGCACGCGTGCAACAGCGAAGAGTAGATTCATTCTGGATTCTGAATGCAAAAAAGACCCTGAGGGGCCCAAAATCAGGCCTCGAAGCTTGCAGCGGTCTTGGGATTGTGGGTGTTTTCTTGGGTCCTTCGGGAATCAACAGACCCAAACCCAAACAACTGGAAGTTCGGAACCTTGCGGCTCGTTGGGGAGGGAGAACGTGCTGGTGCAGGGAATGACCTAGTCCGGGTGTTGGTTCATGGGGCATTCCCTCATTCGTTGCTGAGAACCAGCAAGGAAAGGCCCTCACTCCACAAAACTCGTCCGGTACTCTGAGTCTTGCCGGCCATGGCCACTATGACAGCGTAGAACACAAAGTCCTGCACGTCGCCACAGGCCACAGGCTCATGGTCAAGACTCAGTTTTTTTCTGCGGCTGATTGGGTCATGCTTACCTTAACAGGAATCATTGTGGTTGAGGATCCTTACTACCAGGTTGACGACTATCCCTGTTAACCCCAAGTACAGGAACCAGTCTTTTGACCATTGCACACATCTTCGCGCTAAACAAGTCGTTCCAGGGCCTAGAACATCCCCAGCTTTTTGCCAGGGGCGCTCGATGGATCCACAACCTCATCCGGGTCTCTCAAATTGCCGAGTTGAGTCGCTAGATGTCTCCTCCGGAAGTCAAACTTCGCTGGGCGTTTTCGTTGGATTCCACTTTTGGAGGTCTGAAAAAGGGACATCGAGGCTCGGAGCCCTGACAGGAAGCCAAGGGGGGAAAAATGCGAGGCGAAACTTAGGACGCGGAAGTGCCAAACCTCATGCAGCTATATCAACTTGATGTTTAGGAAAATAGCGCCAAACCAAATGAGGCCAACTTTTGCTGCCCGGTGAGGCCAAGATAGGCCTTCGCAAGGCCTTCGCAAGGCCTCTTTGGAATTGGGTGTCCTTGAGGGACAGAATCGTTGGGGGTGGTTGAAATCCAGTGAAGAGCGCAGCTTGCTTGCGCAAAAGCTCAATGCATCCCTTGCTCATCAACACAGGGGACTCCATTGGGAAAAGAAGCCCTCTCCCTGCGCAGGATCATGTATTGAACAGCCCCAACAAATCCACCTAGACCCTCAAACTGCCAGTAAAATAAAAGGAATTCACCTGTAACAGGGATCCTTACATTATACAATTGAACATCGCCTTGTCAATGGCGGTTTCCCTTTATTCTGGTGGAGAAAGCCATGTTTCAAATGGGCAAATGTATCTTTTAAGGAGCCATGTGTATTGTTGGGGCACAAAGCATGTTTAAGGGAATTTTGAGGGCCCAGGTTACTACTGCTATAGTGACTTTGTCAAAAGGCGCGGGGTTTGGAGCGTTTTGAGGCGTTGTGGAGCCACCAGGGTGGTTTACATAATTACCGAGGGGGCGACCAATAATGATGTTGGTCCGGCGCCAATGTGTGTCTTGTTCTTCAAAAACAAGAAACAACATATGGGTCTGCTCTTTTTGTATCTAGCAACTTGCCCAGAATGGCAACACAGGTAATCACACGTCAGTCTTTTCGAACGCGGGTGTCTCTTTTTTAGGTTTGGACCCCCCAAAATAGGTTGTGTTCTTTTAGTTTTCCTTTGAAACCACCAAAAAGGGGTCCCAACTCAAAAAAAGACAAGCCACCCACGTTTTCTTTAACACCGGACAACCAAAACCCGAGGCCCTTTGCGTTCCGCTTCTGGCCGCGTTTTTGGGGTTGCTAAAAATGCAAAATGCTCGAAGCCGTGTCCTTGAATTCCACCAGCTCCGTGGCTGTGAAGGTTGGCATGACGTTCAAGAAGAGCTTGGCCGCCTTCGCGCGAAAGAAGATCCGTTCACCGACCACTTGCTGCGTGCGATGGGTTTACTAGGTCCTCGAGTAGAGAGGCTAGAATAAGGGCACCCGAGTTTTTTTTCTTCATTTTTTTCTGTAGTCTATTTTAGTAGGGGAACCCTCCCAACCAAAAAGGTGTGTGAAAGGGCACCTTGCTGGGGGACCTAGTTTATTAGTACTGTGGATGGATGAAATCCTGCATCACCTAAGAAACCCTGGAATGGTGATTCCCGTGTACATACCAACAAACAATGGTTCAACCATGGTTTCAACGTGGTGCAGGATTTTGTCCATCCACAGTAGGGAGCTGTTCCCTCCAAAAGTGGTCTGATGCATTCCCCACATTTCACCCAGGAACCAGCACCCCCTTATTTGCATAAACTGGGGTTGATTGACTTGCTGGTGCGATAGGTAGGCAATGACGGATGAACCGGTCTGGGATGGATTCCCGAAAAAAGGAAACCACCATGCAGTTGGATGGTTTTCCAGAGGGGGTCAATCCATTTCTCATCTGCCTATCGAACCAGCAAGACAAAGACAACTCGACTTACATTTGCCAGTTCGAAAGGTTGGTTGGGGGCATCTTGTTTTTCCCGGCCGGACAGTGCCGCGGGGATCGCAAAAAGCGATACGCGCAAGGCCTCTTTCCAGCTCCTTGAAATCATGAGGTAGATGCCCTCGTAGACCTGCCAGCGCCGGCGCCATGGGAAAGTGGCCTTCAAAACCAAAAAGAACAAAATCGACTGAAATGCAAATGGAAGGTTGGAACCTTGGAAGAACAACCCATTGCTTCTGGTTGGGCCAAATCATTTGTAGCCCCCGCCTTGAGCTTGTTCCGCCTCTCCCAGTCACCTCGCGGAAACGCGGAAACGAAGGGTATGTCTTTGGGTTGGTTTAGAGAAAACACTGTTTGGCTTCGGGAGAGAACCGGGTTGTTTTCGGAAAAGGACGAATTGGTTTTCGAAAAGCAGTTGGTATATCTGCAAAACACAGATTGGTCTCGGAAAAGAACATAAGATATCTGTTGTTTTGCCCGACCGACCTTTTTCTGTGGCATTCGAAGGGAGGCAAAATCAAACCTGTCATGGCAATCTACCGAAAACCATGCAAGGACTGAAGCGGGTCGCTTTTGGACTGTACCCAAACATGCCTACAGCCAGGGACCTACCCCACGAGTTCTGCCCCTTGGCATAGAATACACATTCCCTTGTGCATCACGTTGAAGGATGTTTAAGGGCCGCCCTTCAAAAATTTGAAACACGTAGGCTAACTCTGCCCACCAGAGCTAGCAGACAAACAATTCGCGCCCTTCAGGCGGCAGGTCCTGAGGTGGCCTATGTATCCCTCGGCCCAACTCCTTAAAGAACAGATGCCCATCATTGGGAGAAAAGCAGGCAAACACAAGTCTCTTTCTTGTTCTTTGAGGGATACCCGTTTTGGGTGCGGTTTGATTACACGAAAAGCCAAAGGCCAACCACCATGTTTTGGGGCCCTACATTTTGACACATGCCGAACAAGATGAACTTGAGGCTAAATAAGGCTCAAGGCCAGGTGTAGTCGGCTCAAGGGCCCCCACATAAGGCGAACTTAGTGTGGTGTTGAAGGGAAGCCTAAAGGAAAACCCAGTCATGTTTGGAGGGTCCAACCATGCAAAAGACGAGCCACCCATTTTCGCAACCCTGGTAAAGCGCAACCAAAGCAAACCCTTCAACATCCACCGTTTGCGGTGGTTTTGAAGGTAAGGCAAATGTCACACCCAACCATTTTTGGTGCGTTCCCCTTTCCATCCAGTTGCTATCACCCGTCGTTGAGCTAAGGTCTGGACCGCCCTTTCCGAGCTCCACCTTCGCACGGTCGATGTGCTTCTTCATCAAGGCCTGACGCCGTCGCAGCTTTTCGCCAGGTCTCTTGGTGTCACTTTAAAGTTCGTGGGTTACATGGAAACCCAACCACCTGAAAACCAACTAAAAGACCCAACCAAGAGACAGGTAAAACCACTCAACTCCAAAATTCTAAGGAACCGAACCACCTTCCAACGAAGAACTAGGAAACACCTTGGAAGCAAATGGTTGGCGAGTTGCACCAAGTTACCATGGAGAACCCAGGCGAGCAACTATAGGTAACTGTTTGTAACAGGGTGGCAAGCCCTTGTAAGGTAGGAAATGGAATCGCTGGGATTTGTAAGTTAGATTTTTGGGTGTGGTCAAAGATCGAGTAACGCCAAAATGGCTTGGTATGGTAAATGGAGACATGGACGATTTAACCTGCGGAAACCCAGTGCTTTTATTGACCCACACCCTGGTTCCATCCCTCCCGCTAGCACGTTACCTGTGACCTGAAGGATGAGTTTCCTCTTGGAGGGACCCCTTGTCAGGTGCCATGTTAGTGGGAGAGAGGGCAAGTCAAGTTGGCATTTTCAGGTAAAGGTGTTTTGAAGGCATGGGTTTTGAAGGCATGGAGGTGAGACAAGCCACTTATACAAGGAGTATATACTACCATATCAGCTTATATCGCTAGAATTGCGCATCCGTACCTCCAAAATGGATCTCTCCCTGAAAATGCTCTTGCCAAGAGGCTCCTGACTGATTTAGGGCCCTCAAACAGCCAGGTTTTGAGACCCGGAGGTGTCTGGGTCTTCCATTGAAAGCCGCAGCTAGAAGCCTCCCCAAACGGCCTCTTGGGTTCCGGCTTCCATTTGTTTTCCACAAAACAACGGCAACTCTGTGTCCGTGTCCCTAGATCTTGGCCTAGGTTCTTTCCCTGTCCCAGACCCTGTGGATGGTTTCGCGAAACCCATTCCGATTTCACCACCGAACTCAGACACCTAACGAAATGATGAACGATTCCGAAACGTTACCAACAAACGGTATGGCTTCAACCATGGCGTCATTTCGTGAGGCGAAATGGAGTTTTCGGTTCCATCCCACAGCAATAGTTGAGATCATAGGGTTTGGGTATGAATCTATCTGGGGAGCCGAAAATGGACATCGGAATTCGGGGAATGCCACTTTGGAGGTTCCGACTCGTAAATTATCTTTTCGCCCCAGAGTCTCCTTGTGTCCCGAAATAAAAATGAGCCTGTTTCCCCTGTCTTCTGGGCGACCCCATCTTTGATTCGGGTCAGAACTTGGGTGTGCAACTAACGACAGGCCTTAATAAGGGGACGCTCACCCCAGTTACCCCAGTGATAAACATGGTTGTAACCTACTTAAGTTGGGTTGAACATCCCTGGAGGAGACTCCAACAGTGGGATCTTGGGGCTGCGCGAATCCCTTTGGCCCGGCCGTTGGGCGGCCGAAACGTCCGACATCTGGAATGGCCCTAAAGTTGAAACCGGCGAGTGAATGTAACATGCTCACCCAAAAACAAGCACTGCCTAAGCCCACAAATTCCCAACCTTAAAAATGGGTCATAGTTACTGCCACAAACATGATGGGATGAATTCCCTTTCTTATGGGTAGTTCTTTCGGTTTCCAGGTGCCTTTTCAGCGCTGAGTCAGACCAGCTTCTTCCACCTTTCTACCCGGAACTTTAAGGGCAGTGGAGAGATCCTCTCGGAAAAAAAAAAAAAAAGCCGGAGGCGCCGGGTCATCGAAGAAGAAGGCGATACGGATGACCTGTGCAGAGATGCGCGGGATTTGTTTTCCCCGCGGAGTGGGTGATTTTTCCCCCAGCTCCCAGTTACCCTTGTGGTACTGCGGATGGACGAAGTCACCAACCGCATTCTTTGGGGCAACAAACATGTTTTAGGGACATTTTGAGGGTACTATCAGCTGTGGATGGACGAAATCCATTTCGCACCACTTTGAAACCGTGGGAAACCATTGTTTGTTGGTATTCACATGGGAATCGAAAATCATTGCAGTGTTTCTTAGGTGGTGCAGAATTTCGGCCATCCACAGTAGGTAATCAACGACTTTCCTTTTGGTTTACAAATGGATCCACCGCGTCCCATTGGCTTCCCTTTCCTGGGTTGCTCAAAAGGCTTGGCTCCTAACCAGCAACCACGTTGGATGGTTGCCAAATCCATTCTGCACCACCCAAGAAAGCCCGGACTAATGATTCCCTTGTAAATACCCACAAATGGTGTGCCATGGTGTCAAGGTGGCTTTACGAAATGGATTTTGTCCATCCACTGTATCATCTGGCACAAGATGAACGTTGAACCCGGACAATTCACCAAGTGCGTCCGCCTTGAAGGAACCTCTCTTCGGAGGGCCCGCCATTGCGGTTTGGCTCGAGCAAACATCTCCCCATGTCACTCGGCGGGGAAAGAAGAAGGACAATACATATTGGGAAATAATGCAAACTTGGGGTTTATCTGGACCGTATTCATCAAGGGTGGCTCCCCTTTTAGCAGGAACACAATCTACTTTGCAAGGCCCTAACTAGTGGGGTCCTTCGGATTTAAAATTGCACCCAAACATCAGTACCTCCACACTGGATGTGGAAATTCCGGACCATTTCTGAAAGATAGTAGTCTTCCAAACCCCTCCTGCCCACTTCCATGGTTGTTATGTGGAAAGAATGTAAGGGACAAGGTTGGACCACCCCCTTGCAATTAGCCATGATGATTACACCTTGATGAAAAATCCATCTCCCTTAACAGTTTACCTGGGTCTCTCTGTTTAAACTCATGCTGAACCCTCACCAAAACAGAAAGGATGCTTCAGACATGTAGAAAAAAGGTTGAAGGTATCATTGGACTGACAAATTGCCTCGTAGAAAACTGAACACCTCCCAGAAGCACCACTCTCCATTTTAGGGTCCTGCCGTGAGGATATTGTCCAGCCGCGCTCCGACGCCCACCGTCTTCTCGTAGGCTTCCTGGTCTCCAGCCGGGCCCGAGAACCGAAATTTCCGCGAGTCTCGCGGGGATGTTGCTGGCTCGGTGCCCTGTTGGGGTTGTTTCCTTTTGGGGGAAGCGAACAGGACACACAACCATTTTGCCTACTGTGGATGGACAAAATCCATTTCGCACCACGTTGAGACCATGGGAAGGAAACCATAACGTTTGTTTGTTGGATTTCGCAACCATCCACAGTATCAAGCAAGGGATTTGCGAATCCTGGGTTCAGATGATAATTCCAGAAAGGGTTCCCTTTTGCTGACCCTCCTCACTGTTGTTTCAAACAACTCCAGTCTTGGCAGAGGTCTTTTGTTGGTTCTTTGGTTCCTCAAACAACCCCAGAGCCTACCTGGGCAGGGACCCCATAGCTTTCAGCTGAGGAACAAAACGGAAAACGCAAGCATTCTGACAAACATGGACCTGACTGGCACCCACTTGGAACAAGTTTCCGCAAAAAAAACACATCTGCTAGGTTCCATGTGGCTCAGGTCATTCCAACAACCTTCCCGATTAATCAGTGAAGGCTGCGAGCAAAATTTGTTGGTTCCCTCACAAACGGGGGGGGTCCATCTCCTTCTTCCAACAACCCTGCTTGATCAGGCTGGTGTGACTTTGACGAGCAAAAGCATGCAACTAGCTTGATTCCAATGCCATCAAGGGACCCTACAACCACGCTGGCCTAGAAAGCCTTGACAAGGGAAATCTGGAAGGAGGGTCTTTGCGGAGGGTTCTAGGCTGTTTGGAGGGTTGGGGAGGGGGTCGCAGGAATATCTTGAAGCATTCAATCAATACGGGACGACATCCTTGCAAATGCCTTCTGCTGACATCAAAACCGTCAGACACTTCTTAAGTGTCCAAGTCCACAAACTATGGGAAGGAATGATAGTTGCGAGTTGAACAGCAAGCACCAGGTAGGTCAGGGAAAGCAATCTTGCATGGAAATATGAGACACTTTCCAAACAGAGTTCGCCACAGCTCTGCCAAAGATCTGCATTGAGTACTCAAAACCTGCTGGTCAAAAACAGTCCATCGAATGCGGGGTTGTTCCAACACATCTGGCACATCGGGTACCTGGCAAAGGCAACAACGAACCAATGTTCTACTCACTTCGTGAGTGGATCGGCGACAAAAAGTCACAACCCGTGATATGTACCACCAAAGTGTTCCAAACCCAAAAGTTACTCAAGTCCGAAACCAAACTCAGGAAGCGAGTCTACCCCTGTGGTTTGGTCCTTCGCCCCTCTGGAACTGATCGGATTTGTGATCAGGCGGTCGACATTTTGAACAGTTCAACACATTTCATGCCGTGCCTAAAAGGTGGATCCACTGTAAAGGTGCCACGGAAAAAAACGCACCAACAGAGTACTAGAAGGAAGAACTTGGGAAATCCGACTTGACAAAAACGCTTCCAACGCGTTGTCCAGAACTCAAGTTGTTGCAACGATCACATACAATATCTTCTGGCCAGTGGGTCCCTGGTCCCTTTACCCCTGGCAGAACCCCGAATTGTAGTTGGCATCGCTCGCCCCTGCTTATCGTTTATGACGGTCCATACCCCCCAAAGACAACACCCCTCGAAAGTTCGCAGGGTTTGGCTCAATAAGGGCCAAGCAAGGCCTTTCATGGGGATGCAAGGTCTCTGATGCCTTTTTCCGCAACAGGGAAACTGGGATCATATAGGTGTGGCTCAAGAATGGGGCCCAAAATGGAGCCCCGGCAAATGGAAAGGAAGACTAAGACCTGCGTCACCTCCAGCTGTTTGATTTTGAGCGACACCCATATGGCTGTGGGTCAAAATCAATGGTATCATTTTGGGGTGCACCACCCATTTTAGTCGATTTTAGTGGGGATCGGGCTGTTCACTAGGGGTACGGGATTTTGAGCCACACCCATATCTCTGCTCAATGCAAAGTCAGGGGCTCGCAAAGATACATCCCGAGATGACATGATTCACAGGGGGAATCCTCTAGATCAGCTAGTAAATGCGATCTTCACCACACACATCTGCATAGCCTTCTGTCATTCGAAGACAAAAATCAGCGATCACCAATTAAAGGACATGAAAGGATTTCCATCATGGGTGTTTCACTCCTTCGACCCCATCCTTTCATTTCCTTAAGCCCCCTGCAAAATATGAGAACATATTTCCAGTGAAGACGATTCCCTTTTAAAAAACCAACAAGTTTTATTTTGTACCAAACAAAAACTCATTTCAGCAAAAGGAAGGATACGTGAGCTCTCCTTTTAAAATAGGCAAAGAAAAACACTGGGCCTACAAACTACCCATCAAACAGTTGAACTGCAGCAATTTCATAATTTGGGGTTGGAATGATTTCTTCACATTTTTAAGCTGGAACTTTGGTTGGGTCCAGGGGGTCTGTCAATTTGTTCAAGGGTACCGCTGGTTTTCGTGGTGCTCAAGGGGGAAACCCAGGGAAACCCAGGGAAACCCACCTGTTTTGTGCTTGGAACTTCGGGTCCGGGCAGCATCTGAGAGCCAACCCAAGAGAAAGTTGGCATGCAGCCCACAAACTCCCCCTTCAAACAGCCGGAATGCGCCAATTTCACAATTATATGTAACAAACAAAAACATGATTCTGGTTGGAACCTTGAGGGTCTCGCCCCAGAAATTTTGGTTGGAATGGCCAGTTTTTTGAGTTGGAACTTTGGATTTAACGAATGGATCCTTTGCCAGAACCCCGAAGAGGTCTGCAGAATCCGCGGTCCTCGTAGGCCTTGACTGCCTGCTCCTCCGGTCGGTGCTAAACGTGAGCAGTGAGCATGAGGCTCCGAGAGATGAGTTCGGCCCATTTGGGTTTTGCTTTGACAACTTTCCGGGCAAGCTGGACCCTCAAATTGTCCTTAAACATTGGTTCTTGCCCCAAAAACAATTTGTTGTTGTTTTGAAAACCTACCAGGGGATCCCCAAAACAAGGCACCTGGACCCTCAAAAGTCCAACTTGAAAAGTGGAATTATCGCAACCCAAAATCATGGAGATGGTGAAGTCCAACTTGTTTATGGGCAGTTCTTTCGGGTCCAGGCACGGGACTTTTACTTGGCAACCCTGCCTGACAAATCCAGGGTGCAAGACCACGTGGTTTGCTCGCATGATACTTTTGCTGTGTGGTGACAGCTCCCTTCGTGTGGATTGACAACTTCCGCAAAACGCAACACTTGGGATGGATGTAAAACCCTACGAGATTAACCGCTTCCCAACTGGCACAGGATTATAGCCATCTACAGACACTTGTCTAACAACTTCGACAAAGAGGTTGATGACCATCCTTCACTCCAAGACAAGGAACCAGTCATAGGTGGCCTTCTGGAAAAATCGATGGCCCTGGTAAATGGAAGAACCCGCACCTAAACCAGTGGAATCCATCTACTTCTAAGCAAACTAACCGATCAAAAGGACACCTAGGGAACCAGTCCTTTTCCTGGAGCGCCCACGATCCAAGTTTGCTGCTGCTTCGCACCAGGAAACGCACTGAGGTGATGTTCTACCCCGATGACAAGGATGTACAGGGAGAAGGAACCAAGACCATGAGATTCAGCAATAAGTGCTCTATCAGCTCCTTGTGGCTCCTTGTGGCATGCACATGTTGGCATGTTGGACAGCAGCTTCCTCACACGAAGGTACGAGACGAACGACTCTCCCCTTGCTGCTGCAATTTTCAAGGCCCCTATTAAAAAAAATCGGGGTCACGGACCCATTCTTAAGGGTCAAAAGGCGACTCTAGGCAGTCCTACAAAAGTCGGGTCCTTGTCGCCGATGCGGTTGAAGAAATCCGCCTTCGCCAGGAGCGCATCGCGGATCCTCAGCGAGCGATCCGAGGCTTTTGCCCAGCGACCGCACCGATCTCGGCTCCGTCGACAAATGACACCTGGGCCCTCCAAGTGTCCAACTTCAGAATGGGGCAAGTTGCCTGCCCCGAAAAGAAAAAAAACATGGCATTGCTGAGTGTCAGCCGTTGTTTATGGGTAGTTCTTTCGTTTTGGGTGTTCAAACTACCCCAACAAATAAGGGATGTCACCCCGTAACTTTGGGGCGATAACCCCAACTGTTGGCATGTTGAGGATTCCGCAAACTCTTTTTTGGGTTACTTGGCTCCACTTGTAGCAACCCACCTGGCAAAATCAGGGACTTAGGTTGGAACAAGGTGGTGTCAAAATCCGGAGGCTTGAAGTCCGCATTGTCTACCGGGGCGAAATCCCAACTTAAAAATAGGTTATTGCCAGCCCGTCATGGCCACACCGCACGGACAGAAGCACACACAGACATGACACAAGCAATAATTACACAACGGCACAACGCGCAACACAACGCAACAGAACACAACACAATCCAGCCCCTGACGGCGCAACGCAACTCAATGCAACGCTACGCAACACAAACAACCAACACAATAACACAACACAACACAACGCAGCGCAAAGCGCGCCAACACAACCAACCAACCAACCAGCCCAGCCCAGCCCAGCCCAACCCAACCCAACCCAACCCAACCCAACCCAACCCAACCCAACCCAACCCAACCCAACCAACCAACCAACCACACAACCAACCAACCACACAACCAACCAACCACACAACCAACCAACCACACACACAACCAACCACACAACCACACAACCAACCAACCAACCAACCAACCAACCAACCAACCAACCAACCAACCAACCAATCAAGCAACCAAGCAACCAAGCAACCAAGCAACCAAGCAACCAAGCAACCAAGCAACCAAGCAAGCAAGCAAGCAAGCAAGCAAGCAAGCAAGCAACCAAGCAAGCAACCAACGAACCAAACAATTGCAACCAACCAACCAACCAACCAATCAACCAACCAACCAAACAACCAACCAGCCAATGAAACAAACAAACAAACAACGATAGCGGGCGAGCAAACTGACACACATCATTCCCGCTTGGATAGCCACTCTAATGGCAAACCCATGTACGACTGTCGAAAAATGGCAGGATCCCTTGGAATACTTATCAGTGCACAACTCCTTGGCTTGGTGTCCCTACAAAGCAGGGAAACTATACATTATAAATACATGCCTTACACATCAAACACTTTCAGAGCAAAGGATGTAATGCAACTGTGCTCCGATCTGAGTTGACAGGCCAGGACAAGTGGGAAACACTTGGTGGGCCTTTGCCAGAATGATGAAGAAACTTACCAACAACAAGTTTGAAGCTTGTCAACTCAACAGCTATGTGTATAAGTTGTGGTTTGCTTTGAAGGCTTCGGCACACAGCTTCGAAACTACCCTTTAAATGAAACCAGCCAGACTTGTCAAAAAAAATGAGAACGCGCCCCTCAACATGCCAGCCCGCTTTGAGGGACCCTGTTTTAGGTGACCCCAAAGTGGCCTGTTTCCCCTTTCGCTTCGCTTTAAAGCAACCCCAAAAAGGGTACCCTCAAACACCCAAAGTGGGTGGTGTTCCTTTTGATTTGCTTGCCCTAAAAAACCACAGTCCACCCTCAAACAACACGCCAAAGCGGTTGTTGGAAGGTGCTTGGTGTTTCTTCAGGCGTAAGCTCAGTTTCTCTGCCCAGGCGCTCGATGTCTCCAAGGTTCTCCTTGGCATCCTTGATCTTTTCGTCCAGCTTCGTCTGCGTGGACGGGAGTTTTCTTTCTGGGAATGAGAATTGGGAAAGAAAAAAACCGAGAAACACTATCCCCGATCTGGTTTCCTTGGGGGAACTCCCCACAACCGGTTCATTCCCAACACCTGGAAGGTCATTCCCTACCTCTCGCACCACGCTTTTGGCCAACGCTACTCTTGGTGTAAACCTCGCTTTTCCATTGAGCTCGGGACATTTTCGGGTACGGAATACGGAGGTGGGAGGCATGGAGCTGGCACGTTGAAAAAGAAAGGCAGAACGTACGGCCACACTTCGATTGGTGGTATACTACAAGCCACCCAACCCATAGGTGGCCTTTTTGGAAAATCGATGGGTTTCCCTCGTAAAACCCCCATCTAAACCAGTGGAGTCCATCTATTTTTCGAAGCAAACTAACCGATCCAAAGGACGCCTATAGGGAACCAGTCCTTTTCCTGGAGCGCCCGCGACCCTTGAAAAAATGACGTCATTACCCAAAATATTTCGGGGTCACGGACCCATTTTTAAGGGACACCTATGCCCATACCGCAACGTCATTTCAGGATCCATCCGAAGCAAAGTCATTCTCAGAACCCTGCGAAGCCTGGGGATTGAAAGCAACTATTTCTGCGATTCGGCCACTCAAATACACAGATGGGTGTGTCTCATAGGGAACCCCGAACCCTTGGTTGTCCCTTGGTTTTTCTTGGTTTCCCTTGGTTTCCCTTGGTTTCCTTTGGTTTCCCTTGGTTTCCCTTGGTTTCCCTTTAAACCAACCCCACAAAGGTACCTGTCAACAAAAAACAAGCACATGTCTAGCCTGAAGGCGCGCTGACTCCCTCACACCCTCCCACACCTCACCTCACCTCATCCCACTCCCTTTTCCCCCTACTCCCACTCCACTCCTTTTTACACTCCTCTTTGCTCCCACCCCTGGAGTTGTTTTTTCCGCCTGCTCCTCCTCATTCTGCTTCTTCATCGCTGCCTGGCTCGGAGGCTCCACACTCTCGGAAGATCACAGGCGCGCTCCCGACGCCACTTTTCCGCCATTCTCGAGTGATCTGTTTTTTGGGACCGGGGAACCAAAAAAACGGACCCTGACATGTGGGGGATTAAAATACTTGGGCGGACGGAACCCGCTTTTGGCGTTTGGGGCATCTCAATGGGCCCCGGCAACCACTTGTGCGGTTCTGTTTTGGTGCGGATGTTTGGTTCAGGTGTAGACCGAGGCAAAGATCTTGCCGGCACGATGCCACAGGGCTGTGTCTGGGGATAAAGCAGCTTCAACTCTTCGACCCATGCAGGACAGCTGAATGGAGCGCGGCACTCTTCAGAAAAAAAGAGACCGACCTAAAAGTGTCGATTTAAGTTATTGTGTCATGCATAAATCATGATCATGTTGAAAGGGCCGCCGCTCGAACAATAGAATTAACTGCTATGAATAGATAGCTCCCAAGTTCACACAGAAAGGCGCGCGATATCATGCAAGACGGGTGAGCAAACTGGGTGGTCGCGTGAAACTGTCTATTGGGCAGCTGGAACTGCCCCTTGTCCGTGCGAAAGTGCCTGCTTAACAGCACAAATCGTGCACGAAACGTAATGGCTTCGCGCGAAGCAAGGTTGGCTCGCGTGCGACACTCGCAAAATGCCACGCAACAGCACAGTAACCTTAGAAACGTGTGCTGACTTCCTGCGAAATAGACAGGTGCTGCACGATCATGTCGATAAGCCACGTAACAGTCGCGCACAGAAGCGCGAGCCGACTTCGCGCGAAGTGAACCAAGGTGGAAGTTTTGCTTGAAACCTTGTTGTGATACGGCGGACACACACGCTGCTTTGGCCAACATGAGCCCTGTCACATATTGATTGAAAACAACCTCCCCCAAAACAGGGTACTTGGACCCTCAAAAACAATCAACTGAACAAATGGATGTGGCAAATTGGGCGGGCGTAGCATATTAGACGGTTTAGGGTTTAGGTTTTTCTGGTCTTGGTTTAGGTTTAGGTTTAGGGTTGGTTTAGGGTTGACCGTCTAATACGTCACGCCCGGCGCAAATTGCAGCCCATACTGTGGATGGACGAAATCCTGCACCACCTAAGAAACCAGGGAATGATGATTCCCCTGTAAATACCAACAGACAATCATTTCATCATGGAAACCCCAAGAGGTGCGAAATGGATTTTGTCCACCCACAAATATGGCCAGTGACGTCCTGTTCTTGGCGATTCGGGCCCAGGTCCCGAGCCAGCCACGTCACCCGCTCCACGCCTTCAGAGCTTCATCTGGCGGACCCGCAGGTCCCGGGCCTGGCGAGCCAGCAGGCGCTAGGCGGGCGCGGGGGGGCGAGCGGCGAGCAGAGGCCGGGGGGAGTGAGCCGGTTCAGAATACTTGTGATATATATATATATATATATTTATAATAATGTGTGTATATATATACATATATCGTAATTAATTTGATAGAAGCATATTTGTTTGGAATTGAATGCTTTGGAATACCAAGTTCTGAAAGAAATGGGTCGATTCGCCTCAAACTTGAGGAACCTGGACGCTAGCGGGTAAAAATCCCAGAAAGGCCGTTTCTTTCAACGTTGTCGCTACGAGAGATGCAATGAGAAATGAGAAATGGAATGACCCACCCCAAGAGAAACCATCCAACTGGTGGTTTCCTTCAAGGTTTTTAAAGGGGACCAAAGCCTGGGTTCATTCCCACATTCCCCACTGATCGCACCAGCAAGTAAAGAAATGGGTCGACTCGTGTCAAAAAGTGGGTCATAACCCAAGCGGCAAACAGCGTTGACTTGGCGAATCGAGTCATCCAAGTATTCTTTGACTCACTTGCCCAAAGGACCCAGAAATAAAAGGTTAACCTGTTGGGGCCATGACTAAAAATGGACCAAAACTGGAAAACCAAAAGGTTAAACGGTCGATTCGCTTTGGGCAACTGAGTTGAGGTCTTCTGGCGTCAAAGTAGGATCCACTCCCCCTTTGACCGGTGTCCCGCAAAGACCTTCATCTGGGCTGTCCAAACTGATCTGCAAAAAGCTGAACTTGTGAGTGAAATGGACACCCAACCACTACACCAACTAGCTCCTCCACTAAAGAGGCTAGAAGGGTACCCTTTTTCTGCAGTCTAGCAGGGGAACCCTCCCCCAAAAAAGAAACGGCAAAAGGGCACCAATTGCTGGGGGACCTAAACCTCACCTACAAACCTCCAAACCTCACCTAAGGGGACTGCTGGGCACCTCTTCTTTGGCGGGAAGAAAAAAAGAGAACGAGCGGGTTGACCGCTTGGGGGTGACGGGGGATTTGGATCGGGGCCCTTCCTTGCCCCATCTAAAGCCATTCGCTCGGAAAGAAGTCCCTTTAAAAACCGGGGGCGTGACCCCTTTCTATTGGGTACCTGGACCCTCCAAGTGCCAACCGAAAAATGACTCCTTGCCCGCCTCGACAATTATGGAATTCGTGACTTCCCTTATTCTTTATGGGTCGTTTTGGGTAATGACCCGGCCCACGTTTCTTGGTTGACGTTGGGTTAGGGGAGCAATAATTCTGAGATTTTAGCAGTTATAAGTGGATGTGGCTTTCAACCACTAAACCACAATAAGCAAAAATGCAAAATGCTTCCCAACGACAACCAGGTTTTATTCGGGTCTTTGTTCAGGGTCAGTCTCGGAGACTCCAACGAATCTGGGCCGCGCACAGAGAAACTTCTCGTAGTACGGCAGCATGCCTGCAGGATCCCATGGGATTTCTGCGATCGAGTAGTCTGTCCAAAAGAAGTCCAAACCGTTTTTCCCTGTTTACCACTAACATCAGGGCTCCGTTTGTTGAGTACCCCAAGGTAGACTTAAACCCAGGGATTTCCCTTTTGTCGAAATCCACCACCCCTGAATTGTTATTCCTCTTTGAAACTGTCAAAAATGAAACCCTGACTAACATGGTCAAAAAGTGACTCAAGTCCAAGCATGAAGTCCAGGAACACAAAGAGCGAGTCTGACCGATGGAGTCTCGGAGTGTTGCCTCTTGGGTTTGAAGGGGCAAACAGTTTTTTCGGGCCCCTGGGATCCTGACGAAGTGAAAACGGAGACCCACGGGGAAACCGCAACCTGAAGCCTCAAGCTACCTGGAGAAAAGGGGGAACTCACAAAAGCCCATAATTTAGGGTTGCAACAACCCATTTTTTACTTGGAATGTTGAAGGTCCAGGAAGGTCAAAAGGTCGACTTGAAAACATACAAACCTTGAAACCTCCCCTCTGGATTTGGGGGAAAACTGGGAAGCGAGGTTCTCGCCTTTTCCAGCATCCCACACCTTTCAGCGAGGCCAAACACACAAGGCACGGAGAAAAAAACAAAAACAAAAAAGAAGTTCTGTACTGAGGTGCGCATGCTGGAAGCAAAGATGCAAAATCCTGTGGATGGTTGTGAACTCCATTTCGCAGCAGAGAACCCTACTGAATGTCAAGACTTCTGGGATTCCCAGAAGCATCACCAGGGCTTCTGGGATGCCCTGGCGCACACACCACCTGGACCCAAAATTCCAAGGTAAGAATTCGACTTTTGGCAACCCTGCAATTTGGTTTGGTGGATGGCGCGGTCGCTCCAGTCGCGACCACTCCAGTCCCTCCAACTGCGGCTCCTGTGTGCTGTAGTGGAGCTGGATGCTGGCTGGGTGTGTCCACGGGCACGGTCTTCAGCGCTCTGCTTTTGGCTGCGCTGAGCAAGCCTTTTTGCATCGCCCTCTGCTCTGTCACAGATCTCTTTGATCTCGTGGCAGAAATTTACAGTGTGGTGGAGCCTGGCTTTGCGTCCGTTGCCATCGACATTCCTAGAGTTCTGGTTTTGTTCTGAGTCTCTCTCAAAATAGGGGAGCCCTTGTTGGATGCTTTTAAAGGGAAAAGAACAGGAAACCAACCACTGGAGGGGGCCCTAACTTTGAGAAACACCCATATAGGCTGACACTTCCCCTCGGCGAAGCCCCGGCTAGGTGATTGGTCTCCCAGGTCAAGTCAAAGTAGGATTTACCCTGCATCTCACCTACTGTGGATGGGCAAAGTCCATTTCGCACCACGGAATGACACCATGGTTGAAAACATTCCGTTTGTTGGTAGTTGCAGGGGAATCGAATCATGCCAGCATTTCGGAAAGGTGGTGAAATCGAAATGGATCTCACAAATGTCCCCTAGAAAACCCGGCGGAGCTACGGTGGATGCCCCTGTATTGCAAGTTGGAACAGGTTAGAGTAAGGGTACCCTTGTTTCTGTAGTCTATTTTAGTAAGGGAACCCTCCCCCCAAAAAAAATAAACAACAAAATAAATGGTAAAAGGGCACTACTGGGGGACCTAGCTGACGTTGGGTTGATGAAGCCCGGAAAAAGTCAGGTAGAACCAGATCTAAAACTGCGCTTTTGGGTGGCTTCCATTTGTTTAAGCCCTGACCAAAAAAAAAAAAAAACTTTAAAAAAATGTTCGGTAGTGATAGATTCCCTTTAAAACCAACAAGGGAAACTACAGCAAAATTCAGCACATGGAAGCTTGAAATCAAAAAGCGATGTTTGAGTCAGAGCCAACCATATGAGTGAAAAAATGGTTTGTTGGTCTTTTTACGTTGGGGAGTCATATCATTCCATGGCTCAGGTGGTGCGCTCTGGATTTTGTCCACATGAGCCAAGCCCCAGATTGGGTCCCTTGGGCCCCCAAAATCTTAAACCAAGAAAACTTGCTCTCTTGAACTCAGCCAGCCAGCCCTAGCGGCCTTTCGCCTTGACCGTGGCCAAGATCTCTGATCGAATTCGCTCGCCTCGATTCGGATCCCATCATGCGGGGGTTCGTGTATCCAAAAAATGCATGACATGTACCCCCTTACTCCAAATAGCCCCTATTTTACGGTGCTTTTGTTTTGAAAACCCTGGTTTTTCCAGGGTAGGTATATGCTTGTTTAGAGGGTTCACATGATACCCCAGAGAAGCGGGTACTTGGAGGGGGTAACATGGGTTACATCTAATCCACCGTCAAACTTCATGCAGCTCGGGGGGTGCTGCAAAAAAACCTCAGGGTGGTTTCGTTCCGGCGAAACATCCGGCACTGCTTGCTGGTTCTCAGCAGGGAACGAGGGAATGACCCTACACAGCATCCCCTTTCAGGGAGTCCATGTCCTGCCAGCAACACTGGATGAATGAGAGCTTTGTAGCACCTCGCACCTAGCACCCTTCATATAGACCAAAGCAGTAAACGCCCAATGAGTTGCGACCAACGTTGAAATGGAATCAAGAGGCCGGCTTGAACCACATCTTTTCTCAGCATGCAAACTGTAGTACCCTACGCATCCTGAGCCGTTCAATACTCGGAGTGTTGGCCAATCCTGGTCAAAAACCTCTTGAAAACCACTAAACAGGGAACCCCTTTCATAAACCGAGGCAGTAGGCAGTTGAACAGCCCAACCTCCACCCGAAATCGTTGAGTCTGGTTCCCGCGTGGCTTTTCTTGCTGGTTGGCTCAACGGCGGTGGTCTCTGAAAGTCAACACTTGATGCTTGTGTTCTGGCCAAGACTTAACGAAACCGCAAATGGGCGTATTTTTCTTTACGTGACCCCCCCTCCCCAAACAAATGACAAAAATGGCCTTCCTTTTGGTTTCCTTTAAAACTATAAAACAACCATGAGCCACCGAATTCAAAGCACAAACTTGTGCAAGCTCAGTCAGGGTTGCTTGAACATCATGTGACAAGACCAATTCTACACCAGGGTGACAGTAGATGGCACGATCCCCTTTATCTTGGTTGCAGTTGACCCCTATGCAAAAAGTTTATTGTTTTTGTGGGTTCAGTGGGAAATCCCTTGATTTCCCAACAAGTTAAAGTCTAAAGATCCAACCCAATAGCAGTCAAGTTGATGTCGGCAAGTAAAGCGGAAGAGCAAACCAAAATAGGAGAAAATGGTGCCATCTACTTTCACCTACCTGTAACCAAGCTTCCCTTTGGTGGGGTGATCGGGTGATGCGTTCAACATCGAGTTGGAAGCCTGCAAGATGGGGGCCATCTAGATAACAAGTCACACCAGGTAACCCCATTTCAAGTTCGGGTCAGGAAACTCCAGTACACCTTCAAGAAGCCGTATAGCCGTATAGCTTTCGAATGATTTATGTGTGGAAGCTAAAATTTTGGCAAGGGTTGCCAGGGTTCCCCAAAGAGATTCTCGGCCTGGAAAAGGGAAAGTGCTGTTTAACTGACTGGCTTACCTCCTGTTCGGTTGGAAAAGCCCAGTTTCAAGCTGTCCATGTCAACATACTGCGGATGCACAATCGTTTGTCCCACTACTGGGGTTCCATCCATGCGTTTTGTAGGGTTTGTCCATAGTGAGCCACACAAATGAGTGGCTCTTTTAGCCGGGCTAAGAGGACGGGGGGGCTATCCCTTTTAACCTCTTAAGGCCTAATGGCTTATCCATGGCTTATCCCGGGCTTGTAGCCCCCCAAAAAAGGTAACCCATGGTTGCAACCAACCCACAAAAATGCGTGGCGTTTTCGCCTTCCCAACCTGGGAACACTCCAAGTTTGAGTGTCCCTATTGCAACCGACCCTCTGAGACCGGGATCTCGCCCCGCCGATCGACCTGGCCACCGCGCGATCGGGGCAATTCTCGCTGAGCAGTGAGGTCCTGCGCGGCGCGCGGCTTCGCCGGAAGCGTTCGATGGACGGACGGGGTCCGAAGATCACGGGACGGACGTGATCTCCGTAAGGCAACGCCCCCGGAATTTGGTCATGATGTAGTATGGGTTGAGTGTGGACTTTTTGAGGGGCCCCAAATTTGCGGCCTGAAGTCGCCCTATTCTCACATATACCAAATATGAGGCCCGATAATTCGTGGCTTGCGGGGTCTGCCAAACCTCATAGGAACATGTGTGGCAGCTTCCCTGGTTCGGTGGCTAGGGCATCCGTAGAAGAACCACGGGTTCAACAAGCCAAAGCACCACTTTCCTGGGCTGTCCTCAGATCCCCTGCTAAAAGTGTGGCTTGTGGGTTACACGAAAATCCCCTGGTAATATGGAAATCCCCGCTTACCAGGGGATGGCTGGGAGCCAAGTTTAGGGTATCTCATAGTCCGTTTGGATCCCTTTGCATAATAGCTGTTTCGAAAATTGAGACACAGATGTTTGGACCCGGCAATATGAAAGGGATGCACAGCCAGCAAAACGCGTTCGAACAACTTGAGTGGAAAAGGAAAGCAAAGGACTCCCGATTTTCTACAGCTTCGTCATAGTCTTCAGGTTTTTGGAGCAATCCCCTTAAGCGACAAATCGATCTGTCTCGAAGAAGCAAAAATAAAACATAATCTGACCAAACTACTTAAAAACCCAAGGAACAACAGGAGTCACAATCAAAACCCGGTATTAAAATGGTCTACACAGAACCATGTAAAGAATTAAGAAGGCGGATATCCGCAGCTATTTCTGGCTGGGACTGACCCTTACTACCCTTCATCTACCCGGGTTTTGAGCCGGTGGCTCACATGGAGATAGTTTTATAATATTGCCGGTTTGGCCAGCAGCCAAAGTCAACCCTTTCCTAGGCATATTCTGATCCCCTGCTACAAGAATTTAACAACCGCTAAGCCAGGAACGGGCGAAAGTAGTAACGGCTGGCACGTCGGGCTTTGTCTTTTGGGAAATCCAGTCGAGTTGCGTCGAGTTACTCACCAACAGCGGAGTTAAGCGAACGCATGGGGTTCACATAATTCTTAGCTAGTCCCCTCAACCCCAGCCGCCACATCCGATTTAAAAAGATCAAACATGATGTGGCTTGATGTCGCTTGGGTGGAGGTGGTGGCATTGACCCAGGTTAGAATAAGGCTACCTATTTTTTTCTGGTCGTCTATTTAGTAGGGGAACCTTCCCCCCCCAAAAAAATGATGGTGAGAACGGGCACTACTGAAGGACCTAGTGGAAGGGTCACTCAAATACACCTTCAGCGGCTGCATTTCCAGGGGGGCCATTCGCTTGAAGTCTGGGGCCATCGCGGCATCGCTCGAGCATCCCGAAGCACTAAAATGACAAAGACAAGGCGCCAAGAAAGCTAAAAAGGCTACGACTCAATAACTCCCATTTCCTTCAGCCCCCTGAAAAGCATGAACAAAAACATATCAAGTAGTGACAGATTCCGTTTGTCTCCGACAGGGGAACATAACACATCCTGGAACCTCCATCGTAGCATAAATTTCTGCCTCCCCCCTTGTTCGATACCAAAATTGACTCGACGTAGCACTTTTTGCCTCCCATTCGCTTCCGAGCGCTTTTTGACGATTCGGGCAGAAATCCCATTCGGCCGTGTTTTCTTTTTCCCCATGGTCAAGTTGCCGCCAAAACGGGCGCAAAAATGTGCAAAAAAAGTGCAAAACGAGCGCAAATCGGCGCAAAAAAGCGCAAACGAGCGCAAATTCAAAAAATGCTACGAATCGCAGGTAGCAAATTGCATTTGCGCGGATGTCTCGAGCACTTTCTGTTAAAACGAGCGTGTTTTTGAGAAGAACGCGTCACGAGCAAAAATATTTCGTAGCAAAAATTAAGGTAGCAATGGAGGCTCCAGGATATATTCTTAAGCACATGAGAGACAAGCCTTTCGAAGCCTCTGTAAGGCCACAATAGCCCTGTTTTTGCGGTGTGGATGCCACCCGCGGGAAAACAAACATCCCAAAAAGCTGTCATGGGTTGACCCGAGACAAGTTGGCCCTCCAACAATCCTGGAAGCTGACGATCGGAGCGTTCTGGAAGACGATTTTCCTTTTGGGGAAGCCCGGACCCATGGTCATTTGGGGGCCGAAGGGAATAATCAAACCCCCAATACTAAATGCAACCAAAGATACTTCGAGGGTTGATTCCCCAGGCTTTTCAACCATCCTTCTTTTCAAAAGCCAGCTATTTCCCTGGGTTTCCGGAGGATTTCTAGAAATATTCGGATCCCTGGGTTCAGAATGGACATGGAAGGTTCTAGAATAATAGCCTTCCCGTGATAATGATAGAGTCAGGCCCATGTCCCAGCCCGCCTCTTCTGGGCCAGCCCCATGATGGGATAGGTGTCAGGAACCTTGTCCTCTGGTGGCTTCTCCCCCATGACCTCGCCAGCAAAAAAACAAGCTTCTTGGACCCTCTAAATTACCCCAGAAGTATCGGGTGATGTGGATGCATTCCCATTTTTTCCGGGTAGTTTGCGGGCCCAGGTTCTTGTTTTTCTTCCAGGCACTCACAACCCGAAAGAGAACCTTGGGGGTTCTTTGGGGGCAGCCGGTTCTAATTCTGCTGAGTGCCAAGACTCCAAACGGGTGGGTGCACCAAGAATACAAGGGATTGCCAATCAGTGGGACCATCTGGTATGTATCAGACACCCTACCATAGAACACCCCAGCGGCCAATGTTCTCGAATGAGTGACGTTAAGCTTGCCAGTTCGGCCAAGTCAAAGTGAAAGGTCAAAGTGAACTTCTTTAAATGGGGTGATACTGTATCTGAAGGACTATGCCCATCTGCCCTTTCTGCCATCTGCCCAATGCACACTTAGGTCTTCCTCCTCAAGCACCAGCATCATCATCATCATCGTCGTCATCATCATCATCGTCATCGTCGTCATCGTCATCGTCCGTCATTTCACCGCAGTCATCATAAACAGCACTACCATCAGCCAAACCATTGGCATCATCAACCTCATCAACATCATCAGCATCATCAGCATCATCGGCAATGTCGAAGTAATTAGCGATCACAATGGTGAGCATCACCAGCATTGTCAGCATCATCCGCACCATCGCCATCATCGTCAGCAGCAACATCATAAACATCACAATTGTCAAACTACGTGATTGTCGTAACAATCATGCAAATGATTACAAACTTCATCATCATCATCCTCATCCTCTTCGGCCGCTGCCTCTGGCCTGAGTTGTCGCATATGGCAAAAAGCGGCGCCCTCTGGCTCTGGCCATCGCACTGAGCCCGTACCATCGCATCTGGCGCTGCGATGTGAAGAGTCCCGCATCCCAGCGGAATCCCTCTTCGCCTCCACATCTGGCGCCAAGTTGCGGAGTCAGCTAGTGGCGCAGTCGTCGTTTCTATCTGCAGGCTGCTCTGCTAGGTCTCCTGTGACACCGCGGCATTTGCATCAATGACCAGCTCCTCATTGCTGGCCCCGTAGTCCACCTCATCCTAATCATCAACACCATGACGTGTCACGTGACTCTCCAGAAATCACCCTTTTGAAGGCAAGACGCCCTACCCAAGTCCACAAGCACATGCTATAAGCGTACGGCAGGATCCTGACACCTGCCTGCCGCGCTTCGCCCGTTCAAATCATTGGCATGGGGTTGTGGGCCTATCCTGGATAAGCTCCGGACAAGTCAAGGAGAAGCCCTCAAAATAGCCTCAAGGGGTTCAGATACAGCCCCTTCTCTGCAACCCTTGGAGATCAATAAGAATAGAACAGGATACATTAAAACTGTCGTTTCATGCGACTAAGTGCTTAGACCCGTACGAATCGTGTGCAATCGCCTGCGCTTTTTTGGTTTAAACATCCATCCCCCTTGTGGTTTCCTTTTGGTAAAATCAGCGATTCTGGTTCCAGAAAAAAAAAAAAAAAAACATCTCCTCGTGGTTTGATTGTTTCTCGCATCAACTAGGTCCTCCACTAGAGAGGTTAGAATAAGGGTACCCTTTTTCTGTAGTCTATTTTAGTAGGGGAACCCTCCCCCAAAAAGGGGAGAGAAGGGCACCTAGCTGGGGGACCTAGTCAAGCAGCTCAAACAGACCTGAGGGCCGTGCTGCTCTCGGACCTCAAGATCTCTATAGGTGTTGAGCCACAGGGCTGAAGCAGAATCCGCTTCCCTCTTGTTGGGTCATGGAACCTTTTCTCGGACCCCCCCCCCAGTCCGCTAATTAACCGCTTTTGAGGTGGTTCCCGAAAATTCATAGCCACATGACAACCTACAACAAAGAAGCAACAACTCCAAACATGGCTGATTTTAAGTCTTTCCCAAGTTTTCAAGGGTGTGTGTGTGTGTGCAATTGAGGTCTTTCCCACGTTCCCAAGGGTGTGTTTGTGTGTGTGTGTGTGTGCGTGTGGTGGTAGTTTCCATTGACCCTCGAGAAGAGCCAGAGGTATCCCCAGACCAATCTAAACTTTCGGATGATATACCTGACAAAACTCGGTTGCTTTCTGCTCCCCCTGCTAAACGTTTTTAACTTTTAGTGGTTTAATTCGGAAAACCCATTAGTTGGCAAACAGTTAAAGTCCTAACAGCCAAGCAAAATGTGCCAAAGAAAAGCTTGGGCCATGGGGGACAAATAGCGCGATGCCTTTTGGACAAATCGCTGTGACCCGTTCAAAGAGAAAATCGAGAGACATTCAGTCTGGAAATCTGGACCTGGACAGTTTTCGTCGAATGGGTGTTTGTGTGTATGTGTGTGTTTGTTCGAGGGCACCCTTTTTGGGGTGGTGTTCAGCCAAAGGGACAAGGTCTTTTTTTTGGACACACACACACACACAGCCTAGGTTTAAGTCAGTCGTCTTGGAATCCTTCGAAGTGAAGCTGCGAGGGTTCACCCCATGGCTCCATGCACCCGCGTGGTAGGAAGTCAGGCCGTTTCCCGCCCTTTGGGAAAAATATGAAGGGTTACCTGTCTAGGTCCTCCAGTAGAGAGAAAAAATGGGGTACCAACTTTTTTTCTGTAGTCGATTATCTATTTTAGTAGGGGAACCCTTCCCCAAAAAAGGGGTGAGAAAGGGCACTACTGAACGACCCCGCCTGTAGTTGCTTGATGCAACGACTGGGTCTGAAATCCCAGGCGCAAGAGCACACAAGCGGGTTCTTGAAACGGACCAAAGGAAGACGTTTGCCAAATTCGCCGCCCTTGTGCTTTCTTGGCCCATCTACAACAAATCATAGATTCCGTTTCATATTTTGTCAATCCCAACCAAAAAAAAGCACCGGACATCACGATTTTGGTCAGGAGGCTCCAGTTTGGGTCCAAGGAATCAAAGTGCAAATTGGGCAGGGATTCTCCGACCAAGATACGCGAAAAAAACAGTGGCATAGAAGGAGATGACGATGCATACAGGCATCGTATAAACCTACATAACCGCATTTGCCAATCTGGGGGGAGGGAAGGCTCGCTTCCTGAGTTGATTGCCCAAAAAAAGTCCAAACTTTTTGTTTACCACCAAAATGGTCTTCCCAAAAAGTGTAAAGTCCATGAACTCAGGGAGTGAGAAGGGGAGGAGAGGGAGGGGGAGGGCGGGGAACCAACCATGCCAAGGCCCACAGAAGGGAAGGGAATCACTCCAACCAACCCCGTCGAAACCGAGTGCCTTTGATGAACTCTCGGCCCCTAGTCCTGAGTCCTAGGCACGAGCCTTTTTTTGTTCTAAGAAATGTGTTCCAACCCCATGCATAAACCAAAAACTGAACCACTTAGAGTGGATTTTTTTGCCAACCCCGTGCATAAACCCAAAACTGAACCACTTAGAGGGGTAAGCAGAAGAGGGGGTAGTCCCCCGAACCTTTACTCGCCTCCCGAATAGTCCCGAAAAAAAGATCGCGCCACGCGAAGAGCCCCAAACAACCCCAAAGCCCAGGGAATCCCAAATAGCCCTTGACAGCAACCCACTTTTCGACCTTTTCTCCAACTGGGGGGTCCAATTTGCTACCCCCCTGAACAGGAACATGAACAAGTTACTGCTTCCAGGGGTATTGTTGTTTTGCGACTAGGTCCTCCAGCAGAGAGGTTAGAATAAGGGTACCCTTTCTTCTGTAGTTTATTAGTAGGGGAACCTAGCTGGGCCCCTATCGTCTGCCATGGATTTGTGCATTTTCACAACAACAATGAAACGCCGAATGCTAAACTCAACAGCGATGATTCTGATGGTGCCTCATAGCCGGGTGTTTTTGTGTAGAGGAAACCTCAAAATGATGGCTGGCTTTGTTTTGGTTTCCCTTCAAACCAACCCCAATAAGGGGACCCTCAAAAAACACACCATATATACGTGTGCATGTGTATATGTCTATACCTGTACCCTCAAAATTATAACTTGAAAATGGGTTGTTGCCCTACCAAGATGATGGGTTTATTCGTTCTTTCCTTTTTTATGTGTAGCTTGAAGGTCCAGGTACATATCTATATATGTATATATATATATGTATGTGTATATGCATCAAAGCAAAGTAATTGTCTGGGCTGTCCTCTAAACCAGATGGCTGGTTGAACCCCCAAGTTTTGAGAACCCCAAAAATGACTTTAAAGCAGCCCCAAAAAGGGTACCCTCAAACAAAAAGACACATCCATGTGTGTACATATATATATATATATATGGGCATGAATTTTAATTGGCGCGGTTGTATGTTCACCAACCACATTCCAGGGGGCTCCATATTTAAATTCATGGCCATACATATATACATATATATATAGATCAACCGAGTAATTTTTGAGAACCCCTTGAGACGCTCACTTTACTGCGCGCTTCAACTCCCTTTGCCTTTTTGCACACCTCTCCGGCCGAAGTGTTCGAATTCCCGGCTTCGGCCATCCTTCACCACTTGCCCAGTGACTCAGTTGCCCCAATCAAACCTGGGCTGTAACTGATCCCCCGCTAAAAGCTGAGAACTTGTGGGTGGCGTGGGGCACTCGAGTCCCCGCAAGGCGCTGGGAAAAACTGAAAGGCTGGGATGGCTGGGAGCCACCAAGAAACCGGTAGGGGTCACCTGATGTTCCCTTCAAAAGTTGCAACTGACTGTTAAACATGCCGCTGTCGGAGGTAAGAGGGAAATGGAGGAACCCTTGAGTCACAATCAAAACTGGTCGGTACTAACATGGTCTACCCAGGGACACCCTTTTAGTACGAATCAAGAAGGGAGTTATGAATCCGGGGTTCTCACTGGATCGAAACCAACGGAAACCAACCCAGTTTGTATGCTGGTGGTGTAATCTCATCTTGTAGGAAAGGCTCGGAGCAACCTGTAATGAGACTCACCAAAAAACCAATCAGCCACTAGCTTGGCTTTGAGCAAACATGGTGATGTTGATAGCCTTCGGGGAACTCCCGTCCTCTTACATCCAACCTGGTTCAGACTTGAGGTCTTGAAGCAGTTCAACTTGCTTGGTCCGCTCGAATGAGACTGCTCAGAAAGGCGCTAGAATGAACCGATTCCAGTTGGAGAGTTCGATTCGTCGGGGTCATTCCGGCAGTCCAAGCTGATTGCTAAAAGAAAACTTGTGAGTTGAATGGAAACCCCCACCGATCCCCTGCCAGTTTAACCTGTGATACTCAAGCAACAACACATATTCATTAAAACAAAAGGAACCGGATGGCAGGTTGAAGCACCAAGTCCTCCCAACCATTTCCCTACCAGCAAGTCGGTGAGCTCGCGACCTCTCACCCCGAGGATCTCCGAATTCACATCGCCGACAAGTTCGCTCGCGCGTTGGCAGGCGACTTTGGCAGGCACCTTTTAGCCGCAGGGCTTGGCTCCGGCCGCGAGAAAGATAATCAATAATTACGGGAAAAAATCTTCTGAACCCCCCCAAACTACCCAGAAAAGAGGGGATCCACCCCAAAGCGTGGGGCAATATCCTATTCTCAAGCTTTGATCTTGAGCCTCCAGGCTCTGATGTTCAAGAGCTGAGCCGGGATCCAGCTTTTGCGGCAGTCCGGGGGGGGGGGATCCGGGGGGGGGGGTTTAGGCACATCCGTGAGTCCCCAAGTCAAGACTTGGAAGATGAGTTTGTGGTTCTGCACCAGCCCAAAACCTTCTGGCAAGATGCTTGTGACGACCTTCATATATGGCCCAGTGTCCCCTCTTTTTGGTTGAGAGCTTGCTTCAGGTCTGAAGGGAAACCAAAAGGAAAACCACCTTTTGGGGGGTTGCCCAAAAAAAGGGGACACCATGTGCAAGAATGGGTCGCTACCTTTGGCTGCCCTTTCCCCTACAGCGGCAAAAAACGTCCAACAAGGCGTACAAAATCCCATCTGCATAGGGCGAATTGAGTCCTTCGAACACGTCCCGCGAAGTGGGTGTGGCTCAAAATTAAACAGGAGGGGTTACGCAGGTTTTGGTCCATGTTTCCGCTTAGCAGGGTTCCATTTTGGTACCGTTTTTTTGAGCCACTGCCATGTGATTTTTTCTCCTCCAGCATGCTCTTCCCAAAAGCAGCTCCTCCTGAACTCCCGGAACTGAGAAAAGGGGCCCGGACTACTGTACCAAATGCGTCAATTACCAAATGCGTCAATTAGCACCCGGAGTCTTCATCCGACCCTCCAAATATTCAGAAACCTTTCAAACAAAACCGGATTTTGCTTGGTGTCCCATCAAGCAAAAGGCTCGCTTTACACGTAAAGTAAGTGCATCCACTCTGGTCATGGGTTTCTCTAAGAATTTGGGGCTCCATGTTCCTTTCGGGGTGGGTCCGGGACCCAATTCCAACTTTCGCCCTATAAAAGAACATGGAACTAATGGAGATCTGGGATCGAACTCCCCTCCCCCAATCAACATTTTCTAGGTGGTTATGGAAGAAGCCCTTTCGGGGGGGGGGGTGATAGGTACGATCGCTGGGTGGATAGTTGTTTCGAGCCCTAGGTTCTCTTTAGGGTTTCTCAGGGAGCCTTAGAGAACCCTGAATCATCCCCCCGGAATGGTTTTCTCTACTCGGGTGCTCCGGGAAGCTAGCTAAGTGGTTACCCACCTGGGTTGTAGCGTAACAAATAACAAAAGGTTAATTCCACTGAACAGGGTGCCTATAAGAGGGTTGTAACCCAGGCTAGCCACAACTTACTAACTTGGCCGCACACCCAAGGTGAGTCAGAATCAAAACCTGGTCCAAAAATGGTCGACCCAGAACCATGCTTCAAGAATGAAGGCGTCCGCAGCGATTTATGGCTGGGATTCTCCCTTACCCTCCAATTGCCTGGGTTTTGATCGTGGCTCATTTGCTTCTTCGCCCACCGGAAGAAAACACATACTTACAGTAGTAATACATTCCCTGTAAAACCAGCAGGGGGAAATAACAAATATTGTGGCTCAAGTAGGGAACCCTGAGCCGCCCCGAATGGGATTCTCTAAGGGTGGGGCATCCACCAACTTGAGGAACCAGGTTCTTCTTTCTCGAGCCTTCGAGTCCAGGCCGACCGCTCGAGGCTCAGGGGGTTTTGTAGGCACCTTGTGCACCTGCGACTTGAGCGAATCCATAGGACCGAAAAAAGAAAGGGAAGAGTGGGCAGAATGCCCCAGAAGGTTGGGGGTATGTGAAAACCAGATTTCGTAGCAATCAAACTCCGAGCATTTCGCCCTTTCTGTTTTGAGGGAATCCGAAGCGTATTTTTTATGTTTGATCTTTTGGGGTGCATGTTGGTCAGGGGAATCAATTTCGGAGCCTTCGGAAACGCATGAGTTGGATGCTTCGACTCAAAGACCTAGACCTCGGGCTTGGTCCAACTCCCCCTCCCCCAATCAACCATTTTTAAGGTGGTTATGGAATCCGTTCCGGGGGGGGGGGTAGGTGGCTCGTCTTTTTCGTTGAGGCGCGGTACCTCTTTTTGATTTGTTGTCAAAGAACACCGTTCCGGAAAACTCTTATTTTTTTGGGGGATCCGCTGACCAAAGCATTTTGCCCATGCATTGAAACCAAAAGGCTTTGGAGCAACAAAAAAAAAAACCTGCTTTGTGAACGCATCTCGTCCCTTGGAAGAAGCGTTGCCTTGCACGACTGTGTGAGCTTGCTGATGCTCGGAATGAACCCCGGGGTAGAAACATGAGCCCCTGGGTTCATGGAAACGATGGGAAAACCGGCTAGATTTCGATGGGAAGCGGGGACCGAGCCAGAATCAAAACCTGGAAGGAGACCAAAGCATAGGACTCCAAAGGGCCGCCCAAGAAACCCTGGAATGATATGATTCCCCCTGTAAATACCAACAAACGTTATGGTTTCAACCATGGTTTCAAAGTGGTGCGAGATGGATTTCGTCCATCCACAGTACCCTTCTCATTTGGCGTGGCGCGAATAAATCCAAATTCCACGTTCTGCTCACGACTTTAACATCTGCGGCTCTAGCGTAGCTTCCAAAGACCCCACCTCGAGGGTGCGGGCTTGATAAGGCGCACAAGGCAGAGAGAGCTGTCAAAAAGCATTTTGGACCCCAAATTTCGGTGTTCCTGTTGGTTTCCCATGTTTAGCCCAGATCAACATGGTACCTCTGCTCCGAACAAGACACGCAAGCAAGCAAGCAAGCGAGCGAGCGAGCAAGCGAGCAAGGACGCAAGGACCAAGGATGCAAGGACGCAAGCAAGCAAGCAAACAAACAAAACTACACAAAACAAACCAAACAAACCACAAACAAACAAACATTTAATTAAACAAACAACAAATAAACTAGCAAATTGAGGCCATAGAGGCTAGGGTTGCCCCCTCTCAATGTTGGAGCCCCACGTATTGACTCACCAGACATGAAGGACGCTCGCCGAGTTGGCAACGGGCCGGTGATGCAACATAGATTCTGAGTGGCGACGCGTGCCCGGCTTTGCCCTTGCCAGGACCCCCGGCTGTAGTAGTTGGCGGACATCCGCCCACTCCGCTGGCTAGACTCGCTGGCAAATGACCTCGGACTGCGGATGTGTGTGTGTGTGTCTGTTTTGGGGAGAAACCCCTTTTGGTTGGTTTTCCTTTTGGGGAAGCCAAAAGGAAAACCCGGCGTTTTGGCAGGCCCCCCAAAACACAGACACACACCCACATGCATTGCTGATCCATGCTCAAAAGGAGCAGGGAAAAGACGCCTGAAATCGGCATGGCGTCTTCTTCACCGAGGATCCTTTGTGCGGAGCCTTGTTTTTGAGGCTTAGCGGGGGGTTTCGACAAAAACTCCCCGATGTTTCCCAGATACATGTCTGTGGGTCAAAACCCTGTACCCCTGCTAAACCTCAAAGTAGGTGGCGCATGGGTGTTCATCCGCCCCAAAAGGGAGGCGTAGGTTACGACCCATGGCCAAATGGGGACACCCCCCCCCCCCCCCCACCCCCCCCGAGGCGGCAGCGAGGCTGCCGTGATGCCGCGGAGCCAAGGATGCTGCAGCCCCTATCGGGAACAGCCGAGAGACTTCGATATGCGGGCCCCGAGTTTCTAGGTCCTCCAGTAGAGAGGTTAGGGTACCAACTTTTTTCTCCGTGGTCGATTTTAGTTGGGGAACCCTTCCCCCAAAAAAGGGTAAAAGGGCACTACTGGGGGACCTAGTGGTGTGCCTTGAAAAGACAATTAACAAGCTTTCTTGGTGGTTCCTTGAACAAGACGGCAAGACATGATTTCCTGGTGGCTCTCTTTGGAAAGCCACACAAACTGGGTATTCCTCGCGGTGCACCGGGAAAAAACCATCAAAAAGGAGCAGCGAGCCCCAGACTGTGGATGGAAATCCGCGCCACCAATGTAGGTTGCCGGTATTTGTAGGGATTAATTCATCCCAACTAGGGGTACTTCTGCAATGGTTTCAAATTGGCCTTGCTCAAGTCCCCTGCAAAAACCAACAGGGGAAAACAAAATGGACGACTACACAAAAGGTTGCTCATTTCGGCATCCAGCCTGGAAAGAGCAATTGGGGCTCCAAGATCCTCTCAAGGACCCGGATGGTCTCAAGATCGCGTTTCATTTGATGGGTCATAAAGAAACATGTAGCTTTGTAACGGGTCCTGGTTGTGACACATGGGCGGGAAACAAGTGTGACAAATAACCCTTGTAACCTTATACAAAGTACACTCTGGCAGTTTAAGGGCGCAACTTAGTACACAAAGTGAATGTCGGCAGCTCCAGCTGGAAAGTCGCAAATGTTCAGTACAAATGTAGACAGCTGATGGGATGCATGGCGTCCAATGAGTTGGCTATCGGTTGAACGGTACCGGTTTGGCCCCTGCAAACCTCTGATTCCGCAATCTTGGTTGCGACAACCTGGGCCCGAGGTGTATCTTCATGCGGGTATCGTTTGTCGTGAGCATGGATTTACAGTGTTACAGAATCAAAAGGTGGGGTTCTTTTTCGACCCACATGTGAGTCGCAATCAAAACCTGGTGCTAAATTGGTCTACCCAGAACCGTGTACAGGATTAAGAAGGGGGCCGCAGCTATTTGTGGCTGGGATCGTCCCTTGCTAACCTTCATCTACCCGGGTTTGATTGTGGCTCATGTGCTTCTTAGATCGTACTTACACACTGCAAGGAAGATGCCAAACAAAATCAGTGGCCATAAATGGGTTGTACTGGGGACTCGCCTGCCAGCCGACAGCTGTTCGCCTTGAGTTCTTTCAGTTTAGGGAGATGTCTCTGGTCCTCCTGTTTGAGTCATCCCTTCACAAACCCCGGGCATCGCACAAAGTGCCAAGGGGACATAGGACCTGACAATGTTACAGGTAGGCAGTGACATCGTTCATTGTGGTGGCAATCAAAATGGCAAGCCATTTTGGCACATATTTCGGATTTATAAAATGACACCGCTACGCTCATTCCATGAGAAACTCGAAACTGAACATGCCCATAGGGCGCGATGAATCACCCTTTAAGGCACAGTGTCCTTCGATCCGTCGAGAGGCTTTCAGGTGAGTAAAGCATGAGGCTCACAAGCAAGGAGCGGAACCCGCTGATGCTCTGCTGACTGCGCTTTATGTTGATCCCAGATTCATCACCCCCTGTTTATTAGCTCACTTGCCCAAAGGACCCAGAAATAAAAAGGTTAACCTTTTGGGGCCATGACTAAAAATGGACCAAAACTGGAAAACCAAAAGGTTAAAAGGTCGGCTTCGGGCAACTGAGTTAATATGGGGGCGTTCCCCTCCAAAAGTGATGAATCCCACTAAATGCAGGCACACCCCTCGATTCTTAAACTGGGGTTGATTAATATGGAAGCAACATGATTGCAGAAAACTGTGCCAATGCGAATGTGCAATGCGGAATCCGAAATGGTCAAAGGGTTGATGACCATATCAAGAGTTGAAATGTGCCGAATCTCTTTCCAACAAAGAAAGTGGACAGGTAGTTTGAAAGGGAAACCGAAAAGAACAACCACCATTTTGTTGGGCTTTCTTTGACACATACTCGCCGCTAGTAGCAAGAAAATGTGGGGCCACCAGATTGGAAGGACGCAATGTGTTGGTTGACCCCGCTCTAAGACACGCACCCCTACGAGCAACAGGAAAACCAAACATCAGCCCACGTAACAACTGCGACCCTTCCGGAAGCCTCGGACACCACTCCGAACCACTTTCTGGGATTTTGCTGGGGGTAGTGGGGTGGGTAGTTGAGGAGCCTTAGGCTAAACCCCCCAGCTTGGACCACCGCCCCTTACAGTGGATGGTTTCGCGACATCTTCTCGATTTCACCGGTCAGAAACCCTGGAAATAGCCTAAAAGTGGTTTCAACCATGGATAAACACTAAACCCTGGACAAACACTATGGATAAAGCCTTTTCAGAAACGCTGGACAAACACTATGGTTTCAAGCGGATGTTTTCAAAGTGCAGGATTCAGTCCACGGTAGGGATTCCATCAACTACGCTTCCAGCCGGGGAGGAAAAACAAGTCCGCCATTGGGGTATGGGAAGGGTCGGTTTTTGAGTTGGTACCGCTTGTTTTGGGAGGGAGACCGAAAGGACAACCGTTGCGCCATTGTAGGGGTGCCCATTCTAAGGACAAACCCATAGCCATGGTCAAAACCCTCTATGGTCGATTGGGGTTCTCCCATTTGCTTAAGCTGCCAGGAAACAAAGGAGAAACATATCTCCAGTAATTAGTGAAATCAATTCCCTTTGAAACCAACAAGGGAAAAATAAACACAAATCAGCTTGAGCAAATGTTAATCTAGGTCCTCCAGCAGAGAGGTCAGAATAAGGGTACCAACTGTTTTTCTGTAGTCTATCTATTTTAGTAGGGTCCCGAACCCTCCCAACTTCCCAACCAAAAAAGTTGGTGAGAAAGGGCACCAATTGCTGAGGGACCTAGTCAAGCATCAAACTGAAAAAAAGGAGCTCACACAGACCCTCAGGTCTTGCTGCTCTGGGGGACTAGTGAAGCTGTGGATTTTCCCTTGGCCCCCGCGTTTGGACCAAAAAGAAAATCCGCCTGCTCGGCGGTGAGCCGGTCGCCCGGCCGGACCTGCAGGAGTCTCAGGATGAAATCCTGCGATGGCACTCCCAAGACACGACTGGCCTCACTCGGTTAGTGGAGGCTGGTTAGTGGAAAACAACGGGACCCCAAAAAAGCCAAAAAACAAAAAGGGGAGCTAATTCTGGGGAAGCTTTCTGCTCTGCTGAAAGTGTTTAACTTGTGGTTTCATTGGAAAGCCCATTCGTTGGCAAACAGTCAAAGTCCTCCCCTTACTAACCTTCATCCACACCTAGGTCCTCCAGTAGAGAGGGCTAGAATAAGGCTACCAACTTGTTTTCGGTTTTGTCTATTTTAGTAGAATCCCGAACCCTCCCAACCAAAAACGAGTGAGAAAGGGCACCAAGCTGGGGGACCTAGAGTTCACTTTGCCAGAGGCAAGGTCAGCCAGAAGTTGGCAAGGCCATGCAGGCCCAGAGAAGGTGGGAATTCTACGCTTTGTGTGTGGGTTAAAGAGAAGCAGACCCATTTTCTGACTTTGATAACCAGAAACCGTCAAAAGAATGACTCAAGCAAGAGGTTCACGGGTTTCCTGAAATTAACTGCTGTGGATGGCTGGCAAATCCTTGGTTTGGTTGCGGAATTCCCTTAGAAATACGGGCTGCATTCAATACATGGGTGTGTCTGTTTTGTTGAGGGTAATCCTTCTTTGGGTGGTCTTGAAGGGCAACCAATACTGTGGATGGGCGAAATGCGTTTCGCACCACGAAATGAAACCATGGAGTTGATTCCACGCCGCTTGTTGGTATTTACGTTGGGGAATCGCTCATTCCGTTGGTGAGTTCGGTATCCACAGTACCCCTTGGTTTGGTTGAGGAGTCCCCACCAATAAAAAGTGACCTAAAACGATTGCCCATTTGAAGACCCGCCCATGCACCATGCAACCTGAGTGGTGCTCTTCCAAGAGCATGTTCCTCTAAGTTCCACCTGGTAGCTTGGCCGGAAAAATCGGACCCCAGCAAAAGAAATATGCTTTTTGCCTGGGTAGTGGAAAACAAAGGGGAACCCCCCCCCAAAAAAAAACAAAAAACAAAAAAGTAATTCTGGGGAAGGTAGGTCCTTAGGTTCCATGTTCGACAACAACTGCTGGTCCCAAGTTGACCCCTTTCACCTGGATACCCGCCCACCACGGAACCTGAGTGGGTCCAAAAGCCACCTGTCGGGTTTTATTATAGACGCCAACATGGAAAGCCTGGTGGGTTGACCCGTTTGACCTGGGTTCATAACTTGGTTGACCTTGGGTTTGGGGAGCAAAAGTTCTCAAATTTTAGCAGTTCAGTGGTTGGATTTCAACCACTAAACCACAAGAAGCAAAAATGTTTCAAATGTGTCCCAACGACAACCAAGAGATGCAGTCAACTACTGCCTGCTTCAGGATCCACATCCCCTCACTCAAGCTGGCATTTGATTGGAGCCCACATGTGCTCCTCGGTTTCTGGAGAAGCCCTAGAAATCCACGAAGCAAAATCCGTCAAGCACAAACTTCGGGATCTTCCCTTCACCTTTTGGGCAGGGCGTGTTTCCCGGAGGCATTTTCGGACCCTAACGTCCATGGCATTGTCCTCAAAAAAAAAGGGCGGGCATGTCGGTTTCCGCAAAAGGGACATACAAGGAAATTAAACCCCTTCCCTTCGTTGTGGTGGTTAGAGTTGCTACGTCCCTGTCTGCCAACTTGATTTTGGTGGGCAACCTCCATTCCCTAGCTTCAATTTGGCGAGACCATCTCATCCCCCTTCCAAACCTTAGATGACAGATATTGACCGCACTTTGAATTATCCCAACATGAACCGCGCACTTTGAAGGAAGCAATGGTGTGGCTTACAGCATCCACCCGACACCTGCAAGGTCTTCAAGGACCCCCGTCAGTTTCCAACACCCCGACACCCTTCAACCCAACCGCCAGCTTCAAATGCCTTCGACTCCCACCTCCAAGGTCTTACCAGTTCACCCTGCCACGATTTGGTTCGGAGTTTCCTTTGCCTTGGACCAGCCAGGGGTACCTTCTCCACTCAGAAGTTCAATAGCTAGCTGACACAAAGGCCATCAACGGCACCGCTGGGGCTTGGTCCCGATGGGAATCAACACCTTAACGGTCGTACCCCGTGGAAACATGTTCGGTTCAAACCACTGGTGTTGGTATGTCTCCTCTTTAGAAGACCCCGAGACCCCAAAAGATCCCTGGTGCCCTTCGGAAACCGACGAAACCAGCCATGCAGCCCTCAACAAAATCCATGAAACAGGGCGCCGTAGCATTGTGAGGAGTGTCCGGGCTCCCATTTTGAGACATCGTCTCCTAAGATGCCCAGTGGCCAGGGGAAAAAAAGGATCGGCATCCTTTTTTTTGTGTGGTTGAGCTTCAAGGAATCGGAACGCTTACCCAAAAAAAGGAACAAAGGGCACCACTGGGCAACAGAGTGCAAGTTACCCCAAGTCCGTCCCAATCCCAAGTAATCCCAGTGAACATCACAATCCAACCACTAAAATAGGTACCCCACAATTTGGGTGGTGAATTCACCAATCCCAACCAAGATGAATTGGATCCCGTTTAACGGTGTTGACCACCATCGCCAAGTCAGTCCCCCTTCTCAGGTCCTGCGCGCCCGCAGACACGGATTTCCATCTCTGGTCCGAAAAGCTGACGTCGCGCTCCACGATCTGGCGATACCTACAGCGGATGGATCGATGAGCCATAACTTGGTCCTCCAGATTTGAGAGGTTAGAACTCAGGGTACCCGTGTTTTTTTGTGTTTTTCCATAGTCTATTTCAAGTAGCGGGAACCCTCCCCCAAAAAGGGTGAGAGAAGGGCACCTAGCTGGGGGACCTAGTAATGGAAGGTGCTTTGTTGTGTGGCTCCCTTTTTGTCTGAGAGCAGCAAACACAGTGCGCCTAAGGCGCGAACAGGAGCTCCTAGCGGCCGTTCAAAAAAAAAGGCTGCCCGGTTTGTTTCTGTAGACTATTTTAGTAGGGGAACCCTACCCAAAAAAAAGGTAAAAGGGCACTGCTGGGGGACCGAGATAACATAGGCTGGGGACAACGCTGAGGTAAACCCAACACACGTTCAAGACCTCAGGCAGGTTCAACGGCGATCGGGTGCATCAAGTGCCGGCACACTCTGCTGACATTGCTTGCGCGCAACATCAGGCCAAGGCCAAATAAGACCTGTAAACCTGTCCGTTGAAGAGGTTATAAGGCAACTCGTTATAGGGGGAAATAAGGCCAAATTAGGACGACAAGGCCAGTCCAACTGTGGGGCTAGCTGGCTCATACCAGTAAGGGCCCTTCCAACTCCTCCCCCCCGAAGACCCCACCTGCGTTGAGGTGTTTAGCATAGGACCCTGCCGACCCCACCTTGCAGCAAGGGGCAAATCTGGTGTTTGGCCTTGTTTGGCCTTGTTTGGCCTTGTTTGGCCTTGTTTCTTGGCCAAAAGCAGGCTCATTTACCCAAAACCATGCGCTTGGGGAGAAAAACACACACACACAAACAAACAAACAAACAAACAAACAAACAAACAAACAAAACAAACAAACAAACAAACAAACAAACAAACAAACAAACACACAAACACACACACACAGACACACAGACACACAGACACACAGACACACAGACACACAGACACACAGACACACAGACACACAGACACACAGACACACAGACACACAGACACACAGACACACAGACACACAGACACACAGACACACAGACACACAGACACACAGACACACAGACACACAGACACACAGACACACAGACACACAGACACACAGACACACAGACACACAGACACACAGACACACAGACACACAGACACACAGACACACAGACACACAGACACACAGACACACAGACACACAGACACACAGACACACACACAGACACACAGACACACAGACACACAGACACACAGACACACAGACACACAGACACACAGACACACAGACACACAGACACACAGACACACAGACACACAGACACACAGACACACAGACACACAGACACACAGACACACAGACACACAGACACACAGACACACAGACACACAGACACACAGACACACAGACACACAGACACACAGACACACAGACACACAGACACAGACACACAGACACACAGACACACAGACACACAGACACACAGACACACAGACACACAGACACACAGACACACAGACACACAGACACACAGACACACAGACACACAGACACACAGACACACAGACACACAGACACACAGACACTGACACACAGACACACAGACACACAGACACACAGACACACAGACACACAGACACACAGACACACAGACACACAGACACACAGACACACAGACACACAGACACACAGACACACAGACACACAGACACACAGACACACAGACACACAGACACACAGACACACAGACACACAGACACACAGACACACAGACACACAGACACACAGACACACAGACACACAGACACACAGACACACAGACACACAGACACACAGACACACAGACACACAGACACACAGACACACAGACACACAGACACACAGACACACAGACACACAGACACACAGACACACAGACACACAGACACACAGACAGACACACAGACACACAGACACACAGACACACAGACACACAGACACACAGACACACAGACACACAGACACACAGACACACAGACACACAGACACACAGACACACAGACACACAGACACACAGACACACAGACACACAGACACACAGACACACAGACACACAGACACACAGACACACAGACACACAGACACACAGACACACAGACACACAGACACACAGACACACAGACACACAGACACACAGACACACAGACACAGACACACAGACACACAGACACACACACACACACACACACACACACACACACACACACACACACACACACACACACACACACACACACACACACACACACACACACACACGCACGCACGCAACTCCCCAGACACCTTTGCCCATGGGTGTCCCTACCAAACCCCCGGGATTTCCGCCTCAAACCAAATCCGTGGAACCAAATGGGACGCGACAAATTTCGGGAGGCCAACCAGAGGAGGCCCCGGTCACATCGTGAGCGGAGTGAGCTGCCCCTCGTGAACTTCAGCCCTGCGGAGCTAGCTACATGGTCGCCGTACAATGGAATTGCGAAGGCATAAGCGGCTGGGAGCCACGAGACAAATGGAATGACCCCGACCCAAAAAAAAAACAAAAAAACGAGGGGTTTCCTTTGAGGGACTCCCCAGGTTTTCTTGGTTGACGTTGGGTTTGGGGAGCAACAAAAAATCTCAAAGTTTAGCAGTTAGGTGGATTTGGATTTCAACCACTAAACCACAACAATATCAAAAATGTGAAATGTTTCCCAACAACCATGTAACGGGGAGAAGGATCACGCATGGTACAAACCACTTCAAAAACCCAAGGCAAGTAAATCAACCCACCTCAAAATGTCCAACTTCAAGGTATGTTCTTGGAACCCGACAATTTGGGAATTTGTGTGAATTCCATCGTGTTTTATGGGTAGTTCTTTCGGGAGGAACTGGTTTAGTCCATCCAAAAGTCGCATGTTGCAACCCCAGAGTTTCAAGCACGGGACAAGACCAAAGCTAAAATTGGCTCCTGGACCCTCAAACTGCCCATGAGAATCAAGGGAAAGCACCAAGCATAGCTTTGGGTGGCAAAATAATTCCCACTTTTTGGTTGGAGTGTTGTTTGGGTCCAGGTTGACCTTTTGGGCACCTCCACTGAAAATGGGTGCCAGTATGACACCAGCCACAACACCCTTGGTCAAAGTAGCTCTTTGATCAGTACCCCGCAGACGCCGGCAAGATGACTACGGGAGTACTAGGCCGAAACAAATCACGCCTTGGCCATATGGGTATGGGTCAAAATTGAACCACCAGGGAACCGCACATTTTAGTCCATGTTTCGATTTACCAGGGTTCCATGTTGAGCACCTATTTTTGACCAGCCGTTTGAACATGCTCCGAATCAGTCGGGAGCCCATGGGGCGATTTGACCCACGGCTATATGGCATGGTACTTGGCCCACAGCCGTATGTCGTTCCCGGGCAGGGACCGCACTTGTCGAAAGAGGACCAAGTGACTAGATGCCTGTGCGCAACAACATGCACTAGTTGGGATGGACGAAACCATGGACAAAATCCTGGGACAAAGGACCATGAGTGTCTTCTCTTTGAGCCGTTTCAAGGTTACCTTCAAGGGAGACCAAAAAGGATCCCCCCGGTTTGGCCTGGTTTAAAGGAAAACCAACAAAAGAATCTAAACAGTCTGGGAGCTCCTATAATGCCCACATCCCAAATACCGGGACATTGTGTTTTGTGCCGTTTGCTTTTTTGGAGGGTCCCCGTTTCAAGGTTGGTTCAAAGGGAATCATACGCACACATGTCACGTTTCTTTTAGTTCCAAAACCGTCCCAAAACCCCGGTTTGGGAGGTCCTATGGCTCTGAAACCGAGCCAGACGTGCACGTCTCACGTTTTTTGTTCGCTTCCCAGCGGCAGCTTGTGGAGCACCGCGTTGAAAAAGGGCAGCGCCCCGCTGAGCACCACGAAGGTGATCACCTCCACGCGACCGATCGCTCGATCGCGCGGTCGTGCGACCGACAGCGTGATCGAGGTAAAGGGGGGGGGGCGATCCAAGAGGGTGGCGCTTTTTCCAGCCACCCCAAAAAGTTGGCCTCGATGTTTTCGATCATGGGTTCTGCCCAGCTTTCCAGAACAGCTTTCAAGTTTTCTCATCTGCCCTACTTCAGCTCGTGTCTTATCTTTGGCTCTGATGTGTGCACAAGCCTCGCCAGGTGTTCTTTGGGAGGCGGGCCAATGATTCTTAAAATATGTTCTGGCAAGGAACTTCCATTTTGATGTCTAAGTGACTAGGTCCTCCAGTAGTGAGAGGATAGAATAAGGCTACAGTAGGGGAACCCTCCCCCAAAAAAGAAACGGTACAAGGGCACTTCTGGGGGACCTAGGCGAGGATGTGACTTCTAGTTTAACTCCTAGCTAAAACTTGTTTTTCACTGCAAGTGCACACAAAGTGTGAGGCCTGTCTAGAACAGGAAAATCAAAAGGACCCGCCAATCCCCAAACCCATCTGGGTACAGAAAGTTGGACGGATATGTCAAACAAAAGGAGCCTTTGTGCTGCGCACATGGAGTTCTCCTTCCTTTAACATGGGGGTTACCCCTTTCTGTTGAGTAATGCCCCATGTTCATTCCGAGTCAGAAGGAGACTCGAAGCAAACCCGGAAAAATCAACCCCTGCTGATTAACTCACTTCCTGAGTAACTTAACTATTTCTTTACCACTACAATGGTCCAAACCCAAAAAATGACCTCTTCAAAAGTGGCTAAACCCCTAGGCCAGGGTTTAGCACCTGGACCCACAAGACGGCTATTGCAACCCCAAATTGTGAGTACATTGCCTTTTTTATGCGTAGTTTGAGGGTTAACTCTCAACTTCCCACAAAAGAACAAAATTCACCTCCACAACCCATTTATAAGTTGGACTCCAGGCAAGGCAGGGGTTTAAGTACTGCCTATGTTCCAGTGGGAACTGAAAGCCCAGACCCCAGACCCCAGGACCCGACAGGCCGACAGGGGGCCCCCGGCCCCGACCGCCCAGATATCGATCTCACGGCCATACTCCTGGCGGAACGCGACGCGGTTCCTCTGCAAAGTCACTTGCTGTTTCTCAGCAGGGAATGAGAAATGGGCTGTCCGATTTCTGATCCCCCGCCCAAAGTTTAACTTGTGGGTTAAATGCAAATCCCCACTAAACACTAAAAGGCTAAAAAGCTAAGGAACCGGCTGGCTGGGAGCCACCAAGAGAAATGGAATGACCCCGACAAAAAAAGACAAACAACTATGGGTCTCCTTTGAGGGAATCCCCAGGTTCTTTTCCACAACTCGGAAGGTCATTCCCTAGTAAGCACCAGCAAGAGGAACATGGAAGCCCAAAAGTGTTGTTTTCTAAATTCAGCCTCCTCCATCAATCTGGAGGGTACTTACTGTGAATGGATGAACTCCATGTTGCACCAAAATGAAACCATGGTTAAAAACATTGTTTGTTGGTATTTACCGGGGAAACATAATTCCAGGGTTTCTTAGCTGGTGCAGGATTTCGTCCATCCCCAAACCGCACCGCTTGAAGGATTGTCCTGGACTTGGCACCTCCCAATAGGTCTTGTAGCCTACCTGGAGTCTACCACAAGCCTTTGAAAATGGGGCCATTTACTCAAAAGAAAGGGGTCATGACTCCATTTTGAAAGAGTCATGGACACTCCAGGTAGGTTTTGAAGAATACCTAGCACTCAGGCATGTGAAAAGACAGTTCCCACCCGATTCCATGACCGTTTTACTTTCCATTGGGTTCCCTCCAGAAGATTTTGGGGTAACCCTCTGACCCACTCTAGGTCCTCCAGTACAGAGGATAGAATAAGGGTACCCTTTTTACTGTAGTCTATTTTAAAGGTACAAGGGCACTACAGTTAGGAGAGGCCATGCGCAACTTTTTTCGGACTCAAAAGTCTAGGGTCCACCCTAGGATTTTTTGCATTTTTTGAATAAGCGCACCAAAACAGCCATTTTAAAACATTTTTTGAAACAGTCTAAACACATTTTGATAAATATTTTTTTAGTACTGCATACCAAAACAAAAATTGAATTATTTTTTGAAAAATTCAATACACCTAAACATGTTTATTTTCAAAAACACACATTTTCCAAAATATTTTAGAAAATATATTTTTTTCAAAAGAGATAAATATATATATCATTTTAAGAAGAATTATTCAATAAGAAACAACATTTTCAATAATTCAATGAGAAGACTAATAATTAATCATTTTTCGAAATTTTGATATTCCGGAGTTGCGCATGGCCCACCTTGTAGGATTTTATCTTCAATATATAAAACGCTATACTTACATTATAATTATAACATATAAGGGTATAAATGTTATAATCATAGTATGGTTATAATCTAAATTCAGGATAACTATTTAATTGATATATCTTTCCTCTTTCATACATCATTTTAATAATACTATTAATATCTCTCACTGTATTTTTAACATTAAACTTTTCACTTTCAATAAATAATTTAATGATTTTTTTTACATCAACCCCTTCCATTTTATGATAAATCAATGCCCATAATATGTAGTCAATAATTTCATACTTTTTCTTACTGATTTTAAGAAATGCTTTAACATAATCATAAGGCGGTATTTCATACACAGTTAAAAATATCAAAATGTCATCTTCAACATTTCTTTCATTAAACCTTTTAATATCTAAATTATATTCGATTGCGTCTTGGTAATATCTCCATTTTTTACATGTTCTGCATATATTTTCTTTACCCAAAGAATAATCAACAATATTATTAACTATTCCATTAGGTAAATTTAATTTATATAATTCCATATTTTCCTCTTTGAAGTGGCAACAGTCATAGCATTTCTTATTGATATAATTATTGATTTCGGTTTCCGCCATTACACACTATATAATAATATATAGCTTTTATTTCTTTAAATACTTTTTTCCAAGAAATAGAATTAAATATTGAAATATAAGTATAACATATAATATTTTACATGTTATTATTATATTATGATTATAATTTCAGTACAGGATAATAATTTAATTGATTTGTCTTACTTCTTTCATACATCATTTTAAAAATAATATTAATATCTCTCAATGTATTTTGAACATTAAAATTTTTACTTTCAATAAATAATTTGATATTTTCTTTAACATCTTGTCCTTTCTCTTGACTATAACACAACATCCTTAATATATCATCAATCATACCATATTTTTTCTTAGGGATTTTAAGAAACTGTTTAACATAATCATAAGGCGGTATTTCATACACAGTTAAAAATATCAAAATGTCGTCTTCAACATTTCTATTATGTCTTCTTTTCAGATTTAAATGACATCTGATTAATTCTTGATTATCTCTCCATTCCTGACAAATTGTACATTCATCTTCTTCATCCATTGAATAATTAATAATATTATTCAATATTTTATTAGGTAAATTTAATTTATACAATTCCATATTTTCCTTTTTGAAGTGGCAACAGTTGTAGCATTTCTTATTGATATAATTATTGATTTCGGTTTCCACCATTTCTATTATAATATATATAGTTTTTATTTCTTTAAATACTTTTTTACAAGAAATATTAAAATATTATTTAAATTATTATCATTTACAACTACAATTGCATCTAACACAGTAAGGAATAATATTATTCAGTTCGTGTGACAACTCGTTTGATTTACGTTGCGCTGTCAGATTTGTCATTATATTACCGTTTTTAATATCCATAGAAAAACCGCATCCGCAGTAATTACATTGATTTGTGGTATTATTTAAAAACCATTGCGCATTTACATAACCTTCTTTAGGTATTGTTCTTTTGGCTTTCCTGTCTTGTTCTTTGTAATTTAATATTTTCCTTTCAAAATAACTCATAATACATTTTTGATTAAATACATCATCAATATCTTTCGTATATTTATAAAATTTGACTTTGTTTAAATCTCTACACCTTGTAATTGCAGTCCATATCCATTCTGGATAATTCTTTACCAAAAAATGGTTATAATCAAAAATTGTTATGGTATCATCAATGCTACTGCCTTGGGCAGAATGACAAGTCGAGCAATATGCAAATATAAAATTACTTCTTATTTTATCAACTGGCAAAGACTGTAGAATTTCAGTTTTAACATTTTTCAACGTAAATATTCCATCGCTTCCAATATGAACAATTTTATATTTGAAATTTACATTAAAAACTGATGTTTTAGTTGTTGTATATTCTCTACAAATTAAAAATTCTCCTACTTCATATTCATCTTTTCTATTTTCTAATTTTCTAATTTCATTTGATACATTTTTACAAGTTGTATTTAAAAATGCTATGTTGTTGATTGATTTGCTTATGTCAGTTGTATATTCAAAGTATTTTTCAATAACTTTCACAATAGGTAATCTATTTTCAAAAATATCAATTTTAATATTTCTTAGTTTATCTTTATCTTCCTGTGTGTGAAGTCGCTTACATTCTTTTAACAAAATATTATATTCAAAAATGTTATCTATAATGTTATCAGTATATACTTCATAGTCTCGAGTATTTGTTATCTCTTGAACTGGTTTTAACTGCTTGGTGTCTCCTGTTGCTATTATAATTTTGTTGTGCTTATTCTGTTCTACAAATTGTTTTATTCTCCAATATATATTTAAATTACTAAAATAAACTTCGTCAAATACTATAACATCAAAATCTGTAAAATCAAATGGTTCTAATTTAGCATCTCCATAATTAATACCGAAAAATTTATTTATTGTCATTGCTTCGCCTTCGAATGCCTGTAATAGTTTATTAGTAGGACAAATAAAAATTACATTATAATTTTTATCAACCATTTTTTGACATATATATGATTTTCCTGTGCCCGGTAGTGCTCCACGAATCATAATAGGATTATTTTGTTCAATAATTTCTATAATATTATCTGTGTCATATTCATCTACTATATCAATAGTTTTACTTTCATAAATTGGTATTTGTATTAATTCGTTTTGTGTAATTTCATAATCTACAGTAGGAAATTTAATATATTCGTCGTTTGAAATTCTCCATCCTCCTATTTCATTATTAAAGATTAAAAGCTCTCTTGCTTTTGTTATATCCGATCGCGCTATTGTAAACGCATCTGTTTTGACACTGAACACATTAATACCATTTTGATATAACTTAGAATAATCTTGATACATTCTAAAATTATGGTATTGAAGCAGTAGCTCTTTTACATACCTAAAACCATTCCTTAAGCGTGATGTGTCCTTTAAATTAAGTATATAATATGACGCCTGTTCTTCTTCTGCTGTATATTGTTCTTCATCTACTGTAATTTGTTCTGTCGTGAAATGTGTTAATTTATGTATTTTACCTCCATACTCTGCCTGATAGTTTAAAGCTTCCTTAAGATTTTTAAACACTGTGCTCTTCTGGTCAGTTGCTCCCCCCTTTTCTAAAAGTCCATAATTAACATTTGCGACCAGTTTTTTAATACATTTATCTTCCTCATTGTCTTCGCTAATGTTTGTGTTCCAAAGTTCATTAACAATATTTTTATGTTCAACTTTGTGAATAAATGAAGGTTGTTTAAAGTATAAAATATTAATTCGTTCTCTTGTCATGTTATCTAGTTGTTTCAAAAATACACCATATATTAAGCAATATTTTTTATTAAATAGCATTCTTCCTGTCCGTTTTAGTATAGTAGTTTTCTTTTCTATATAATATAACGTTAAGTCGTGTAGGTCATAAATATCAGTTGTATCATCAAACGCTCGCCATATGTCAAATTGATTAAATACTGGTATTTCTGATATAGTAATAAACGCATGAGTAAATGCTTTTGATATATCGATTTCGATTTCATTTTTGATATCTCTGCTATCACACAATAAGCCAGATGGAACAACTGTTCTGGCTTCGTCTAAAATTTGAATATCAATGTCATTATAAAACGATTTATGAGATAAGTTAAACAATGACTTATTAAAATTAAACATTGCTTTATTCATATTGTTATATGTAGTTTCATTACAT